ACAAATAAAGATATTTTTGATTGAATCTGAGAGCTGGATCAGTCCTACATAGAATGCCTAAGGGACTGGCTCTTGACGGCCCATAAAGTCATTAAAGAAAAGGTTTAAATATTCCATAATTGAGCCGTTGTAGGCACATGGATGTGTAGGCATATTTTTTAAATGTCATTTTGATGTCATGAGTAATTAGTACTTCAAATTAAACCTAACGAAAAAAATTACAAATGTCGCTATACCTCAAAGTTTTTTTGTTTTATTTTTATTTTTCAATCAAAATTCGTTTCAATTACCATAAATGTTTTTTATTAGTTTTAGTGTACAGTAATAATACAACATTACAGGCCCATTACATAAAGAACTAACTCCTGTGGTTGATGTGTTGACAGGTGAACGTGGCGACTCAGTGCGACCCAGAGGAAGTGATCGTCCTCTCAGATTCAGAGTGAACTGCCGTCACATGGTACTCAACTGGCATCTCAGACAGCTTCCTGTTCCAATAGTGCCTGCTAATGTGAACTTAGAACAAAAAATGTTTCTTTTATTTTGGACTGGTTCAATCAGCTTTTGAATCACCGCCACTTGCCACTGTTTACTTTTTATACAAAGGGAAAATGGCATGCCGTTATTCATTCTGGCTTTTTAGAGGTATTTTGGTATAATATAAATGGGTCTCGCCTCTAAATATTCTTACCCCGGGGGGTTATCTTGTATTGTATTTATGGTTTTAGTTTGAGGGTTTAGATGCAATCCTCATTTGTGCCAAGAGTCATTAGGGGAAGTGAGCTTTCCCTCCTCAAGTCAATAAATGCTCATGTTGTGTAGTGTTGGACTTACATGTTGATTACTTTGTACAGTGCACTGTGGATTTTTTTATAAGCAACTGTAGAAATCATTTTCCACATTAAGTTATGAGCTACTTGACATGCTCCAACTCGCAAGCATAGAAATGTTTGTTTTCAGATTACGTCTTAAATGAATAGTTTACCCAAAAAAAATAAAAATTCAGACATTAATAAACCTCCCCTTATGTTTTTTTGTTATTCTTCTGTGGAATACAGAATAAAGCAGTATATAGATTTGGAATGACTTGAGTGAGTAAATGTGCGAATTTTTCTTTTTGGGTGAACTATCCCTTTAATTGGCCTCAGGTGACAAAGCACAATAGTTAAGTGTCTTCCTACACTTGACGTTAGATATTGGAATTATTTCTGTAAACTGTTGATGATTGATCCATTAAATTGATCAATATTGTCATATTAAAAGTTGTTTTTAATTGCGCTGCTTAACTAATAGAGAATTTAACTGGCATGAGAAAAGACAGGGTACATCAAGAGAACATATTACATCTGTTGTAGAAATTTCTACTTTTTATATTAATAACAGTGTTCAAATCATTCCCACACTGGTAGAATAAGGCATATTAAACAATGCCTTTTTAATAACGATTATTGTCTTTTATTCTGTACTTAAAGGTATATTTCACCCCCAAAATTAACATTTTATCATGTTGTTCTAAACCTGTATGGCATTGTTTCTTTGCAGAACATAAAAGAAGATCATTTGAAGATTGATTTTTTTTTTTCAATAAAAGTAAAAAAAATAAATAAATAAAAATGTTTTACTCTATATATGACAGAACATGGCAGAATAAAACATTTTGAGTGAGCTATCACTTTAAAACGTTCAATGTAAACTGAATTATCCATTATCCAAAACTTTCTAAAACTGACTGACACCTCAATTTGAAATCGGCAACAGTAATAAGAAATGTATGAGTTGTATTTTATGCACAAGGTACTTTATTTCTTTCATATTGAGATCTTGAATCTTGTGAAACCACTGACGTACACTGTCCACATTAGGGAACTGTGTAGTTTTACCCATCGCATATTTAGTTAAAATTCACAACAGATGTAGACGGAACAAATATTTTTTTATTTATCAGTACAAAATACAGATGTCTAACCAGATCACATGAGTACTGAATCATGCTTATACCTACTGGATATTTTTAAATTAAATTTAAAATGTTCTCTACTTCATTGTTCTCACTAATCTGAAATGCACAGAGGTTTTGATATAAAGTAATATGAACGTGTGGATAAGCAACAGATATGTGATTCCTTCTATCTCACAAGATCCCGGTTTATTTATTGTAATATATTGAATAGTTGCACAAACATTTGAGGTATGCGGTTTTCATGGTCAACATATTCATCTGTGGTACAAGGCAACTACTGATCACTGCATTCACATATCCAAACAGTCTTAATGAATCCAAATCAGGATCCATTGAATCACCTTCATGTCTTAAACGGTCTTTACGGTTGCAGACATTCATGCTAATTTGGCATACATCATTCAAGCTTATCATCTATTCGTTTCTATATTCAAAACACTGCAAATCAGGTCTCAGCCTTCATGGAAGGCAAACATGTAAACTATCACTACTGGCTACATCAAAAATACCGCAGGAGTTCAGTAGTTGGATGCTAGGTGCTTATGTCGTGTTGACCAATAATTTGAATATGGGGAGGACGTGTCCCCCTCAATGTTTATGATGGTTTTATGGATAAAAGGACATACAGTAAAGCCAAACTGCCCTCATTTTGTGATCCAACTACCTATAAAATCCTGCACTTCCTCGCCCTACAAGCATTAAAGGCCCAATCACACCAAGAACCATAACTGTCCAACACACAATAATGTCATATTTATTATAAGAACACACTCCAGTTATGATATGACACCTACTTAAAATGCTTGACTATTCAATGTCGGGTGGATTCAGCGTTTTATTCATCAACTGGAAAAAATTGTCCTGAAAGTGATTCCACTGGTATCGTTCCTCTTTGCCGTTATAGTTGTAGTGTGGACTTCAGGTTTCAAGGCCAGTTCACACCAAAAACGCTTACTATAATGATAACAATTTGGTGTTCTGTTTAATATAAGTGTGGCAGTTTAATCATCTGCCACTTTAAATTAAGTTTTATTAAAGTTGGGGAGGAACACGTTCGAATTACCTATCCAATCAGCATGAGAGGAGGCCTATAAATATACATAGCAGACTCACCTACGCTCATCGACAGTTTTCTAAATCCCTCCGCTTCTACTAGGTACTATCCTAATCAGGGATACTGAGGGAGTACTCTGGGTTCGGGCTAAATTCCAAGCTTGGAGAGCATGCCAAACACGCATACTCTTTTCTTAGCTTATTATTTGTAAGTGTGAAATCCTAACACTCAAAAATTGGTTGGATTCCAACTGGCTGTCAATGTTTTTATCGATCATCAGCTGTAAAAGCTATTCTGAAAGTGATTCCAATTATATTGTTTCTCGTTTCACTATCGTTATAATTGTGGTGTGAACTTCGCTATTCTCTTAGAGCAATTAAGTAATTGTTATATGTATCTTTGTTGTGAACAGGCCTTTATAGTTTGAGTTATCGTCCTTGGTGTGAAGGGGCCATAAGATACGAAAGTGCACAGGAAGGTATTCTTGTCTCTTATTTTAGAACTCAAAACATTAAACCTTTGGGTTACACTTTATTTTAAGGTGTCTTTAGCCGTGTTTCCACCACAAATACCAGGAACTATTTGTCCCAGGAACTTTTTTCATAGGAACTTTTTTTGGCCCAGTCCGCTTGCTTACTGCGTTTACACCACGGACTTAAGTACCGGTCCGGCGCAGGAAGATTATGTAGTGACGTTGAACTGCGTGTGACTGCTCCTCCCAGTCTGCGCGTTTGTTTTGAGTTTTGAGTGCGTTTTGAGTTTTGCATGGAGGAGATTCAAGCTGTGCTGAGGTCATTAACAAAATAGAAAAGAGACGAGCACCCAAAGCGTATTTAGAAAGCTCGTAATGCTAGATATAAAAGTAGACGTTTGTTATCAGCGGACATTGACCGTGAGATGGATGGGACGAACACGCGCCACCGGGCAGAAAGAACAAGTGGTAAGAACCGATCAGCACGTTCAGCGCACAAGTCCCACCCCGAAAGTTCCCGAACTCTGAAAAAGTACCACCTCGCCAGCAGGGATTTTGACCCGGAACTTTATTTAGACCCTGATTCCTGCAGTGTAAACACACCAAGTACCACCCCAAAGTTCCTAGATCCTGGGGAAAGTTCCTGCGGTGGAAATGTGGCTTTTGTTACATGTACTTACTATAGGGTAAGGATTTGGGATTGGTTTGGAGGAAGTTGCATGTAATTATGCATAATTTATAGTTATAACTATAGTTACTACATGTAACAATAGCCGCTTTCCGACCGGAGGGACTTTTGCAGGTCCTAGAACCTAACGTTCCTATAACCATTTTTTTCTTGTGTTCCGACCGGACTAAATTGGGGATTTTTTAGTTCCTCAGACCGTAGTTCCTATAACTCTTTCAGTACCTAGTCAAGAGCGAGGACTTTTTTAGTTCCCTTTCCCTAGGTCTACGTTTATTGGTTCAACTTGAGTCATGCCCACTGTCAACACGGAACTTGTAGCTCGCTGTCTGCCATACGCTGTGTGTTTTTGCAAAACATTACAACGAGGATTAAGACAAACATAACGCATTCAACCAGCTAATTGCTAATGCTAGCTAAACTTACCCGTCGTTTTGTTTGCCTCCTGCGCTCTGCTCTTTTATCTTCTTCCATCATATTACTTAATATCATATTACGCTGGAGCCTTCATCTTATGCGTTTCTCTGTAACTTACAAAACCCAAGCATAATCTTTAAACGCCGCCGTTCGTTCTCCGTTAATTAAGGTCCCGGCAAGGCAAAACAGGAACATTGCAATAATAGCCTGGTTTGTTGTTGTTGTATTTGGCCGCGCTACGTCTAGTGATAAAGACCGTCGCCGTGCTTGCGTTACCCCTCCTACCAGTTCCTATGGCCACTTGGCCAGTGCGAACGCAAGCAGCAAAACCGAGTTTGGGGGAGAGTAGTTCTTAGAACTGTTTAGAAGTGGACAGTTCCTATAACTAAGTTCCTGTAACTAAGCGGCTAATGACACTAAAATAAAGTTCTACCAACCTTTAAAAATGAATATACTGTATCTAGTTGAGTGAGTACAATAAAACTTCACATCAAGACGGACCAAATGATTTACAGTAATGTACAACTCTGTACAACATAATATCGTACAACATAACAGAATGGCACTTCAGAGCAACCGTGAACAAATGTTCTGTGCTAGTGAGGCAGCTTGAACGTGATCACGACTGAACCATAATCCTGGCCGGAATACGGTTTTGACAGTCACCATAGCAGCCTGGTCTTTAAGTAGATACATACGTGAGCTAACAATGGGCACTTGGTCGTTGCACACATGGGACATCTTGTATGGCGCACTCACCGACATGAGGTAAAGAATCAGACAATTGTGCACGTGGTCCCTTTGTAACCAAAGACAAGTGTTCAGGTTTTGTGGGTACGGTGGACTTGGGAGGAAAGACCTATGTAACGCTGCTTTCGTCAACGGTACCCTCACAGACTTCCTCTGCACCCCCACTACGATTACCACCAATGCCAAGAACGCCAGACCCAAGGCTGTGCGGCCCACTTTGAGAACTGATTCCTAGAAGAGACCCGGGTGCTGCCATGCTGAGACACGAGACGCCGTTGCTGCTAATGGAATGTTGCGGAGACAAAACAGGAATCCCACTTCTGTTGCCAACGCTACCTTGACTGTGCTCGCTAGCCGATGGGTACTTCAGGTGATGTGGCGGAGAGATGACCGATCTTTCAGATCCTGCTCTTCCGTCTGCTTTGCTGCGTCTCTCGCAGTGTGAGCGATGCCTCATGAAGCTGTCGCGCCACATGAACTTCTTCCCGCAGCCGTGGCAGTCGTAGGGTTTCAGACCGGTGTGGGTCTTCATGTGCTCTGTGAGGTGATGCTTCATCTTGAACTTCTTTGCGCAGACGGGGCAGTGGAAGGGCCGCAAGTCCAGGTGCATGTTGATGTGGCGGTCCCGCATGCTTTTGTGTGTGAAGGTCTTCCCGCAATGACACATGAAGACCTTTCCTGAATTGCCAGCCATGCCACCGTCTAATCCTTCCATCCCGCTACCCAACGCACCTTGGCTGGGTAAGTGGACCGCTCCGTGCTCGAGGCTTCCTTTTAGAGACACCCCGGACATTCCTCCTGCGAGCCCCAATGGAGATGTAGACTCCATGGCGGCTTGATTGTACAGAAGAATCTGGTTTCCTTGCATATCCAGGGGGAAGAGCTGAGCTCTGGCGGCCGTCGACTGAACCGAGCTGAGCAGGGCAGATACGGCCCTGTTGGGGCATTGACCAGGATTCTCAGGAGGGTTTTGAGAGGATGTCTGGTCAATCAACCCCCTCTCAAACTTGAGGTAGTCTTCCGAGGACTGGCAATAGTCAACCTACAGGGAAAAATACATTTTAGTAATGGAGAAAGATCAGTTGCAGAATGGTGTACCTAATAAGCTTTCCATTTCTTTATAGATATTTTGTATCTAATGCAATGACATTAAGACTTTTTAAGTGTGACTTAATTGTCCAAATACTTTTTGGGACCACTATATGAGTGTATTGGTCTTGGTGCATGTAGGCCTGGGCATTATATAGCCAAAAATATATATAGCCATTTTCATGCTCTTACTATTTCATATTGAAGGCAAATTCATATTGTATCGATAATATTCAATATATTGTTCATCCCTAGTTGCAAACCATGTGCAATTTTAGGAAAACTCCTGACTCACCTGTGCCTCCATTTCAGCATTTTCTCTAAATCCAGAGAGGGTCCTAACGTTCGATATGTTAAATGTCCTGTCCCTCTCTCTGACTATCTCCATCTCTCGTTCCTCTTCGTCGTCGCCTCCTTCCTCTCCTCCCGACACCACGATCAGGTCGTCGTCTCTCGAGTGCTCCGTCTTCACCACACCCACTGTTTTCTGGGCATGATGCTCGGCTGACTGTACGACGGCCGCTTCTGGGTCGGTGAGGAATCTCCGTCTTGATACGACGAAACTCCAAAGCTGTCGCTAACCCCAACCTCTTGATCGGAGACTGAGGTCGAGCCCTTACGCTTGCCTCCACGATCACTTTTCCTGGGAAACAAGAGCTCATCGTCGTCGTCTTCTTCATCTTCAATCATGAAACCTTCCTCTGCACCGGAGGGCATACAGTAGGTCGGGGTGGAGTGTACGGCACCCTCTCCTACTGCTCCGGTTGTCACCATGGCCCCGCCAAAGTTTGCGTCTCTAGGACTGAAGTAATTGGTGCTGCTCGGAGACTGGCTCTCGCTGAAGGAAGGTCGACTGGGAGGTTGAGGAGTAGAAGGTGCTTCACCTCCATCAGCTTGGACAACCTTGTTGCCGCCGCCGTCGCCACTGTGTCCTGTATTCTCCTTGTCTCCGGATCCCTGAGGTCCACTGGAACCTCCCCTGCCCTCTCTGAGAAGCTCAGTGCATTTGTCCACAATGTGCCACATTTGAAGCACACTGCCAACGGTGAGGTAGTTAACAATGTCTTCACGGAGCATTCGCAGCTGGCCAGTGTACGCACAACTGAGGACGCTCTCAAAGGCCAGGGGGTCCATGACGGCCGGGATGGAGACGGTGGACATGTTTTTCAGCAGCACCTTGCAAACAAGAAATGAAGAATTCTGATATTGCTAAAAAAGATTGCAAAGATTATTCTGAAATTGTCTAATTGTTCATTTGTGCTCTAAAAAAACATTACAGGCCAATCCCACCTTGCAAACTGCTGCGGTCATCATAATGTCTGACAAGTTTTTGCTCTTGTTTAATGTCTATTGAAGCAAGTGTGTAATGGTTGAATAGTTTTGAATGCATTTTAGGAATGACCTAAAAATATGATAAAATGTTGCTGATGACACGCTTATAATAGTGACATAATGTGACAAACTTGATATACTACTTTCTGCCATTTTTTCTTATACCTATTTAAACAATAATTTTCATTGACTCAATGGAAAAAAATGAGCCAAGAACAAAACGAGATGTTATAAAATACACATTAGGGTGTTTCCTCAGAGGAGGCACAGTGTTTTACATTTTTTGTAAAAAATGTTACAAAATATGACATTGAAAAGTGTAAAAGTCATTTGTTTTTAATATAAAGTAAACCTGTCCAACAGCAACGCCCTCGGGTAAGGTTACAGCGAGAGTCTCAACTCGTCAATCTTGCCTCCTCTGAGTCCATTGAGTTTTAACAGACCCCCTAAACTAAAGCGTATGGGTAATTGAGAATAAATGGTGGAAAGTCACGTTAGATGGTAATTTGTTATAACTGGATATGATTGGTTTGTGTGATAAACCCCGCCTCTTGTTTTGGTGCGAGCTGAGTTTTCGAATCGGCCTGAATGAAGATAATGATGGCGTTCATGGAAAGACTAATTAAAAAGTGAGTAAACAACTCAGCCACCTAGATATATCTTTATGTCTCCCCATTTTAAAACACCACCCAATAATCAAGAGGGTGGGCCATTAAGAATTTTAATGAACATCAAAAATGTTAAGCAAACAGGACATTACTTTTTTACAGCATTTAGATAAAGACATACCTGGTCATGAAAGTATGGTGACGATGCTGCCAGCACACACCGGTGGGCCTTGAACACCTGGCCCTGAACATGGATGGAGAGGTCGCAGAGATGGCCTTCTTCACGCTGCCGATTAAGGCTGTCCAGCACTGATGTCTGCACGCTGGGGAAGCAAACCTGCACCACTGAACCAGTGGCTGAACCCACAGAGTCTCCATAGCTTTGGTCCGCTGTGCCCGACTGCATTCCTGTAAGACAATGAGCGGCACAAAATAACCATCACACAATAATTTGTCAATGCAAAACTTACCTTACACAAGGTACATAGAAGCTGAATATGGCCATCAGTCCTGTTTTAAAGTGCTGGATATTTGCATTCACACAGTTCACATTCACACAGTGACTTCCAGTCACCTTGACATGGAAAACTCTTATTTTATATAATATGTGTGTGTGTGTGTGTGTGTGTGTGTATATATATATATATATATATATATATAGGACTAAAGCAAGTTCATAAATATATATATAAGAACAGTTTTTAGTTTTTATTTCCCACAGACAAATTACAGCATTCATTTAGATCAAGTAACGTAACGTTATGCTTTAATTCTCTTTGGACCCAGCAAATGATAGTGTAGGTCCAAAGAACAAGGGGCATTGACCAGGCACTGCATGAACACTATTTATTGGTGTGTCAAGAAGCCTTTCCGTTTTGTAACAATGAGAATTTACATGAATATAGTTTTCTCAAACCCGGTTAAAATGCCTCAGATGACGTAGATATTTTGCTACATGAAAGTTGCATTGATGTTGATGATCAACAAACACTCCGTGCTTTTGCACGCTCGCTGTCAACGTTTATTGAAATTAATTTCGCCACGTATTTAATTCGCAAATCCGTTAAGAAACGATCGCGTCAGAAATCAAAGGAGTTAGCGGACTGCTCTTATTATTTACGTTAGCCAGCCGCTGCCTAACGAATCCGTGTGGCCTTAAGAAGCACGGAAGAGGATAGTCTCATAAATCAGTCTCTTTTTATCCAACAAGACATCTTACCGATTTAAATATCTCCGTCAGGCACTCAAAAGGGGGTTTTTCATAATGATAACTCGCTGTTTCCCACCGTTCGGGAATGCCGAGCGTAATGGTGGACTGACATCTGGTTCGGAGTCTGGTTTTACCTTTAAGAGATCCCAGACAGCTGCTCTAGACTCGGCCGACAAAAAAAGGAACCAAACACTGGATCCCATTCACTATTGTCATGGCAACAAGTGGTGCTGTTTCAAAGCCGTTTCTGAATCTATAGATTTTATAACCATGTTCCACATACAAAAAATTGCCGTGGTAACAATATTTGCCTTAGCAACATCGAGGAATTTTGACACGTCACAGTAGCTATACTCAATCTAAAACTATTCTACTTAGATTTTGTCTAAAGATTTTATATAGTCTCATGTTGGTATAATTATTACGAGTAAATTGTGTACTTTTAAGCACTTTTAACTTTGTAAAGCGACTAAATTCGTAAACAGTCAGGACATTTTACTTGAACTGCCACAATTTCCTCCGATGGTTTATTTTTCGCTTGTTTCCTAGTCCATAAACTTTTGCTATTTACCATGTATCTTACGCTTAATTGTTTGGGAAGAAAATATACAATTCCAAAAAGCTTTTCTACTTATATTTTTATAATATTTTATTCATGTGATGCAAAACTAAATTCTCCGCAGCCATTACTTCAATCTTCAGTGTCACGTGATCGTTCAGAAATCATTATTAGTATCAATAGTGGCTCTTAACATTAATGTTGTTGTATCAAAATCACCCTTATGGTATTACATATTAACATTGAAAGCCTGTGAAAATGTATTTCTAATGAAAACAGTGGCTAAATTATCCGTTTTACTATTATAGAAACAAGTATTTTGACAAACCATGTTTATTATGGTAATTAGTTTGTGAGAGAAACAACTCCTTTGTATTTTCACAGCAAGCAAATTAATTTCCCAAGATCAAAATTGTCCAAACTTTGTCCACTTGGCATCATATTCAGGCTCACAACTGCACTTCCATTAGGCCAAAATGGAAAATTTATTGATCTCTCTGAAGCACAATATGCATTTAATGGTTGTAAAACAATAATGAAAATAATTGTCTGCCAGTAAGATTGTACATTAAAATGCATCACAGAAATATAAATTGCATTACAGAAATATAAAAAGATGCCAAAGACAGGAGAGATTAGGAAAAACACAAAATAGCAGAAGTTAAAAACATTTAAAAATGACCAGAGGATGTTCAGAAACGAACTCGGCTAAACTACTTCCGATTGGCTGAGGCTGTTCCGATGACACAGTCGTTCACCTGCAACACAGAGAGCATGAGTTATAGACTGTGTTCTATATTCTCATAAAATAAAACATTTACATGTGATCACTTAAGATCACTCACCTTGCTGGCAAAGCGCAGAGAATTCAGCGATTCACTGAAACTCTCTTCCTCAGGTGAGATATTCACAAACATCAAACTGTCCAAAAGGTAAAGAAATGAGTCACAGTTTCCGTAAAACAATTATATTCAGCAAAAACTCCATCACAGGCTACAAAACATGTACTTGAGCATTTTGCTTACGTTTTGCTGTTGCCTCCGAGGCAGTTCTGGAGGAGGTACGTGAGCTTTGAGTTACGGTAGGGAATAAAGCTCTCCTGAAAAGTTGAGTAAAAAATTGAGTGAGTGAAATCATTATTTTTGTAGAATATAAAAGACATTTTCTACATCTAACAATGCACCACGAATTTCAGAAGACTACAGTTTTGAAAATAAGTCTTATATACTAAAGGTCCTTTCACATAGAGGATAATATAACTAATATATCGATATATATTAGTGGTGTGGACACTAATAATGATCATCATTATTGTTCTTCATGCTAACGGGCCTTAAGTGAGCTAGAAGAAGGTTAAATTCCCCAATAGCTCAGTATTAGGTTCCATATATTTAGCTAAAAATGTACCTTGTTGGCCAAAGCAGCGATCACAATTCCCAGGTTGGTGAGGGAAGAGTTGATGGCAGTCATTTCCTTGAAACGCTCACCTTGAGACTGACTCTTCTGTACTCTCTCACTGCCAGCCAAGTCCACTAGACACAGCGTGGCTGAAAAGCATCAATACACAACTAAAATCAGGCATCAATGTGAAATATTATTTCTGACTTTAAAAGTGTGGACAAACTCAATATCACACATGAAGACTACCCTAAATTGGAAATCTACACCACTTTAAGAAGAGAAGTTTCTCTATTATATAAAGTTATTGTAGACGCAGGTAGTATGTGATTCTTACACTTGCACTTGGAGTCTCGAGCAGAGTTCTCTCCCTCTATGTCTAGCTGGAACACAGAGTGAGAACGTGACGAGTGATCGTTCATGCCTGTGCGGGCAGTGGAACGGTTCTGGTTTGCCAACATGATCAAGTTATGCACCTGAGAAAAAAAAAATAAAGACACGTCAAAAAAACTGCAACAAGCATGTATAAAACAATACAAACAAATTCAATTATAACTGGGATTACTCTGAATTTGAACAAAGCATAAAAAGGAGTAGTTCACGTCGAACTCGTTCATTAAAAATGAACGAATCTTTTTTGAATGAGTTCGAACAGGAGAGTCACAAACGCGCATAACAGAACAGAGTAAGGCGAGCATTTGTGCTTATAAAACTGAAAGTTTTTTTATTTATTTTTGAAATGAGCGATCGTTTCGCTAGATAAGACCCTTATTCATCGTCTGGTGTTTAAAGCTGCACTGAAACTCATTTGGACCTTGAACCGTTTGGTTCCCACTGAAGTCCAATATATGGAGAAAATCCTGGAATGTTTATCAAAAACCTTCATTTCTTTTCGACTGAAAAAAGAAAGACATGGACATCTTGGATGACATGGGGGTGAGTAAATTATCAGCAAAAGTGTTTTTTTTTTTTTAAAGTGAGCAGAGCTACTCCTTTAAGAAGAAAATTGATTGCAGGAAATTGTGACCATCTTTTCTTTCCTTTTGTATCATAACAAAGTTAAACTGCTAATCGAATGAATGGAGGAAGCAAAGAAACATTAAAAAAAAAAAAAAAATACTAATGTGCACTGATAAATCATTTATAATAATGCGTTTTAAACTAGCAGTACCTCATCCTCATTGTTAACTTTTTGGTAGGTGAGATTGGTAACAGTGATCTCATTGTTGGAGATCTTCCTGATCTCATGTTCAGGTCTCTTGTTTGCTTTTCCCTTGAAGAGAAGATCTCGAAGGGTCTCATTGTAGATCTCCACAAAGCTGGCGGTGAATGTGTACTAAAAATACCAACCCAAGAACACTCCATTAATAACAAACCATGATGAGGGCAATAATAACACTCAGTGGATGCTCTAAAACAATACATCACACCATATTTAACCTCTTTTGGACAACAGATGGAATTCTATGTAGTTCTTACCTGCCAGCCTTGCTCTTGGAGTGCTTTGGCAGACTTGAAGATTTGCTGGACAGCACGTGGGATGACCCCCGACAAATCCTCCATGTCACCCCCTTCCATAGTAAAGGTCTTCCCGCTGCCAGTTTGCCCATAAGCAAAGCAGCAAACGTTGTACCCATCCAGAGCAGACTGAACCAGAAGGGAAATCTCTTCGAAAACCTCCCTCTGTGAGGAACGTGGCCCAAACACACGGTCGAAGCTAAAGTTGTAGTTCTTGTGTGTGTCAGCAGTGCGACCTGTGTGTGACTGAAAAAGAGAAGAGGAAAATCAGAGGGGTTCTTTGTCAAATACTTTGAGTCAGTGGTTCTCAACTCTGATTCCTAAGATCCACTTTCCTGCAGAGTTTTGCTCTGGCCTTGACATAACTCACCCGTCTGTAACTTTACAATAATCCTGAAGACCTTGATTAACTTGTTCAGTTGTGTTTGATTAGGGTTGAAGCTAAACTCAGCAGGAAAGTGGACCTCAATGGCCAGTGTTGAGAACTCCTGCTTATGGTTATACAAAGAAGAAACGTCCCTAAAACCAGAAGCGTGATGAGAAGAATTTACCTCCTCCATTTTGGCAAGGGTGAGAGCCTTGTTGTCGTGGGCCGGCAGCTGGATGTGCAGAATATCAGGCTGATTGCCAGTCAGCAATGGGCGGACTCTACAAAACACTCGGATGTTTCCCTAAAAAAGAAAAGAAAAAGTGTGATTAAAGAATGCATATATGCACATACAACATGACTAAATACTTGAAAATATTAGTGGGATTTTGGACCAATGACATCTGACAGTGCAAAGCCACCCAGTATAATGGCTGCACCCAAAAATCGCATACTTCTCTACAATACAGTACGCAAAAAACAGTGTGATAACCAGTTTGTCTGAAGTCACAGTACTCATAAGAGCAGGCAAAACTAAAGACCTAATACTTCTGGTGAGATGGACACTTTACTATCCCAAGAGGCCACGGGAGAGGATTTGTGCATGGCAGAGAAGTGACAACTGACACTTATAGGTCACATGGTGAAGTAATTACTTATTCAAAAGAAGTACCTACTCAGAGAGTATGTGATTTCAGACACAGACGATGTGACAAATTAAAACCAAGCGAACAAAAACGCACATAGGTCTTCATCACAGCTTACCTTGAGCTCTTGAATGGTATTGTGGAGTTTCCTTCGCTCCATTTCTCCTGAGTGGAGCTCTTCCCGTTGACGGGCCACTGTTTCCTCAAGGTTCCTGACCAGTTCTTGGCTCTCCTTCAAACTGTCTTGACACCGGCCCAGTGCAGAGGTCTGAATGGAGAGCTGAGTCTGAGGAAAAACACAAGGATGTTACAGTTTAATAGTGTCAGATCCCTCGAGACAGATATTAATTTGGCCCGTGTAGATGTATACCTGTACATTGCGCAGCTCAGACTCCAAATGATCCCTGAGTCCTTCCAAAACCTTATGCTCCTCGGTTAGCTTGCTGAGGTCTTTCTTAAGTCCATCTCTCTCTTTAGAGGCTTGGGCCAGGTCATCTTTCACAGTAGTTAGCTTTACCAGCTCCTCTTCACAATCCCTACAACAGAATCAGGAATATTATCGGGCAAATAAATGAAGGACCACCAGGTTATGATTTGTTATGGATTAATTTTATACAATTTACCTGAGACGCTTTTTGAGACCAATATTCTCCTCTTCGATTTCAGCCTTACACTTTTGGGCTTTGTTTATCGACTCTTTGAGATACTCGTTTTCCTGATTGACAGATTTTACTTTAGTCTGGTAGTTCTGGACTTTAGTCTCCATATCAGTGACTTTTCCCTTCAGGTCCCATCCTGGCCTTCGTGACTGAGTTGAACCTGCAGTTGCTGAAAGTGGATAAATGAACCATTTGTTGTCATGTTAAAGTTTTGGAAATTCAAACATATTTACAAATGGACACATTTTAACCCACACATATTATATTACCTTTAGCAACTGCTGCAACTGGTCTTCTCTGGTCACCTTGATGGAAAGACAAAATGTATGTTATGTTGACATATTCCAACTTCTGATATTTCTTTGCAACTATAATATCCAAATTCATTTATATCTAAATGGACAAAGACAGGTGAATAGTTTGACCTGTATTTTTGTACTAATTACCTGGTTGTAGTAGTGTTATACAAGTGTGTGTGTTTGTGCCTATGACTTGTTAATGGAAATGGAAGCTGTCTTTTCTTTCGTAGTGTGCTGTAGATTTCAGTGAAATTACTTCTCGGGAAAAAAATTAATTAAAAAATAAGGCGGGACTTGATTTTGTCCATGGGGAATTGATTGGATCGTTGTTACTAATGCTGTGATCTCATGTGAGTGACAGGTTGCCCCGCCCTCGTGCCAGTAAACACATCATCAGAAAAGAAGCCATTGCAAGAGAATGGGTGAGTAATTTTGATTAAAGAATAGAAGGGCATATTTAAAAAGATAATGAAATTATTTCAAAATAAATACCGCTATATTCCATAATAGTCATTTTGATTTCATGCTGACTTTAAAGGATGTCCCTAAAAGCTACATGTTTTGCAATACCTCTTGAGGGGGCAGCAGCCACTGTTGCGGCTCCAATCGGACGAATAGGTTTGCCTGAAAGAAGAGAGACAGCATTCTATTTTAGCCAAATAGAACCCAAAAGCTAAACCTAAAAATTTCTAATTTGTATATAACTTACCAAGAGCTTTAACTGGCAAAGGCCGTCTCGGGGGCGCAACACTTGCTGCAGGTCTGAACCTCTGAGATGGCTCGGTGTCCACCTTACGCATCTTTTTCTGCAACGAATGAGGATGTTTAACATTAAATATATTCAAATATGGATTCCCACCCAAAAGTGAGAATTTGTGTTGAAGGATGTGAAATCTGAATGAACTACAAACTCACTTGCGCAGGCTGTTGGCTCTCCCCATCCGTGTTGCTGGTGTGAGCCCGTTTCCCAGACATTACAGGGAGACGGGATATTGCAGTCTGCAAAACCAAGAGAATGACATGAACAGACTTTCAATAAATGACAGCAGAGCTATTTCACAGACTTGAAAACCAAAACAAAGGAGTTGTAGTTTAGGAATAATGCTATCAAACCTAAACTGCTAATGTGTGTTTGTGCATAATACTTCATCTTCATACTTCTTTAAACTGAACAAATAGGTTGGGCTCCTTATGCATGCATGCAAGTTTATTTGAACTTGTTGAGCCTGTATATCCTATTTGAATGTTTATAATCTCACCTCTTTGCTCATGGATCTTGTTCAGCTCTTCGTGAAGTCAAGCACAAAGTAAATACAAAGCCCAAAACATTAAAAAGTTTAGTTAACGTTAGTCAGCAAGGTGAACTTATACAGAGTTGAAATCGGCAAACTACAAGTTACTTATAAAAAGATTTAATGTGAATTAACGAAAACAAACAGTGGCTAAAAACATTGCGACCAAGCCGACGTCATTCGCGTAACTTTACAAAACACCGCACACATTTATACAATTAATTTCTATATATCTTCAAATCCGCATAAAGACTAATATGTAAATTATCATACGTGCAGTTAAGGCATAATTTTTAAAAATCACTAACCTTTTATAAACCGATCTAGTAAATGCAATGACTGGGAACACACCCCAGAGAAATAATCCTTCGTAGCCGTTTGAAATTTTCAAATTGAAAATGTGTGTGTGTAGTCGCTTTTCCCGCTGAGCTGTCATTGGTCGAATCGGAACCAATCAATACAAAGCATTCAATAACCCCCGCCCACATGGGGGGAGCGTAACCAGAACCACAGCACCAGTCAGTTTTCAGCTTTTTCATGGAAAACAATTTATTTTTTGCGGACCATACACATATGTAAACACTACAGAGTAGATTTTTTTTTTTTTTTTTGCAATACGCCTCCGTGAATATATATATATTATATATATATATATATATATATATATATATATAAATTTTTTCAAATGTGCAAAAAGATAGTACTTGTTGACAATAAATGTAAACATCTTATAATACAATGAATAAATAAATACATTATATAGAATGAGCACTTACATACATAAAAGAACAGGCTGTATTAATTTACATGTATAAATGTACAATGTTAATGCACCATATATTTCTATACATATTAACCTGGTTGCAACGTGTTCATATTTCTTCACATAATTATTCTTATTAATATGCATGATATGCAAATACATGGTGATTTTCAAACATCATTTCAACATTTTTTTTGCACCAAAAAACAAAAACAAAAAACGACCTCACATGGCGGAAGTGAATTTGGCAGTAAGGTTTTTGTATTTTTGACCTCATTCACAGGAAGTGTAGTCGAGCGAAGTCGGACAGCCCTTCGAGAGAGAAAAAAAAGAAAAAAATTAAGGGAAAAAAAATCGGTGAATCCAAGGGGTTCGGGCGGATTTGGACGAAGTTTCCGAACTGTCCCGGCCCGGAGGAGCCCTGGGGGTTGAAAGGGAATCGCCAGCACCGGTAATTAACACAGAGTTATGAGTCAATTGTGAATTATTTCTCCAAATTTGAGCAACTCACGCGGGCGCTTCTCCCCCTGTCTCGCCAGCCGGAAGTCTGCATGAAGCTGCGTCTCTCTCGCATTGGCGTCGACGTTTTTTTTTTCTCTCTTCGTTTTTTTTTATCCTCGAGTTTTTTTTTCTTTTTTATTTTCTCCGTGAGACTAACCGAGAGAGGGATGGAGGCATAGGGGCATTATTGTTTGCAAGCGGAAGTTTACATGTTGCATAGCTTTTGGATAGTGCTGCTTTCTTTGCGTGCATAACAAAAGCTGACATTTTAATGGAGGCTGGTTGAGGAAGCCCTGATATCATTAATTGATTGTTTTATGCCTTTCCAGCTACCTTTCCTTTGGATTGTTAATGCATATGTCATTAACCTGGTCCCACTAGATAGAAACATGCTTGAGCTGTCATTGCTGCAAAACACGGATGCAACCCTTACAAAACAAATAAAACGCGTCATTGTTCACCTTACCTTGTTTTTATTTCGGCATGCATATGAAATGAAATACGGTCAGTTATGCACAAAAGTTGACTTGGAGGGCTACTTGCACATTTGATCTGTTTTTTTTATTACGATCATCGGTCGCACACACAGATTTGGCGCAGGGTCGCTGCTTTTGTTTTGATGCCTATTTATAGCGCGCGCGATTCTCAATGCAAGTTCTGTGTCTTTCGTGCAATTAAACAATTAGTGCTACAGACAACAAATTGTGTGTGTTTTAAAAAATTTAATATAAGATAGTCTAAGTATATTTATAAAAAATGTCACTAACATAGCCCTGCTGAATTTCTTTTTCTTTCTTTTTTTAACCAGCCTAAACTAGTTTGCTGGTTTAAAATCAGTATGAAATAAAAATTTACAATATTTTCTAAATGCATGTGATGATTTTATTGTGAGCAATTCATCCATGCATGTGTTTAAAGTTTAGGGCCCAAGAACCAATGGTGTGTGAACTGGTCTGTTTATTTGACCTTGTAATGTTTAATGAAAATGTCATAACTGAATTTTTTTAGTGAAAACCTCAGGATTTTCTCTGGTCATGTATGCAAAACTCCTCCAATCAATTAGTTTGCTTAAACTCCGCCCCTGCAGGCTTATGCTCATATGCCTCCTTTTTTATGCCCCGCCCTACATGTTTTTTCAATAATCTATTACACTTAGACGAATGTCACATGGACTTGACTGGTTTTAGCTTGTAGACTAGTTTGTCAACTTAAAACCATGAAATCATTAAAAAAATATATATATATTAATGGAATATTGCATTATTTATTATAAAAGATTTATCTCAATGCACATAATTGTTTTAAAATTCATGTGCATTTGTTATCTTTATTCAATCTCCCTCCCACCCACCCCAATAGAGGGTATGCATTGACGTCACTTTCCTGTCGGAATACGCCTCAGCTGGACTGAGTGGCAAAAGAGCTGGGTTAATTGGGGAAACTGCGAAAACACAAGTAAAACCAACAATAATCAGTTTAAACTAAAGGTTGGACTCGATATAGTGTTCCTTACAACTTACCAAAGATCCAGTGATCATGGATATTGACATGCATGATTCCTGGCATTTATATGTGCCTGATTTCCACGCCGTGGTAGTACATAAAGCAAATTTGCCTTTTGTATAAATACAATATAGGTAGGTTCTAAATCCATGTGATCACTTAAATCAATGTTATATCATCATATCTTCCATCCTTAAAACTTGAATAGTTTTTTTTGTCAGTGTTTATTTAAAAACGTTCAATTATGCAGAATATACTATGGTAATTATTGATGAGTTGTCAATAATATATAACAATTACAATATATAGCCTAGGGTATGGTTTTACCCCTAAATTCAGCATATTGACACAGATTGTTAACTGCAAATCCATATTTTGCTGCCTGGAGTCCAATTTTTTCTATGAATTGCAGCGATCCATTTGCTTTTCTGTAGCTTTCGGAGTCTGTAAAATTTACCTCAGATTTCTTGTCAAATCTAGTTGAACAGTCAATCGCAAAGCTCTTTCCAGTTGTAGATGTGTTTTTCGCGCCATTCAGGCTGAAAACAAATGCTGCCATTCAGTCTTTTTGCCACTCAGTGGGCGTAACCGCAGTCACTCCAGCCGACGGTGACGTCACGCGCATACCCTCCATTGCAGCGACATCTAGGCTGCATACGAAATCACATACTTCCCTACTATAGTAGGCAAAACAACTGTATGCGTCAAGAGAAGAATTTCTGAAATCAGGGTACTCATAAAAGAGTAGACAAAAAGACCTACTACTTCCGAGATTCTGAAGTGTGCATATGATGGACGCTTTACCATTTCAGATGGCCAAAATGGCAGTGAAGCAACCTAAATGACTATGTAGTATGTCAAGGTTACATTCTTACTATGTAGAACATACTTTTCAGTGGTAATTACTTATTTAAAATAAGTATTTATTCAAGAAGAGAGTATGTGATTTCAGATGCAGCCTTCTTCTCTGACGGTGTTTGGTGTGTGGACAACGTGTCACTCACATGACATCACAGCAACTGCAAACCACAACCATCCAAACATCAAAACAATTCCTCATGTATTAAATCAAGTCCTGTCCTACATTTTTTCTAGTTTGAGAAGACATATAACTTTGATATACGTCACAAAAGAGAAGAAAAGACTTGCGCAAATTCCGTTTCATGCTAACTTTAAACCAGCTGAGCACCAGCTTGGCTAGTTTGAGAGACCATTAAAGGGATAGTTCACTTTGAAATTCATTTTTGATATGTTTAAGCTTACCTCAAGGGCATCCAAGATGTAGGTGTCTTTGTTTCTGCAGTAGTTTCAATTTTGATATTTTTAGGTCAAACCGTTCTTGTCTGTCAGTCATATAATGGAGGTCTATGGTCACCACCTCAAAGAGCATGCACGGAGAAGTCCAAATTAAACATGATTTAATGACTCGTAAATGTAAGTACACATTGATGGCCTAAGACACGAAACGAGCGGTTTGTGTGAGAAAACGAACAGTATTTATATCGGTTTTACTTCTTGTAACCACAGCCACGTCCAAGCTACGTTGATATATCAAAATCGTCTTCCATTTCAATTTCCTGTATATCTAAATATGTTTAGATCTTCACAGTGAAAGCTAACACTTCTGAAATCTCTGTGTAAACAATGAGTGACGTACACGCGCGAGAGGACGTACACGCTTGCGCAAAGAAAAGCGTCCTCGCGACGCCGCGACACGCGATAAAAGGCATCTTTTCCATGTTAATCAGAGTTTTTGTCCTTACCAGACGCGACGGCGACACGCAAAGTTTCTAATTTAGAAACGGTTCCTATTTCTGCGACGTCGCGGCTGACAGATCCGCCCACACAGAGATATTACACTGGTTATGAGTACACATTATTTATTTTTAGTTAAAAATAGGTCACTTTGCCACAAGCGATAACGGATAATTCACCTCAGATTTTGAAAGCATATAATATAGCGTTCAAAATAAATTCTATGCAAACGTACAAATGTACTTCATAACAAAATTAGTCAATGGGTATATTTTGTTAATGTTTTGATTTTTAATAATGTTATTTCTTGATTTGATTATGTCCTTACCCATTTCCAATGCGAGTGCGGGCCAGCAGTGCGCTTTCACGCTGTTCTGAATGGCTGTGATGTTTGATTGACGTGTGGCGTATCACAGTCGCGTCGCGTCTAGTGTGGACAGACACACTTGCTGTCGCTGGTTTTTATCGTGTCGCATGTAGTTAGGACACGGTGTCAGAGTACTTGGACGTGACTGTGATTACAAAAGGTAAAAACGATATAAATACTGTTCGTTTTCTCACACAAACCGTTCGTTTCGTGTCTTAGGCCATCAATGTGTACGTACATTTAATTACGAGTCATTAAATCATGTTTAATTTGGACTTCTCTGTGCATGCTCTTTGAGGTGGTGACCATAGACCTCCATTATATGACTGACAGACAAGAACGGTTTGACCTAAAAATATAAAAATTGAAACTACTGTGGAAACAAAGACATCTACATCTTGGATGGCCTTGATGTAAGCTAAAACATACCAAAAATTAATTTCAAAGTGAACTATCCCTTTAAGACATCATTGCCTGGTTCAAGCTGTTTGTTCTTCATGGAGTTAATATGCAGGCTGAGAGGGCATGCATGCATTTTTATGTTATTCATTTGTGTCAGTTATGTTTTACACATCGGGTTGTGCATGTATCGTGATTCCTAACCCAACACGCCTCTTTGCCATCCACCGGAAAGATGCTTTTTTTATCCTTTGCCTAAAGATAAATAAAGTCAAGAGAGTAAAAATGCATGACATTTTGACGGATGTTTCAACGAAATTAAGAACATAAATGTAATGCAAGGTACTTGGGTGCCAAAATGAATAAGTCTGGTCCAAGTGAGTGAATAAATCTTCAGGCCACAAGAGAAACATAGGGGCGAGGTGTCATTTCACAACTGTTGGTAAAGGCAGAGTGGGTGTTTTACAAGTTATGTTGCTTTTCAATTGCAGAAATAATGGAAGATTCCCATTTCAACTCATCATACTTTTGGTCTCCCGTACCAACAGTACAAGGACAGGTAGACACCTTATTATTGGACTCTTGTACAGTACATCGTTGTGTCTTTAACAGACACACCATGCTTATTGAGCTCAATTTAGTAAATCAAAAAAAAAACAAAACAAGCATACCAGTCTGGGATGGCTAACACCAGCCTCGCACTGATCCATGTGAAAGTTACACACTGGAAGCCCAGCACAAGCATTGAGAAAAAGTAACCCTTCCCTCGCTGCTCTTTCCTTTTCCCCCCTTCATCCTTCATCTGTGTTATCTCTCAATCCATCGTCCTTTTCTCTTTCCTCCGTTCCTTTTTTCCCTTGTTTTTTTCCCCATTCATTTTAGATTGAGAACGCCATGTTTCTGAACAAGATGAAAGAACAGCTGGGGCCGGACAAGGGCGCTTCCTTTCCGCACTCGTCCGCGGCGCACTACCCTACGGCGGTGCTGACGGTGCCAGGCTCGGTCGCCATGGACACGGGAGCCATCGGGAGGGTGCCGAAACAGGAAGGTGGCGGAGGAGGAGGAGCCGGGACAGCAGGGGCACAAATGACTGCCGTTGGAGCGCACCTGCACCCACCTCACACGTCCCAGAACATCACAGTGGTGCCCGTACCAACTACTGGCATCATGACGGCTGGTGGGTGTTCAAAGTTATCTCAAAGTGAAGAGATGTTAACTAAATTTTCAACTTTTCAAATTTGGTCAAAATCATGTGTTTCCCTTGTGTCTCTCAGCGGGGTTGGTGATCACGACTCCTCAGGGCGCATTGGTCACTCCTCCTTCCTCCTCTCAGTCTTTTGTTTCTGGACCACAAACAACGACCATGATTGTGTCCGCTCTGCACCCAACAAACACAGGTAAACAATTTTACTGACCGTTCAGACCCTTCCATCATACCCACCTTTAAATTAAAGAGCCCCTATCATGGATTTTTGAAAATGACAGTTCATATGGTGTGGAATATAGCTCTAAGGTAATGAAAACATACTGCAAAGATTTATATCTGAAAGCGGACCGTATAGACCATTTCACAAGATGTAAACAACACTGGTCCAGAAACACTTCCTGTTTCAGTTTGTAACTGTTTTCTTTATTTCACATGTAAAGAAAACATCTTAAAGATGTTTGTTTAACTTTTTGATTCATTTTTAAATGTTCTGTTGGTTGTATTTTATCCCAGCTTTTATGTAGTGTTAAAAAACTGAAACAGGAAGTGCTTCTGGACCAGTGTTGTTTACATCTTGTGAAATGGTCTATATAAAGTTATTGTCTTTCAAAAGTGAGAGTCGACTCTGAGTCTATGAAATGAATTGTTTTTGAAACGAGTCATTAGCTGTTACATCGTGACGTAGAGAGGTCATTGGCCGCGCCCAGTTACTGCGCGCGCAGACGGAAGTGTAAACTTGAAGTCTACACATTCAAATACTTCATCATAGCATCATGTCGAGAAGACGCTGTGTTCTACAATGCAAAGATAGTTCAACCACTTTGTTTTCATTTACCAGGGTCGAGCATGTGAAGAATCGGGGGTTAGAGTTCATATTTGTCACGATACCACAACAGTATAGCCCGATTGTGTTCTCATCATTTTAATTACGAATCGTTCAAAAACATAAATGAATTCAAATGTGGATTCGCAAGCGGTTGTTCCTGAAGGAGGGCTCAGTAACTTACTTACCCAGTGTATATGGATCAGCTTCCTCCTTCGAATCACAACCTGTAAGTATTATTAATAATTGTTGCTTTTATGGGTTTTGAACGGTTTTGTTGCGTCGGGGCGCGAGGCAGTATGTGTGCGCGCGTGTATCTGTGTAAGTTACGCTCAGCGCAGCTTCTAGGTCTCCAATGTCAATTTTTTTAAATATGTTAAATGTTTGTCGCTGTTATTGGAGTTGTCATAAAGAATATAGCGTCTTGTAGTACTGCAGTGCTTTATCAATATGTTGTTTATGCGTTATGCTAACAAACAACTGACTGGGTCTGTCATCAGACCAATCACCGCCGATTAGCGTCACGCAGAGGAGTGGTTTGGAAAAATGAGTCGTTGTACGAATCATTTGGGAGTCGGTGAGCAAATCAGTGAAAAATAAATGCATATTATAAGACAAATAAAGTGTTTTTTATCCTTGCATGCATGTTAGACTGTTTTTGGGAACTCCTAAAACAAAAATAGGAACATTTCAAATGCTATGATAGGGGCTCTTTAATATTAGTGATAAAACCAAAAGTATAAGATTGTTATTATGTATAAAATATGAATTATGTATAGAACTTCAATAAATAGTATTAAACTTGCATTTATTTATTGTAACAATGTTTTTTTGTACATGTACTGTATAAACACACACACACACACACATATATATATATATACGTCCTCAGATTCAGAATTATGCTTATCTATGTCAACAGTAGCAACAGTGAAATTAATCTGCAGCAGCCAGGTACAAGCTCTCCAAGTTGTTTACTTTCATTATTATTTTAATGTTATGTGCTTTGAGACATGAGGTAGTTTAACGCCGTCTCTCGTGACGGTTTGCAGAGAGCTGTGTGCAATCATGTGTTTTGGAGAAGGTGTGGCTTTGGACGGTATTTGCAGGGAGGGTGGGATCGTATGCTTTTAATGCTAGCAGGCTAACATTAGCATTTCCCAGATCGCCATTATCTTTTTAAAAATTCACTTGCTTAAAGGAGTAGTTCACTTTTAAAAAACCTTTTGCTGATAATTTACTCACCCCTATGTCATCCAAGATGTCCACATCTTTCTTTCTTCAGTCGAAAAGAAATTAAGGTTTTTGATGAAAACATTTCAGGATTTTCTCCATATAATGGACTTCAATGGGGTCCAAACGGTTCAAGGTCCAAAGAGAGTTTCAGTGCAGCTTCAAAGGGCTTTAAACGACACCAGATGATGAATAAGGGTCTTATCTAGGACCCTTCGAGTCATGACTCGAAAAAAGATTTGTTCATTTTGATGAATGAGTTTGAACAGGAGAGTCACGAACGTGCATCACATAACAGAGCAAGGCGAGCATTTGTGCTTATAAAACTTACATTTTTATTTTTATTTTTAATGAGCGATCGTTTCGCTAGATAAGACCCTTATTCATCGTCTGGTGTCGTTTAAAGCCCTTTGAAGCTGCACTGAAACTCTCTTTTGGACCTTGAACCGTTTGGTTCCCATTGAAGTCCATTATATGGAGAAAATCCTGGAATGTTTTCATCAAAAACCTTAATTTCTTTTCGACTGAAGAAAGAAAGACGTGGACATCTTGGATGACACGGGGGTGAGTAAATTATCAGCAAAAGGTTTTTTTAAAAGTGAACTACTCCTTTAAGCAGCCATTCTCAGATCCAAAGAAGCTGTAGGAAGTGAAATTAAAGTGATAGTGACTGTGGGAGGTAGTGAGAAGGGATGGATGATGGATGGAGAGAGGGAGGGACAGGGAGCTCTATATTTTGAGTATGTTCTGCTTTTTCCTGTCAGAGGCTGTCCGGTCCCCTTCCCTCTATCTCCACAGCCACTGTAAGTATAATAGCACATGTACATCTCTACCAAAAAACCTACAATGACACTCATTCACACATCACTAAAGCAGTTATTGCAATGAAATTACAGTTTATTTACCCTGTGTATTCATTTAGTGGTTTTAAAGGGATAGATCACCCAAAAATTAAAACTCTGTCATCATTTACTCACCCTCAAGTTGTTCCAGACCTGTATAAGTTTCTTTCTTCTGCTGAACACAAATAAAGATATTTATAAGATTTGGAAGAAAGAAACTCATACAGGTCTGGAACAACTTGAGGGTGAGTAAATGATGACAGACTTTGGATTAAATATCCTTTTTATACATGGATTAGCAATGTGACGACTAATAGTATTTAAATAACCTCTCAGGAACAACATTTTGCTGTGATAAGATTTCAGTTAAATTAATAAATTCATATAAGAACAACATTATTTTATATAATACAGGGTGAGAAATCTTTGTACTCAGGCATAATAAGATCATTGGTTTGGAAAACCACAATGTTTTGCCAAGGTAGACCTTTAAAAGTTGGGGCATTACAATGTGTCATAAGGTTTTTAGCACACATTTAGGTCAGTTTTATTGAAATTTATCTGAAAGGTTTACTAAATGTTTGACTTAATGTTTGAGGGTCATGTCAGACATTTTGTTGAAAAGTGCAGTAAAGACTCGAGTTTCTGTCACAAGTTTAAAACTTCTCATTGGCTTCTGAATGCATTTGCAGGAAGAAATTATGCACTTTATATTTTATAATCAATATTACATTACTCTTGTTTTTTTGCCCTCCTGATATGAACAGACAAGAAAGAGGATGGCAGCATCCCACCTGCTGTAGTCATGCCAGTTCCTGCAAAGCGGGGGAGAAAGAAGAAGTCCATGATGCAAAGGGCAGGCCCCGTTTCAGCCCACACACTCGCCACAGGAAGTGATGCGCTGATTCTTGCGCACCTGGCCGCTGGGGGACAGGTGTCATAATTTTACCTTCTTATAAAGAAGTTCTTGTTTATAATAAATCAGTCAACTATGAAAAGGGGTCAAATTTATTCTTCAAAAACCTTAAAATTTTAAGAAATGGAGCATATTTATTATTGTGATGTTGCTATATGTTGAAAAGATCCTCAAAACACGCTTCCCTACTAAAGGTAGGCATAAGTAAAAGTTTACTGCTCACTGCATTTTTCTCTTATAGCACAACACAAGTGACCCGTATGACCTCTCCAACGATGAGGATGATCATCAAAGCAAAGATGGGAACAAGTCCTACAGGTACCTGTTATTGGTTATGGAATATCTTCATTTAAACAGGGGATTATTGAAAAACAGAGCAATTTTTCTTCCATATTCGCTATTATCTTGTGGTTTTAATTGAATACTTTATTATCTGATTTGATTGATTTTAGTGTGTATTTAGAATACTATGAAAAAATGATTGTACTTTTAACAGTAAAAGACTAAAATGCTACTGTAAAAACAAGTTTCTTTGGTCTATATGCTCACACTAACACTTTTTGCATGTTTATTTGAACTTCATATTAAGAAGTTTAAGTTCATGACATTTTGACTAGGAAAATTGTTGTTTTCAGTAGGGGAAAGAACCTATATATCTAGATGATAAATGTAATGCATTATTTAGAAATTATGAGATGTATTGTGATACATTTTTTGTAACTGAATCACTATTTCAAGTAAAAAAAACTTCACTAAAGGTCTTGAAAGTGTTGTTGTGGAAATTCTCAATACAAATGCATCCTACTTAAAGGGATACTCCACTTTTTTTGGAAATAGGCTCATTTTACCACTCCCCCAGAGTTAAACAGTTGCGTTTTACCGTTTTCGAATGTCTTAAGCCGATTTTTTGATATTTAGAAGAATATCAGTAACCAGACAGTTTCTGGTCTCATTGACTTCCATAGTATATTTTTTTCCTACTATGGAAGTCAATGAGACCAGAAACTGTCTGGTTAGTGATATTCTTCTAAATATCAGAAAATCAGCTGAATGGATTTGAAAACGGTAAAACTCAACTGTTTAACTCTGGGGGAGTTGTAAAATGAGCCTATTTCCAAAAAAAAAGTGGAGTATCCCTTTAATACAAAACGAATCTGACTTCGCCATGAACAAATTCGGACAACCTCTGGTTGTCAATATAATATCATACAATACTACAGTACTCGGGGTAATTCCCGTCCCCAATAAAATACAATATAATACTATGGTATTTCAGGGTAATTCCCTTCCCAAATACAAAACATTGAGGTAATCCCCCCCCCCACAAAAACAAAATGGTGAAGGTGTCCCATTAAGAGGCTACTATCACTTTCTAATGCGATTTGGATTTCTAATGCAGATGCACTGCTGATTTTTTCTGTAGGTGCCGGATGTGTGCGGTGACGTTCTTCAGCAAATCAGACATGCAGATTCATGCCAAGTCACACACAGAGGCGAAGCCGCACAAGTGTCCTCACTGCTCCAAATCGTTTGCCAACTCCAGCTATCTGGCGCAGCACATCCGCATCCACAGCGGCGCCAAACCCTACACCTGCTCCTACTGCCAGAAAACCTTCAGACAGCTCAGTCACTTACAGCAGCATACACGGTATGTGTGTGTGTATGCGTGTGTGTGTGTTGTGTACCTTGCTATTTAAAGTATGCACCACTACACCTCCTACAGGATGGACCCTCGTCTTGCCAGGGCATTGGCCTAGTTGTGCTTTTGATTAAGATAGGCATGTTTATCTTTCTCTTTTTCCATTCTCTCTTCCTCTAAATACCTCCCTGCCCTTTCCCACCCTGATGCTGTGACGTTTGGGCTTGCACACACACTAATTTAAACAGGATTATATATTCTCTGAAGAATGAAGCAGGTCTTTTTTTCACTCATGCTGATCTCATTGCTCATCTGCTTTTCTTATTTCACACCGCAATGACTAACTTTCATCTTCTTCATTTGATACACTTTAAGTTTGTCAATGTCGTGTGGCCATTTATACTGGCATTGTATTCTTCATTATGCACTTTCATAAAGTTTTTTAAATTCACATCATATACACAAAAACATGTGACTTTGCCTCAACAGAGGCTGTGATTGGATATCTGGACTAACTAGCAGATCAGTTTCATTGCACAGTGACAGCATCTCAAATGTTGGTTTAGTTGTTCTGAAATATCTTCATCAGAATGAGAAGTCCCTCCCAGAAGCGTCTTACACGATTGCATTGCCAAACACCAGCATCTGAACACAAGTAATTTATGATGGAGAAAACTGTGGCTTACCCAATTGCAGCAGCTTCCATTTTTACAACAGACTGATCTGATGAAATGGCATATGTATGACACGGCAATTCGTATTTTCATTTTTGGCGTGCTATCTATATGCATAAATGCTGAAAAAGTGGGCAGACCCCAGCGGAGATAGAGGGGACGAAATAAATGCTAAAACACTCTATCCTGATCGTTTTCAATACTCGCAATTCCAACTCCTGACTCCCTACAGTGGTTTTTGACGAAACAAGCTGCCAAGGCTATAGCTCGTTCCAAAAGCGTGGTGAGCTGAAACGTGCGTCACGAAGAACCGCTAACATTCAATAGGAAAATTCAACTGCAGTAGCCACCGTTCAACCTGAAGAGGGCAGCACTAAGATGTTTTTACGCCATATATTGTAGAAATAAAACACTTTATACACAAATGTCAAAAAAGTTACTCGAATAAATGACTGGTATTACTAAAGATCCATTCTTACAGATCATTAACTAAAAAAAAGTTGGTTTAAGGTTTAGTTACTCTTTAACGTTACATTACTGTATGTATAAATATATGGCCTACCCCAACCCTGTCCCTTAACCTACCCGTCACTGGGGTTAATACCATTTATTAGTCTTCCCCTACCATCCTAGGAAAAAAAATATCGCTCCCCAGATGTAGATCTACATTTTGTTTCATTTCGCTCGGACATTTAACAGTGTGTACACACACATGGAATCCCTCGGACATTTAACAACATAGACATACACGCGGATAGCTCAAAATGCGTGTAGATAACATATGTTGTTTGTTTACGCAAAAGTCATTATGCCACGTTGAGATACTTTGTGCCAATTTACCAGAAATTGAGATTGTTTTTCTCTTGAACACATGGAACATTTATTCGCAAATGTTTTATGCAATATTCCAATATAACTATGCGCATAGTTAAAATTACAACCTTGCTAATGAAGCCGGCCGTTGTGAAGACTCACTCCGATGGCGTGGACGTAGAAGTTAAGATAAACATGTTGTGCAGTTAGCGCTGTACTTGTGTGTTTAGCTCCAACACTCCACATTTACACTTAGAAATTAGCCTAATATTAGTGCACATTTATCCAGGTTAATGATAAAGGGGTAGTTGACCCAAAAATTCTGTTATCATTTACTCACCCTCAAGTTGTTCCAAACCTGTAAACATTTATTTTATCTGCTGAACACAAAGGAAAGATGTTTTACTATTGAAGTCTATGGTGCCCAATAACTTGTTGGTTCTTCAAAATATCTTCTTTTGTGTTCAGCAGAACAAATACATTTATACAGGTTTGGAACAACTTGAGGGTGAGTAAATTATGACAGAATTTTCATTTTTGGGTGAACTATCTATCGGGCCTGCCCAGCCGTGTTTATGATCGGCCACTGCGTGACTACGCCAGTTCCTGTGGAGTTTTTTTTCCTTGACGTTTAGTCGACTATTGGGGGCAGCCTTAATAATTTTTGACTTTAGTCCCTTTAGTGTGTAAAAACTACACTACTTGACAGTGAATACACTTAAATGGGCTCCTAGCTGGCCTGAAGAATATAAAGCGTCATTTAGGGCCAATCCCAATTCTACCCCTTACCCCTTCACTTTCCCATCCCCTCCGTTTTGCGCGTCCACGTGAAGGGGTAGGGTTGTCCCAATTCTCTTTTGGTTGGAGGGGGAGGGCTAGGGGGAAGGGCCAGATAGCCCTTCAAACGAAGATTTTTCGGGAGCACACTTCAAACGAAGGGGTATGAGAAGCGTCACTGCTAACCCAGGCTGGCTGCCCAAGCGACAAAGGAGACAGATAAATTTAAGTATTTGTGGCTTTAATAAGTATTGTAACGACAAATAATGATTTGCTTTATGTTACATTCAATATTGTGTTCATATTTACGGTCAGTTTCTTCACAGAAACGTTTGTTAAAAAAAAAAAAAAAAAAAAAAAAATTCGCTAAAATTACTGTAGTTTGCTAACGATAGTCCGGCAACATATTTTCGTTGTCTCTGTTGTTTCCTGCGAACTTCACAAGATAAATGCAAGAAAATAGCTGTAACCCACGCGACTGAGATAACTGCAGCTGTCGACGGCATCTTGGAAGTTGTGATAAACATCAGCGCATCTCCTGTGACGTAGGCGCTAGCGACGACTTATAATGACGTTTAACGGAGGCGTAGTGGTGTCCCATTTCTTAGGGGAATATTTTCAGCCCTACGCATTGCCACTCTGTTTCAAGGGTCAAGGGGAAGGCGAAGGGGTAGGGCTAGGGGAAAGGGAAGGGGTAAGGGGTAGAATTGGGATTGGCCCTTAGTCTTTGTTTGCTTCTGTTTTACTTGAGCTTGTTCTCTACATTATTTGGCATGTCATGTCCTTTTCCTCTCATTTCCATGTCATTTTTATGCTATTAACAACAAGAATGAGTCTTTAATTGAATTTCATCTCACTCTATCTTCACCATATCTGTTTCATCTGCTTCATTCTGCTTTGGTTTAAAGGCTCTGGGGTGGTTTCATATAAACCTATAGTTAGGGAGGGGGAAAGGATGCTGGTGAGAGAGAGAATGAGAGAGAGAGAGGATAAGATGAAGTGCCTTGTGTTTATGTGTGCTGCGTTTCGTAACCCAGACACCACAAAGAGCACCGTCACATTGCTAAAAGCATGAAACCTACAGCAAATCCTTATGCTACAGTCATGATTTGATCCACATAAGGGTCATTTATTGATTTATTGGTGAATCTCTCTCTGTTTTGTCTCTCTTTTCATCCCCTTCCCTTCATCCCTTGTTAGAAACCACACAGAGGGCAAACCGCACAAGTGTCCTCACTGCTCCAAATCGTTTGCCAACTCCAGCTACCTGTCCCAGCACATCCGCATCCACAGCGGGGCCAAACCCTACACCTGCTCCTACTGCCAGAAAACCTTCAGGCAGCTCAGTCACTTACAGCAGCATAACAGGTAACAGACAGGGAGAGAGAGAATCAGTACTGGACCATTACAGCTCCTCCTCGCATCCTTTTCCTCTTTCCTTCCTCCTCTGTTGTCTGTCATCTGTCATGCTGTAGTCGTGAGGATTGTGTCGTCTAGACGCTGCAGAATGTAGTCATGTGATTTTCGAATTAAGTGCTACTGTTTTGTTTTAAAGGATTCACACTGGTGATCGGCCGTACAAGTGTGTCCATCCCGGCTGTGAGAAAGCTTTTACCCAACTATCCAACCTCCAGGTAACCATATTCAGTGATGCTTTCACGCATTTCAGCTTTCTGTAGAAGTGACTGAAATCCTGTGGTTCAAGAAACTTGTATCTGATCAGCATAAATTGACACTAGGGTTGAGAACAGTGTTTTTAATAAAATACTGTACCAAATAATTTTGAATGAGCTTTGGTTCCACTGCAGACTGAACTACACTGAAAATTACTATTCAGAAAGGCCATATGCAAATGAAAGCCCACTTCAGTTCCAAAATTATTGACTTTTCAGTTCGTTTTACTGAATCAAAAACCCTTATCAATCAGAATGTGTGGTTGCTGCATTATCCGACTCGTTCAAGCCCCTTTTACAGAGAGATTCCGGAAAATACATGGATAATGTGACCCGGCATTTGTACCGGGATTGTTTGATTTCGGTTCATTCGCACTGCCAGTGATTTGCCGGCATCTGTGAGTGCGTTCACACCATAGACTGTAAAAAATATGGACAAAGCGTCTGTGACGTCACCCATAGACTCTCTGAAGAACAGTTCTGAGGCTGTTTATGGGGGGTATGGGCGGCGCTATACTGGAAAATCTTGGGAAATACAAAATACAAATGTTCAGAAAGGAAACAGAGGTGGTATGATGTGTTGTGTCAGATCATGGCCGAGACGTCAAATTCACTCGCCGTTATCAGCTGTCAATCAAAGTTAACCGCCCTTATTTGTCATACATTTTATATCTAAATATGATATAAACTAACGAGTTAGAAAAAAATTCACCCCCTTCACAGTTGTCAGGCACACAGAAAATATTGAAGATTACAATAAAAGTCCATGGGACCAAACTGTAAACATGAATTTATGCTGTGAAAACGGATATTTTAACATAACGTCTATGGATATTTGCTCCCTTTTGGGACCGGCCTCTCGCGGATTTGAGATGTATTGCAGTTTATCGCACTTCTGGGTAGGCTTCAGCTTTCAGATTAGAATGTTGCCGCTTGGTTCACAAACAACCCGGAAAGACAACAACACAAACTTTCTTCTAAGAGCAACAGAGTCGCACGATGGCACGAGCGTCATCACTATGACACACCCCTTACGGCTTTGGTCCTGGCTTTTGTTCACACAGCGGGCGTTCCGGGACTGATCCCGGCAATGTTACTAGGTCCCCAACCTGGCATCGATGCCGGTGTCAATCCCGGGTCGTGTTTGCGTTCACACACCCGGGATCAACGCGCTGTGTGAACCGTAAATCAACTATTTTGTCACTTGAGACCTAATTCAGTTTAGTAACTGGTTGTTCATCTTTCTGTGTGATGCAAAACTGAATTTTCAGCATTATTATTCCAGTTCTCAGTGTCACATGATCCTTCATAAGTCATTCTAATATGCTGATTTGGTGATCAATAAATAATTGATTACTATTGTCAGTTGAAAACAGTTCTGCTGCTTTTATTTGAAATAGAAATATTGGGTATCATAAAATGACATTAATTAGACTTTACTGTCACTTTTGATCAATTTAATGCATCCTTGCTGAATCAAATAATGAATTTCTTTAAAAAAAAACTTACTGAACCCAAACTTTTGAACTATAGTGTAGTTGGGTCCAAATATTGAATTGCATTTATGTCATTAAAGGTTTTGTAAAAGTGGCAGTAAATGCATTTCATTGGCATTGCACTCCTTATGATTCCCATCCCTTACTGACACTAAACTAATATAAATAACTTCCAAATATTTGTATTAATTCAGACTGTTTTTTCCAGTCTCATCGAAGACAGCACAACAAGGACAAGCCATACAAATGTCACAACTGTAACCGCGGTTATACAGATGCGACCAGCTTGGAGGTTCACTTGTCTACACATACGGTGAAACACGCCAAACTCTACTCCTGTGGCCTCTGCAACCGCGCATACACATCTGTAAGATCCCACCCCCTAAATCCTTCATTGACCATCTTGTCATTCTCCAGTTTTATTCTCCTACAGTTAGAGATAGGAGTTAGTCAAAGATGTTTGAGTTTGACGCATTTTTCTTACTTTTCTAGGAGACGTACCTGATGAAACACATGCGGAAACACAACCCAGACCCTCTGACGGTGGCGGCTGCAGTGGCTGCCCAGCAAGCCCAGCAGGGCCAGAACCCGGGTCAGCCCTCGGGTGGAGGAAGCGGCAGGGGTCGCGGGCGAGGAAGGGGCGGCGGAGCTGCGGGAGCCAGAGTTGGACCAGCGGCGCAAGCCCAGAACCAGCCCAATCCCAACGTGCCAACCAGTTACTCTGTCACGGAGGGAATACCCTGCCCTTTCGACCTGCATCAGTACAAGACCGTGTCGGCTGGAGAGATCCAGTACAAGCCTGTCAGCGTGGCCGACCTGACGGCCCACAAAGACCTCTGCCTCACCGTCTCCACCTCTGCCATCCAGGTGGAGCACATGAACTCGTAGAGCAACTCGTGGAGAATGAGAGCGAGGAGGTGGGGTGAGGAGAAATGGACCATGAATTGGGAAGGAAATAAAAACACTGCCTTGGGACAGAGGAGGATTTCCACATTCAGACTGGTAGGACGAAGGGAGGGAAGGATGGCAGACGGAGGAGAAACGAAGAGATGAACTCTTTGGGTTGTCTTTCTTTAGACTTGCTTTGCAGTGTCACAAAAATCGCCTTAAGCATGATGACTATTTTCAGTTAGCGACTATTTAAATATATTCAATACTCAACCCCTTTTTCCACTTTAAAGTGCGAAAATCACAATAATTTTCTCCATTGGGAAATCAATTTTTTAGGGTGTGTTCATAGGGCATGTTTGGTTTGACTAAAACGAACCCTGGTGCGATTGCTCGGTTCATTCGAATAAGTGTGAACTCTGGTGCGCATCAAACAAGCGGAGCGAGATCGCTGAATAGATGGGTCTCGATACACTTCCAAACAAACTCTGATACGGTTCAAATGTAATATGAACGCAGCACGAATCAAAGACATGCAAACTAACCAAAAACAGGACATGATGTCACAAGATGCATTCCAGTTCTCCAGCTGGTCAAAACATGTATGTAGGCTACACACTGAGCCTAGAATACAGCATTTTTTGGATGTTCAGTAAGTTCGGTCTCAAAATATACGTTATAAAAGTTGACCAATCAGGTTGTGAAAGTATCCCAATGCCTTTAGGTTCGGTATCTTTAGTTTCAGTGTTAAAAACCGAGCTACCACCCTAACTTTTGCCTTTAGGTTCGGTATTAAAAATGCTAATGTGAACACCCTTAGACATTCAAACCAGGCCTACTGTGAGCTCCAAGGTTCAATTAATGGTATATGCTTCTATTGAAGCCACGAATCCGCATTATTTCACCTTATTTTTTTACTAAATAATTGTTTAATAGTGATGAAAAACTACATTAGCCATGATTCGGCAAAGAAATCTCCAATAAGCTAATCACAACAAGCTAATCGCATCAAGTGCTAGAACCTTTTTTCAAAATCAAAATCAAGGTGTGTGATGAAGATTCACCCTATAGCTAGTTGGTTTGGTTCATGGATTATAGCTTTAATTATTATTATTTATTTAAATCCCTATGGGAAAAATACTTCCAGACACCAAGGCCATTGAAAGTTACACAGCAAGAACCATGGGTTATCATTCTGAAATGGGGATTTGTGAACCTCTCAAAGAGTTTTCAATGATTTGAGAGCCAAAGATTGACATAACTGACTTCAAAACCTTCAAAACATCGTGGTCTTACACCTTATTTTGAGAACATATTTCGTCTACTTAAATAAAATTGATAGTGAACAGTTCGTACATGTTTTCAATCTATTTTATTTCAGAGAATAAAGCACTATCAGTGGAAAAGGGATAATTGAGCAAATTTATTTTATGTTGGTGATTAAAATTGGTCCACAATCAAATTTTTTCCATCCCTACCTAGATGAACACACAAACTTAAAATAAAAAAGAATTTGCTTCAGGGATTGTGAGAGTATGAATAAAAACACTCCGATATACATCATGACGACTTCATGAGTAGCTGCTGATAAAGACTACCACATGCTTTTATCAAGCTGTAAAAAACCGGCAAGTTTACTTTTTCCAATTTATAAATGTTACAAATGCTGGTCAAAAAAATAGACAGAAACCAAAGTATCCGATAAATGAATTGTACAGAATTGCATCTAGTTTACATGAAATATTTAGCAGGAAGATGCACACACACACCTGCGGCATTTAAACAGGTCGATGCGAATAGTTCACCCAATGATTGCATTTAATTTTGTTCCAAATCCGTATGACTTTGTAAGCACTTATGGAGTGTTAATGGCTTTTATGACACTGCTTTGCAGGCCTCCTGATTGACATGTCAAGTAAACGTGCAACTGGTTTGTCACTACCAGCCCGAGACCTGTTGGAAAGAGGAGGCCAAGACTGCACTAAAGGGACAGAAGCTAATGGTTTATGGGAGATGGCACTTAAATGAACTTTTTTTTTATTCATCGTTTCTGTTTTCGTCGTTACATTTTAGCCATTTATCATATGTATTTTTCTATTGTCCTTGTGTATGGATGTTGTATGTGTTTGAGTGTGTGAAGGGTTGGTTGAAAAAGCATGTCAGAGAACAGTTTAAGAAGGAGATGAATGTGTGAAAACATCTATAAAGTTTTTTTTTTGTCATTTTATATGTTCTTGACCTTCCTTACAAAGAGTTTTTGTTTTTTGTTTTTCAGAAAGGAAGGAAGGGGAAAAAAATATTGTGCAGACAACAATTTGGTTACCAGGTACTATTTAGTAGTGTTTTTTTAAGAAAACCTTTAATACTAGTTATTATTATATTAACTGTTATTTTTTATGCAATTATTACTATCATCATTATCCATTGGGAGTTGCTCTCTGTGTGTGTGTATAAATATAGAGATGACGTGTTCATTCTAAAAGGGAAGGATTGTCTTTCTGGTCCAGCTGAAATATGATTTTTAAAAAATGTATTAAAGGCAACATTAGAGATCAGAGTACAGGATGTTAACATATTGCTAAACCATCCGATCACTGACTTACATGATGCCGTCTGTGTCCAGTAAGCAGCCAGGTGATTGGCTAGTCCTCCACGTATAATCCTCGTTGTATCCATATATGTCTTTGGAAAATAACACGGTTCTCAATATTATTATTAATGTTACTTCTGTCACTCCTAATACTTATTATTAACTACTCTTTAAGATGACTTTGCTGTATAGATCAACACTCATTCATCTGACGTAACTATTTCTCCTAATATGAACAATAAAAAAGATAAACAGATTTTATTTTGAATAGTCATGTTATTGTCTAATGCAATTTGGATTAGAAATTACAATTTGCTGTTTGATGTTTCTTTTAGATTTTTTAAGAGCTTGGAAAATGTCTTGGGGAAAAAAAACGCATTACAGTTACAAGTGTATTGAGAATCTGTACATTTGTGGATGTGGTGCCTGGTTCACATTACACGATTTTAGCCCGATTTTGGCACGATCCGTTTGACGTAGGGAGTCGTGGAGATTCGTAAATGACAACGGGCGTCTGGACGCAAGATTCGATCGTATCGTCTCGTATAATGTGTCATATCGGCGACAACTAGAGCCAGACCGATATATCGGCAGGCCGATATTATCGGCCGATATTAGGCATTTTCCAAACTATCGGTATCGGCAGTTATAATGGCCGATAAATTAATATTTCAAAAATAAAATAAAAACAGACGAAACACGCTTGAACCATGTCATGAGTGTTGGAGTTGTATAGTTTGTCCACCAGAGGGCACTCTACACCGTTCCTGTTGGCAACACTAGTCGGTCACGATAGATACATTGTTTGAATAACAATTAAAAGATCATCCCCATTAGTTCTCTTAACTCAAATAAGCTTGAAAAAATTTGTGACTATCATGTCCAGTTTTGCTGCTGTTAAATAAGCCGAGAGTGAAGCGGAATCAGCAAGTAATAATTACGTTACGTTGTTACAGTGTAGTTGACTGACTGTCCTTTTAACTTTTGACAATGTGACTGAAGTATTTCTTCAATAGCGCGTGACGGTTATAGCAATGAGACGGATCATCTCTCCTTGGCCTGTTATATTGAAAATGTATGTTTTACAATTTGCAGTATGACGTAATCCATTGCTCAATTATGGCTCATTATAGACCAGCTAACCACAAAGCTAGCTAATGCCACTATAATCAGTCTGTTCTGTTGTGACAAAAAAATAAACTTTTTAAAATGCATTATCATATTATTTTAGTTAAAACTCATAAATAACTACAAATAACTAATGTTAGGGAAATCTGTTAATGTTTTGTTGCGCGTGTCTGAAATAAAAAATATCGGCCGATATATCGGAATATCGGATTTTAAAACCAAAAAATATTTGTATCGGTATCGGCCTTCAAAATCCTTTATCGGTCGGGCTCTAGCGACAACCTACGTTGCGTCTGCGATGCTTCACGACATCAAAAAAAACCCAAAAAGACTAGTTTTTTAACGGTCGTCCACGACGGTTCCGTCACATGTATGAGGTTGACCAATAGGAGCACAGAAGCTTTTCCGTACACAACTTTCAAAAATGGCGAAACGAAAGAGAGACGGTGGTGCTAACGTTAAAACTAATAGTAAAAATATATAAGAAAACAATATTTTACCTCAAGTTCTCTTCGGAGGATTGACAGCCTACACTGTCAGCCCAGCAATCCAGGAACGTGTCCATTGTCGGGTTTTCTTTCTTTTTTTTACTTTTTTCTGAACACAGGACAGCCAATACAATACGTTCATTTCCGGAAGTCACTCGCTACTAGTTTCGCCTTCTCAATGACATCACCCGCGCCATTAAAGATGGCATTCGATGACTGGTCAGGAAGCAACATGTACACTGACATTTGTCAGTGTACATGTCGTAAGTCGTAACAGACAAAAAAATCGTGTAATCTGAACCAGGCATAAGAATCCAACAACTAACATGGCCAAGACCAAAAAGCTGTCCAAAGACACTAGACACAAAATTGTACACCTCCACAAGGCTGGAAAGGGATACGGGGAAATTGCCAAGCAGCTTGGAGAAAAAAGATCCACTGTTGGAGCAATCATTAGAAAATGGAAGAAGCTAAACATGACTGTCATTGATCTAGTTTGTCCAGCAATACGACCACAATATGGCTAGGTAATTGAGTTTAATATGGCAGAATTTAGTAAACTAGATTCAATGTGGTTGCAAAGGTTTCAGTAAACTTTGGGCCGCAAGCTTAGGTCAATCGCTTTCCCATGTTCATGTTTACTAGGGTTTGGCATTCTGCAGGGAACGTTTGTTGAAATGAATTGATTTAGACTGAACAAATAGTTAAATGTTTATTTTAGTAGGCATGTTACTTTAAGGCATCATAAGCACAAACAGACAACAGAATGGTTTTGGTTTGTTAGTCTTTGCATGCATGCTGAAACTGATGAAGTTGGAGATTTGTGTATATAATTGTATAGATACTTTGAATAGAATAGAAAAAGTTTCAAAACAGCTTTTCTAACATTGCAGCCCTAGCCTACACAGCAGGTCTACCTAACGCCCTGCATACTACATCAATCCAAATATTACTGTACAGGCCGAACTATTAATAAAGCCTTCAAGTAATGCACTCTACTTCAAAAATATTAGTCATGAAGATTGTGGAAACGAATACAAAAATGTCATGTGTGGTTAGTTCAGTCTGCATTACATACAACATCTATAGTACCATAACAGTGTTTACACATCAGACAAAATGTTAGTAATTATTAAGGGACAAATGATGTCTGATTATGAATTATGAAGGCTTATCTAATGAAAAGTCAAGTGTCAACATATTATTATACTGACATTAAAACATTTTTGAAAAAAGAACATTCGTCACAATAATGTTTGTAAATTAAATACTGTATAATCACAAACAAAACATTTTGGAGTTTTTAAACTAAACTCCTTAATATCCCTTTTTTAATGAAACAAGTTAAAAGGGGTATTGAAACTATTTGGATAAGAATTTGATGATCACGTTATGGTCTGCTTTAAAGGGATACTCCACTTTTTTTTTTGGAAATAGGCTCATTTTATAACCACCAGAGTTAAACTGTTGAGTTTTACCGTTTTTGAATCCATTCAGCCGATCTCCGGTTTTCGCGGTACCACTTTTAGCATAGCTTAGCATACATCATTGAAGTGCACAAGACCATTAGCATTTCTAAAAAAAAAAAAAAGACTTAAGTCTTTCAATATTTTTCTTATTTAAAACTTGACTCTTGTGTAGTTATTTTGTGCACTAAGACCGACGGAAAATGTAAAGTTGCGATTTTATAGACTGATATGTCTAGGAACTATAAATAATAATCAAGAAACTTTACTGCCGTACCATGAGTGCAGTAGGCGTAATGATTACACAAACTTAGTCCCGGTCACGTTGGAAGCTGGGCACTATTTTCAGGCGCTGCGTCATATCAATACGCCTCCTGTGCTCATTGTACAGCAGTAATGTTTCTTGATTATTACGCAGGAATGAGAGTATAGTTCCTAGCAATATCAGTCTAGAAAATCGCAACTTTACATTTTCCGTCAGTCTTAGTGCACGATGTAACTACAGGAAAAATATCGAAATATTTTGGTCATTTTTTTTTAGAAATGCTAATGGTCTTGTGCACTTCAATGATGTATGCTAAGCTATGCTAAAAGTGTTACCGCGAAAGCCGGAGATCGGCTGAATGGATTTAAAAACGGTAAAACTCTGGTGGAGTTATAAAATGAGCCTATTTCCAAAAAAAAAGTGAAGTATCCCTTTAAGATGAAACCGTACAAATGTATAATAATTAATCGTACACAATGAAAACACTTCAAAACTCCTACAAATAATATTGGTGAAATAAATAAGCTAAAAACAGCATATTTACTGAACTATACTTCAGCATTACATATAAAGACATTTGATTGTTCATTTGAATAAACACTTAAACACAAGTAATGATGATCTGAGATTATTGGCAGTATTTTCACATGTCGAAGCACAGTACCATTGAAGCAGAATAACTGCTAGAATTCCTACACAATAACGTCCATCTAAGACAGCTCACACACATCGCTGAGGTAAAGTGAGAGTGTATCCTATATAACGCACAGAAACAGATATGTTTCCCTTCATGTTACGTTGGCCTCCAAAAGATTAACTAATGGAAAGCTCATGTATAATGTAATGTTCTTAGTGCACGTCCCTATACGAAAAACTAAAGGTGAACGTAACATTTCAAAATGTTAAAAGCTACAGTGTCTAATGCTGTTCGACAGATCCCTGGACTTCACGTTCTTATGATGATTACGTTGAAAATACAAAGAATAGCATTCTTCCCTGGAGTTTTAGATTAAAATGCACTTTGGGTTTTGGCAGCAAGGCAAGACAGACAGGAAGTGTAAGTTGAGACGAGAGAGAGAGAGAGAGAGACATGGGAAAGAGTAAACAAAGAAGATGCAGCGTGGAAGACAAGAAAGATAATGTTACAGGAAGAGGAGAGAGTTTAAGAAAGAAACTGAGAGGAAAAGTGAGAGAATTATTAAAGGAAAGATCCATAAAGCATGCATACAGTTATGTCACGTTGGAGAGTGGGTTCAACCAGTTCGGGCCACCTAAAGGAGAAGAGAAATTCGGTCAATTATACTTGCAAAAATATGCACAAATGACACGATGAGCAAAATAAGGTCAAGATCATTTGGATGAAATCTGAAATGCTGTTTTGACCTGGGAAATACTGATGCCGGTCAGTTTTTCGATGGTCTCAGGCAGTTTGGTCATGATGTCGAGCACTTCGCCGGTCAGCTTGGCTGCGCCGATCTCTCCGCCTCCGCTGGAAACCATGGTGACTTTATTGGCAGATGACAGGGGCTTACTGATTTCCTCGGCCATCTAATGGATAGAAAACACACAATTCACCATCATTACACAACGTCAGCTCAAACTGCATTCTGCTCGATGTGGATTTGTAGTCCTTACCGGATATTTATTTCGATGGTCCACTTTAGACAGTCTACTAGCTATAACTTACGGTGTGTTACACTTGGCATGTTTGGTTCGATTAAAGGAGTAGTTCACTTTTCAAAAAAACTTTTGCTGATAATTTACTCACCCCCAATGTCATCCAAGATGTCCATGTCTTTCTTTCTTCAGTTGAAAAGAAATTAAGGATTTTGATGAAAACATTCCAGGATTTTCTCCATATAATGGACTTCAATGGGAACCAAACGGTTCAATGTCCAAATGAGCGTTTCATTGAAGCTTCAAAGGGCTTTAAACGACACCAGACGATGAATAAGGGTCTTATCTAGCGAAACCATCAGTCATTTCAAAAAAAATTAAAAAAGTTTAAGTTTTAAAAGCACAAATGCTCGCCTTGCTCTGTTCTGTGATGCGCGTTCGTGACTCTCCTGTTCAAACTCGTTCATCAAAATGAACAAATCTTTTTTCGAGTCATGACTCGAAGGGTCCTATATAAGACCCTTAATCATCGTCTGATGTCGTTTAAAGCCTTTTGAAGCTGCACTGAAACTCTCATTTGGACCTTGAACCGTTTGGTTCCCATTGAAGTCCATTATATGGAGAAAATCCTGGAATGTTTTCATCAAAAACCTTAATTTCTTTTCGACTGAAGAAAGAAAGACATGGACATCTTGGATGACATGGGGGTGAGTAAATTATCAGCAAAAGTTTTTTTAAAAAGTGAACTACTCCTTTAAAACAAACCCTGGTGCGGTTGCTCTGTTAGTGCGGTTCATTTGAATAAGTGTGAACTTTGCCATACAAACCCTGGTGTGCATCAAAAAAGCTAGCCGAGACGCTAAAAGGTGGGTCTCGATCCATTTCCTGAAATACTAACGCAACACGGACCAAAGACATGCAAACGAACCAAAAACAGGACATGATGTCATAAGATGTGACTCTAAAAAGGACAGAATGCTCAAGAATACCCATTTTTTCTCATCATAGTCGAGATGTTGCCCATCACAGTTCGGTACAAGCGTCAGAACCGCGTCTTCTAGCAGCAGATCTTCATTTGTGTGTGTGACAGTGAGTTCTCAGCTGGTCAAAACACCATCATATGTAGGCTACACAAATACAGCAAGCGCATTTAGCCCAGAATACGGCATTGTTTTGGATGTTCGTAAGTTCCGTCTCAAAATATACACTCACCGGCCACTTTATTAGGTACACCTGTCCAACTGCTTGTTAACACTTAATTTCTAAGCAGCCAATCACATGGCGGCAACTCAGTGCATTTAGGCATGTAGACATGGTCAAGACAATCTCCTGCAGTTCAAACCGAGCATCAGTATGGGGAAGAAAGGTGATTTGAGTGACTTTGAACGTGGCATGATTGTTGGTGCCAGAAGGGCTGGTCTGAGTATTTCAGAAACTGCTAATCTACTGGGATTTTCACGCACAACCATCTCTAGGGTTTACAGAGAATGGTCCGAAAAAGAAAAAACATCCAGTGAGCGGCAGTTCTGAGGGCGGAAATGCCTTGTTGATGCCAGAGGTCAGAGGAGAATGGCCAGACTGGTTCGAGCTGATAGAAGGGCAACAGTGACTCAAATAACCACCCGTTACAACCAAGGTGGGCAGAAGAGCATCTCTGAACGCACAGTATGTCGAACTTTGAGGCAGATGGGCTACAGCAGCAGAAGACCACACCGGGTGCCACTCCTTTCAGCTAAGAACAGGAAACTGAGGCTACAATTTGCACAAGCTCATCGAAATTGGACAATAGAAGACTGGAAAAACGTTGCCTGGTCTGATGAGTCTCGATTTCTGCTGCGACATTCGGATGGTAGGGTCAGAATTTGGCGTCTACAACATGAAAGCATGGATCCATCCTGCCTTGTATCAACGGTTCAGGCTGGTGGTGGTGGTGTCATGGTGTGGGGAATATTTTCTTGGCACTCTTTGGGCCCCTTGGTACCAATTGAGCATCGTTGCAACGCCACAGCCTACCTGAGTATTGTTGCTGACCATGTCCATCCCTTTATGACCACAATGTACCCAACTTCTGATGGCTACTTTCAGCAGGATAATGCGCCATGTCATAAAGCTGGAATCATCTCAGACTGGTTTCTTGAACATGACAATGAGTTCGCTGTACTCAAATGGCCTCCACAGTCACCAGATCTCAATCCAATAGAGCATCTTTGGGATGTGGTGGAACGGGAGATTCGCATCATGGATGTGCAGCCGAAAAATCTGCGGCAACTGTGTGATGCCATCATGTCAATATGGACCAAACTCCCTGAGGAATGCTTCCAGCACCTTGTTGAATCTATGCCACGAAGAATTGAGGCAGTTCTGAAGGCAAAAGGGGGTCCAACCCGTTACTAGCATGGGGTACCTAATAAAGTGGCCGGTGAGTGTACGTTACAAAAGCTGACCAATCAGGTAGTAAACGGATCCCAATGCCTTTAGGTTTGCCATCTTTAGGAACTACAAGTGTGAACACACCCTAACTTTGCAACTACATGCCAACTAAAACCCGAACATCTAACCCTAACAGTCTAATGAGAGTTAAATCTAGATAATGTAGATGCAATGTTACTTATAGTTAGTAAAATATCTAAAGTGGACCATCAAAAAAAAGTGTAACCCCTTTTTTGCAGTAAAATGCTATATTTTTCTGTGTATTGTATACACACTCAAATTGAAATTCCCTCTCACCAGTGGCAGTTTCTCCAGCAGCATGTCCACCATCGCTCCTTCTTTGTATTGCTGGAAGGCCTCGGCTTTCTTGGCCATCTGCTCGGCCTCGGCACGACCTTTAGCCTCCACAGCGTACGCTTCGGCCTCTCCTCTCACCTGGTCAGAGCAAGTGTGTGAGCTAACATATCTTCTTTACAAACACAATATCTACTTAATGAAGTAGAGACACAGATAATGTATAACACAAACAGTTTTGCTTGTTTGCTTTTTATTAGACATTGCGGATCACTTACTTTGATGGATTCGGCCTCAGCTTCTGCCTCCATGATTAGCTGAAGACTGGTGGATGATGTCAGAGAGAGAAAACATTAGTCCAAACTTATACATTCAAAATATTTACCTATATTAACTAATTCAAAACTACTGTTATTAATATTCGTGTATTAAGTGTCCCTGTTATGCTATTTTAAAGGTTCCTAATTTTGAAGGTCTCCTACAATAGGTTCACATGCATCCAAGTTTAAGGAAATTGACGTTTCACGCAGTTCAGACTTGATTCTTATTTTTAGGAGACAATATTTGTTGTATTCTTTGACCTTTGAAAATGTGCAGAGCTTTTTCATTTACAAACAGCTATATTACACACTGCATGTAAGGTCAAATCTGAACAAGCATAGTAGGGGCACTTCTATGCTAAAATAGTCTTTTTGCACTTTTTTATGACACTAGTGCAGAAATTACACACTAGTACACACAAAAGTAATTGGTAAATATTTGTGGAATTGACCTTCACGTTATATTTTAAAGGGGTCATCAGATGCAAAATTCACTTATACTGTATATGGTGTTTGCATATAAACGTGTCTTTGCAGTGTGTGGACACAACCACCATACAATGAAACAAATCCATTCACTCTTTTTATCCTCAAAAAGTCTAAACACTCTCAATAATCAAGCCATTTGGATTTTCTGAGCACTATGATGTCATATTGCTCATGCTCCGCCCACAACCACTGACTGACTGCCCCATATTTATGCCCTCAGCCATTTGACACCATAATTCAGATTATTATATATACCCCCCATGGAAGAGAGGGGTGGGGTGAGCAGTTGCTCATTATCATTTAAAGAGACATGCACCGAAACGGGTCGCTGTGAACAGAGCTGGTTTTTAGGAGGTAAAAAGAGTGTTGTTTAACATAACCATTGAGGATTTTTAACCAAAGTATGTTACAAACTTACAAATGAAAACCCTTAAAGAATCATACCAATAAATGGGCATGACCCCTTTAAAAAAAACAAACAGCTGAACTGAAGGCACATCCATCTCACCGCTCGGCTTGTGCCAGTTTCTCCAGCCGGTATCGCTCGGCATCGGCTGGTTTCATGATTTTGGCCTCCAGCTCTTTCTCCTTGCGCGTGATCTCCTGTTCCTGCAGCAAGATTTGTTGCGAGCGCTCCACCACTTGCACCTGCATCTTCTGCTCCTCGATCTGCTGCTTCGTCTTCGCCACCTAATGCAACAATTACACAGCAGGATGAAGACTACCTGAATCACTCAAAATAGTTATGTTTAATAAACATTTTAGTCTAGCTTCATTCACATTTGACTGTGAATAATTTCATAAAAACAACATTTCAAACAAAAATCTGAGAAAATTGCTTTTTTTTTTTTTTTGGTCAAAGACTTTGTTTTTGATTATTAAAACGTAGATCGAGTCCATCAACTCCCCGAAAGCTTTACAGTCATATACCTAGTCCTGGGTTCAAGCAGTTTTGATTTTTATGCTGTTGAATGATTGGTCATATTAGCTTACTTGTGCGTAAACAACTTTATCTGCTCCTTCTTGTTTATGCAGATCTTTTACATCTCTTGTTTTTGGATCCAGAGATGCTGTACTATTTCAGAAGATCCGTAACAGCGCCCCCTACCGTCTAACAGTGCACGGATTCCCAGAAAATGGCGGGAAAGAGTTAACAAAAACCCCAAAGATAACATCGAAGCACAAGAAAGTCTTTCACATCATTGATGGTCACTAAAAGGTTTGGTTGTATTTTTTTTTTTACCTGGAGCTGATAGGCCATTTCAGACTCAGCTTTTTTGGTGAAGACCTCAATGTCGTAGACAGCCTTCTTTAGCTCGTAGTCTCTCTGAGCCTTAGCCATCTCGATCTCATTCAAGTACTGAGCAGATATCTTTTCCTGCATAGCATGGGCCTCCTACAGAGAGCAAATGAGAATATTTTAACATAAATCCTCAGTGATATTTAGAAAATAGGCTTTATTTGAAATTAAGTTGAGGAAAGGCTCACCCTGATCACTGCATCTCTTTTGTTCTTGGCTTCCCCGATACGTGCATCCTTCTGCACTTGGGCTGTACGGGCTTTTCCCAAAGAGTGCAGGTAATCCTGAAAGAAAAGGGCTTGATTCACCACTCACATAGTATCATTTTTACAGTTTTAAAACATTTGAACAGACTAACAGACCTGGTCATCGTGAACATCCTTGAGTGTGTAGCTGACCACACTGATGCCCATGTTGACAAGGTCGGACGAAGCCACCTTGAAGACCTGTTCGGAGAACTTCTTGCGGTCTTTGTAGATCTCCTAAAGAACAAACACACAACCCACTTACTTAGTTCTTTACTTGTAAAGAAACATCAAAGTTATCATGCTAAATTAAGTCAAGGTTTAACTAAGATGAGGACTGAAAGTGCAGATTTTGAATACTAGGGGCCAGGTTTACACAACAGGGTAAATTTGATTGAGACCGCGATCGCAGTTTATGAGGGTGAGCAAAAACGCACTGTTTTTGTGTGTGTCCCTTTAAATGCAAATGAGCTGCTGAGGGCGGAGCCCTCTTCGATTACCTCTGTAATGGCTAATTTTGCATTTACATTTATACAAGTTTCTTTTCTTTCATATATGATCTTTATTTTCTTTTATATGTTTTCTTTTATTTCATTAAAGGGTTAGCTCACCCAAAAATGAAAATTAAGTCATTAATTACTCACCCCCATGCTGTACCAACCCCGTAAGACCTTCGTTCGTCTTCGGAACACAAATGAAGATATTTTTGATTAAATTTGAGAGCTGTATAACTACCACATTGGCTCCTAAGGGACTGCCTCTTGACGGCCCAAAAAGTCAATGAAGAAAATGTTTAAATATCCCAAGTGACTACCGAGGCTCAACTATATGTTTACCAAGCGACGCGAATACTTTTTGTGCGAAAAAACAAACAAAAATAACGAGTTTATTCGACTATTTTTTTCTTCCTTGTAGGCCAGAACGAGACTTCCTTATAGATTTCCACGACGCATGCGCGAGAATTGCGATCTGAAGTAGTGTAAGCTGTGTACGCAGATCGCAAATCTCGCGCATGCGTCGTGGAAATCTATAAGGAAGTCTCGTTCTGGCCTACAAGGAAGAAAAAAATAGTCGAATAAACTCGTTATTTTTGTTTGTTTTTTCGCACAAAAAGTATTCGCGTCGCTTGGTAAACATATAGTTGAGCCACGGTAGTCACTTGGGATATTTAAACATTTTCTTCATTGACTTTTTGGGCCGTCAAGAGGCAGTCCCTTAGGAGCCAATGTGGTAGTTATACAGCTCTCAAATTTAATCAAAAATATCTTCCTTTGTGTTCCGAAGACGAACGAAGGTCTTACGGGGTTGGTACAGCATGGGGGTGAGTAATTAATGACTTAATTTTCATTTTTGGGTGAACTAACCCTTTAAGATGTGATAGAGATGTTTGTAACTTTTACTAACGTTGGAGAAGATATACTCATGAGCATTTAAAGGAAAATATTCATATCATCTAACATATACTCATAAGCATTTAAAGGAAGATGTTCATGTAATCCAAAGGACATTGTTAAAGATATAACAAGCTGTTAGAAATGCATAAGTTAGAGTAAGCTTAAGGTATAACTAAACTGTTAGAAATGCATAAGTAATGTAAGCTTAGTGTGAGGACATAATGTTCTGTGTTTAACAAAGAAGCAAGCAGCATGAAAACATTTTAATAGCTCTTTGTATTTCAAGTGTGAGTTATATTTGTGCAGGGTTTTGATCAAACAAAGGATAAACAAGAACTTGCACCCAAGAGGTAAATTGAGCAGAAAGGTGTGAGGTTGAACATAACTTGTAACCAAGAGATAAATTGAGGTGTGAAGCTGAATTTGAACATAGGAAACTTAACACAAACGTCATTGTGCTGTCCAAATTAAAAATACGGTCTACAAGAATAGTCAAGGGCAGCGCAAACAGGTTTCCTTGCTAGAGGGCGTAAGAGACAATCGGTAGCAAAACCAGACCTAGCCTGCATGGGTTTCCTGGGTTTTTAGGTATATAAGGATGATGAGAAGGACTAGCCTTCGCCTTCACATGTAGACACTGTTCTGTATGTTGAACGCCAAAAGATTGGACTTGTTTTCTTGCAAGAAAATAAACTTTTGATACTTTGACTTTTGAAAAGGTTTCCACTTGTCTTCTTCCTCCTATCTTTTCGAATAACAGAGAATCATTTCCACAACAAATGGCGACGGGGAGGATGGGATGCTGAACCAAGGAGCGGCGTGAGGAGCGAACAATTGGCTGATCACCCCCAGAACAGTATACTCTGCGGCTCGAATCCTCAAGCTTAAGGAGAGAGAATTGTTTCGCTCATCACGACGACCGAGGTGACGCACTCCCAGAAACGAACTCACAAGGTCATCAAGAGACGGTGAGAAAAAATTATTTACGTGGTAAATAAGAGAATTATTTGCGTATTGAATACTTTTCCTAAAAGGGTCAGAGGTTTGGAATAAACCTGAAAGTAAAGTTTCAAAGAGTTTGAGAATAAGCCTGATAGTAATTTTCTCAAATAGCAAGTATTAATTGTTTTCCCAAAAGGGCCAGGGTTTGAGAAAAAGACTGAGAGTGATTTCTCAAACACCAGATGGGGCCTGTTTGAAATAAGCCTGATAGTAATTTTTCAAACAGCAAAATGCACTCATTTGGGAAAGACCTTCGTCGACGGATGGAGGCAATTTGAAAGTCCTTTATTGACGAATAAAGGCAGGCGTGGTGGCCACGTTGGGGGAAAGAATTAATACAGTAGATAAGAGAGCGTGGTGACCACGTGAGGAAAAGATTTAAATACGCAAATACAAATATTGTGGAGCAAATTACACAAGGAAAATGGGTAATAAAAATTCGAAAAGAGAGGAGGAACGGGTTGATATTTCTAAACGAATTGATTTTTCTAAGAGCTCGTATGTAGCCAAGGATAAAATAATGGGAACCTGGTATCGTGAGTATGTGCCGTACTTAGCACACCATTATGGGTTTAATGGAGGGTTTAGTGTGTCGCATCTGACTCAAACCAAAGTACATTGGGCGACTCATAAGGTCAAGAATAAAGACAAAGAGTTTTACAATAAGTGTGATGAGATCATAGGGAAATGGTTAGAAGAGGCAATGCGCAGACAGCAAAAACAAGGCTCTCGTGCCATCGCACCATCAAATTCTGATAAAGAAAGAGAGGAGGCATCAAAGAAAGCATTACAGGATGTTAAAACTGACTGTTCTACCTTTAAAAATGACTGTTCTAACATTCCTGACGGTTTTTCTCCTTTCTTTGGTCAATTTATGAAAATGATGATGGATGACGGGGGTTATCCGGCTCGACGCCCACCTGCTCTCAATCCTGGTCTAAGTGGAGCTGCTGCGGGAGAATCACCAGCCAGTTCGCCGTCACAAGCGCCATCGCAAGCCAGCGCCGTCTGAAGTACAAGCCAGTGCACCAGCTGCCCCACCGCCCAGTTATACTCCGAGGGAGGGCAGCGAAGAGGCGCCATCTTCAACTCGCTCTGGGACAGTATATAATGACGAGGGGCGAAAGGAATGCAGCAAAATTCTAGAGGAACTGCTGAACGAAACGACAGCGAAAACTGAAACCGTACTCGCGACGGCAACGAACCAACAGCAAGCGCCAGACTGAAGATTCAGAGCCTGAAATAAAGACTGAGAGCAGCGACGAGGACGACGAAGGTCCTTCTGAAGCTATTCAAGCACCAATGGTTGAAGTAGCAGGGCCAGAGGGAACAGTTCTGGTAATGAGACCATGGACCGAAGAGGACATGAGACAAGCCTCTGCTCACCTGCCAAACATCGAGTTAGGCGGGGCCAAGCTGGGTGCTGAACTAGCTGCATTCTGCAGAGAATTCAGGCCGAGTCTCAATGAACTGAGGAGACTGATGATTTTGAAGTATGGACTAGTGCAAATGACCAGACTGTTGGAAAAGTGGCCAGAAGACGCACGTCTGAAACACACCACTATCAGCAAAACCAAAGAGGTGGTGGAGGAAGAGGCAAATGGCGTGGTCGTGGCAACGGTGGACATTTCACACAGAATCAACAACGTCCAGGTCGAGACACTTGTTTCATTTGTGGACAGGAAGGACATTGGCGTGATTCGTGCCCGCAGGCAGGCAAGACCACGAGTCAGGCGGATTGAGAGGGGGAGGGTGCGAGCAACGGGTCTCAGACGGTCTCCACATCAGATGAGTATACTTTTTCTTCTTCTCCTTCTGACTCTGCTCTTTGCAATGAAGACAAGCTTGCTGATATTTTCTATAAGGCTCATAAATCTTTACCTCTGATAGAAGTAAACGTTCTTGACAAGACAATGTTGTTTCTAATTGATACCGGAGCCACATTTTCACTAATAAAAGAGACAGAGTTTAAACAACCGGTTTCACTTTCTGGAAAGACAACTCTTTCCAGGAGTGCATCTGGTCATGTGGTTGCAGAAGCATTCACAACACCGCTTGAGTGTTCTATTGATGGGAGAAAATTTGAACATAGTTTTTTGATTACGCAGACATGTCCAGTTAATTTAATGGGTCGAGATTTACTTTGTAAATTGGGTGTTTCTATTCACTGTACTGCTGAAGGGATTTCTGCTGACATGAGAATGATGTATGAAACAACAGGGGAAAACCCGTTGTTTGTGTATGAATGGCAAGTTTCTAACACGTGTCTGACCACAAAGGCTCATGACAGAGTGTTGCCATCGTCTGAATTTATGAATGATTCAGACTTGCACTGTACTTCACATGTCAGCAATAGTCCTGATGATGATTATTCACAGCGTTGGTTTGCTGTTGATGTGGAAGATGTAAAGACAGATTATCTGTATTGGACAAATCACTGGTGTGTTTTGAGTGTGAAACTGACTGACAAACAGGCAATGTTTTATGATGTGGAGAATGCACAGCCTCATATATCACTGGCCAAACCAGTGAAGGCTGAATGGCGTGACGCGGGTCCATTCATGGCCAAGTGTCATGAATTGACCGACTGGGTCATAATAGATCAAAAACGACTGGTCTGCCAAAGCGAAAGTACCGGATGGTTCAAACAGCCATGTCGTAAAACATTGCGAGGTTTGAGAGCAGTCACGGTGTTGGAAGAGGTAATGAGATTTGGCAGTCTGACATTATCGCAGCTCCCTGTTATCCCGGAGGGGTTGGAGGGAGTTCCGAGTTGTTTGTGGGCTAAAGATAGCTATGATGTAGGACTGATTGCTGGGTGCGAACCAGTTCGAATAAAGCCCAAGTCTGACTATAGGCCAAAGAAAATGCAATATCCGCTGAAGAAGGAAGCAATTGAGGGCATTACTCCTGTGTTTAATTCCTTACTGGAAAGAGGGGTGATTGTTGAGTGTCCGGACTCTCCTGTTCGCACACCTATTTTTCCAGTAAAGAAAATACGACCGGACGGGTACACCCTGACTCACAATTTTGGTTTGCATTTAACTTCAATGGGAAAGCGTACACATTTACGAGATTGTGTCAGGGGTACTGTGAAAGTCCAACTATTTTTACCGAAGCTTTGAAACGCAGTTTAGAAGATATAATTCTTCCGCCTGGCGTGGTTCTTTTGCAGTATGTTGATGATCTGTTACTCTGTTGTCCAGATGAAAAGATTTGCATGCAGGCTACTATCACGTTGTTAACTTATTTGGCCGAGCGGGGTCATAAGGTTAATCCGAGTAAAGTGGCCATAAACCAGACCAAAGTCACCTTTTTAGGTCACGTGTTGACACCGAATGGAAAATCACTGTCAGACAGCAGGGTTACAGCCATACAGAACATTCCTAAACCGATCACTAAAAAACAAATGATGTCTTTTTTAGGAATGACTTCGTATTGTAGGACATTTATTCCAAGCTACAGTGAGAAGGAAGGGCCTCTGTCTGCATTAATTTATGGACAGGATATGGCAGCCCATGACAAACTAACATGGACTGTAGAGGCAGAACATGCTTTTTGTGAAATGAAACAGGCTTTGCTGAGTGCACCTACGCTGGGCATCCCAAATCCTGATAAGCCATTTACACAGACAGTTGCTGAGAAAAATGGTTACATGTCTTCTGTCCTGTTACAGGAGCATGGGGGAAAACTCAGACCAGTGGCATATTTCTCAACTAAGTTAGACGCAGTAGCGAGAGGACTTCCTGCCTGTCTGAGGGCTGTGGCCGCAGCTGAAAGAGCTGTGGTGGCCTCTAGAGAATTTGTGGGTTACAGTGACCTGACACTGCTCGTGCCACACGCTGTGTCAATGATATTATTAGAACAGAGGACTTCTCATTTATCTGCAGCACGGTGGCTGAGATATAACTTTGTATTGTTGGAACTGTCAAATGTTACAGTTAAACGGTGTAATGTGTTGAATCCAGCTACTCTGCTCCCAACGGAGCAGGACGGTGAACCCCACTGTTGTGTTTCAGCCTTGGAACAGATATGTAGTCCCAGACCAGACTTGACAGACGAGGCTCTACCCAACAGTGACATGATTCTTTATGTGGATGGGTCATCCAGCAGAGATGACCTAGGCAAAAACAGAGCTGGCTACGCAGTAGTTTCCTTAACTGAGATTCTGGAACAACAACCACTGCCGTCACATTTTTCAGCACAAGCTGCTGAATTGGTTGCTCTGACTGAAGCATGCAAATTAGCGAGTGGTCAACGTGTTACAATTTACACTGACTCAAGGTATGCTTTTGGTGTTGTCCATGATTTTGGTGCATTATGGAAACATCGAAAATTTCTGAAAGCAGATGGAAAGCCAATCCTGAACCATCAGCTGGTGAGTGAATTGTTAGATGCACTGCTTTTACCAAAGGAAGTGGCAGTGTGCAAGTGCACACACCACAGGCATTGATGAAGTGTCTAGAGGAAACAGAGCGGCTGATTTAGCTGCTAAGGCTGCAGCACTACTTCCTGTTCAGATAACCACTGCAGTTCAGATGCAGGAAGAATTAGGAGACGTTGAAATCATGCAGCAGCACGCTTCTCTGAAGGGACCACAATGGAAATAAGTCTTCGGGCTTTATTGTGTTATCCCTGACAACTTTTGTATTTGTTTTTAATGTATGCAACAGTTTTTCTTACTGTTCTTCATATTTTTATATTTAAGTGGTCAAATAAATCTAATCTAAATCTAAATCTAATTCTCCCTCTGACAAAGAGAAGTGGAGAAAGGCGGGGTGTGTGTTTGTGAATGGACAATGGAGGGGCCCCAACAATAAACCATGTTTACCTTCTCATTTCTTTCAGGCTTATGCTAAGCTGACACATGGACTGGATCACGTGTCGAAAAGTGGAATGTTTAATGCTATGCAAAATAACTGGTTTACTAAAGGTTTCTCCACAGTGGCAGCAGATTATTGCAGCAGATGTATGATTTGTGGAACTAACAATGTCGGCAGGGGTCAGGCAATGAGACAGGCGGGGCATCCCATTCCGCAAAGACCATTCTCACACGTAATGCTTGATTATATTGAGTTGACACAATCTGACAAAAAGAAATACTGCATAGTTGCGGTAGACATGTTTTCAAAATGGGTAGAAGCTATGCCAACAGCAAAGGCAGATGCTAAAGGGGTGGCTAAACTACTCCTACAGGAGATAGTCCCGCGATGGGGTATTCCTGAAAAGTTATCAAGTGATAATGGGTCGCATTTTGTCAACAACTTTGCATTAACTTACATGAGAATGAGGAAGAGGGGACGCGCACAACTCTCTCCATTTGAGATTCTGTTTGGTCGTCCACCTCACATGGGCTGGGAACCCCACAATCCTAGACCACTGCCTGACACCACTCTTTGTGAGCATGATATGTTGAACTATTGTGTTGAGCTGGATAAGGTGTTTTCTGATATCTCACGACAGGTCAAAGCAGCAGCTCCAGTGCCAGCTGAGACGGCCCTGCACAGCATCCGACCAGGAGATTTCGTGCTGATAAAGGATCTGAGGCGGAAGCACTGGAAAGCGAAGAGGTGGCAGGGGCCATTTCAGGTTTTGCTGACAACTCACACTGCGGTGAAAGTCGGAGAGAGAGCTCCGTGGATCCACGGGACGCACTGTCGGAAAGTGCCAGCTCATGCGGTAGCTGCAACGGTGGAGGACGACAATTCCAGAGTATCAGCTCATGCGGTAGCTGCAACATCAGCTCGTGCGGTAGCTGCAACAGGGGAAAACTCCAACTCCAGGCAATCAGCTCACGCGGAAGCTGCAACGGACGGGCGATCCCACTCACAGCTTACGAGATCCGAACAGGTTTAAGACTAACTGACTTTGCTTGCCAACCTGTAGGTTTCTCACTTGCAAATCATCGTCATTGGAGAGAGGACGAATCTATCGTACAAGACGATTCTGCGATTCACCTCACACAGACATACACTGAAATCTTAAAAAGTTCTAGTCTTTTATGTTCAAATCGGAGAAGGACAAATATGGAGAGACTCAATAAGAAGTGAAAACATGTAGAATGCAACAGGACATTTCTGGGTGGTTTGTTGAATTCATGTAGCGTGGATTCATGTGTAGTTATCTTCTAGTCATTCATTAGCATATTCTGTCATGGTTCCTGGGGGCGGAATTTCTGTAAATTTTAGGGTTAGTGATGTCACAAACCCGTGAAAAACTCACTGTAGTCCCTACCAGACGGTTGTTGTAGTCCTTAAAAACAGATTTCTGTAAAGGAAAATATCTCCCTTTGCTTTGAACTTTGAGCATCGTAACTTTGCAGATGTTGTTCATGCACAAACAGCAACATTACACACTAACTAAAGTTAAAAAGGTGAAATCATAATCAACCACACGTTTAAATACTCTGCCTCCCATAAATGATGTGTCTGAATGGCCAACAAAAGCATCAGCAAAATTATTTATAACTTATATCTAGTTTTACTGTTCGTAATGTTGCACTAGAGTGCCGTTCATTTGCAAGGTGAGCACTATTTGTGCACTTTATCTATTTACCTCCACGGTCAGGTGAGCAATGATAGCTCTCTGGTGGCCCTCCAGTGTTTCCAAGGCAATGTGAGCAATCTCACCCTCCGACTTTCCCATGAACATCTGGCAGGCTGCCGCCAACATCTGCTTATTCTGGCCCTGAATCTTCATCTGTAGGAGAGAAACATAATCTGATAAGCCACATAATCAACAAGAATTACTTTCTACAGAAAAGTTATTTAAAGAAGGGTCAACTATCTTATCATTTGTGACAAAAATGACAAAAACCCAAATGAAATGATGTTTATAGGTTATTAGAGAGTGTGTGTTAACCTGTGCAATTCCAGTGACAGAGATGGGCACTCCATGACGTGTGTAGACTTTATCACTCTTTACATTCAGTGTCAGAGTGTTCAGAGAGATCCTGTGATGGAAGAGAGAAAAAGCTTAGATTTGTTCATGCAAAACCACACACACACACACACACACACACACATATATATATTATACACAAACACACAGAGGGAATAATACCTTTGAATCTGCTGAACGCATGGGACAACAAACACTCTCCCACCAGATATCATGAGCGGTGGAGACCGGCAGAAACCTGAGGAGTCCAATAACACATGAGAACATGATTTCTACTGAAAATATTTCTCTGTATAAACACATTTTTGTGATGTTTAGTCTTACCCGACACCACCATTGCCTCATTGGGACCGCAAGTGTAAAACATTTCCACACTACAGGAAAACAAAATTTTAAAATTCGATTTATTCCCTAATATCTCACACATACTTTATAACAACAACTGGATTATTCTGCTCTTAGTGATTTACATTTTAGTGGAGTATTTCTTTTTGTAATTGAAACATTCTATGACACATTATACATAACCATTAAATCTGTTGTACTTATGCAAAACAAATTTCTGTGTGGTGAAAGTGATGCAGCATTTTTGGCGCTTTTTATTTTGGATAAATATTTGTAAAGGAAAACAAAAATACATCAAATAGATATTTTTACCCAGATAGGGCCAGTTTGTATTTTATCATAGGGAACAGTATGTGCAAGATAATTTTGATCCATGATTCATAGAATTAAAAATATATATTTTAGTACTAAGTGAAAACAACATATTTAAATATGGGTCAATATATATATATATATATATATATATATGGTCAGCTATGAAAACTTTTCACAATATTTTAATTTTGAACTTGGGATTTTTATAGCTGTAAGCCATATCATCAAAACTAAAATAAATAAAATCTTGAAATATATCACTTTGCATGTAATCTAGATAATATAGTTCCACCTTTATAGTTGAATTACTGAAATATATAAAATTTCCACGATTTTAAACTCTTTTAAACTCTATTAAACTCTTAAACAACAACTCTATTTAACTCTTCAATATTATAACGAATTGTACTTATAGCATTCAATAATGCACACAATATCTTGCAATCTGCATAAAGCTGGCCATGCATGTAAATACGTTATCGATCGGGGGTTCATGGGATCTTGCTTCTCGGAAATGGTGGGCTAGGTCGCTTATTACGTTTGTAGAGCATTTCGGGAGGAAAAAAGCATAATACCATAGCAATACATAATTCTTTAGTTTATTAAAAGGTGATATGTGTGACAGAGAGTAAAATACGCACATCTCTCATTATTTATCACAATTTGTGTTTATAGTATAATTATAGTATAATTTTTAAATATTGAAAATGATCCCGGCTGCGGTGGACTAGGAGTGCCTTTATAATTACATTAGTATAATCACATTAGTGTAACAGTATCAAATCCAAATAAATATAGCCTTACCTTACCTATTACACCAACAGCAAACTGTATTTTTCCAGCTAGACTGAAAGTAAAAACAATAACTGCGCCTATAATCTCGCAATATTGTATTGGGCGGCGGAGGGATATCAAAAACCAGTGTTTACATCCAGCACGTCACGACAGCGTAAAGGGTCTCGGAACAGACTGCAGAGAAAACAGGAAAATAATTATCAGGAAAAACTCTTACCGTTGGGTGAATGGTTAGTAAATTTTAATCGAGTTGATAATAGCACGATATTGGGTTATCTTCTAACTGGTGTAAAATAAAGACGCTGTAATCCAGGAGGCTGTAACTAGCAGCAGTGTATGATAGTGATGATGAGGATGATGATGGCGCCCCGCCCGGATCACAGTCACAGACTTACTGGCGCCATCTCACGGTGAGCAGTTCGCATAGTGTAGCCTGGGCTAAATCATAGGGCTAAATGAATCATTTGAAAATGATGTTATCGATGCAGTTTGTGGCTTTACTTCACTTATACTTCACTTATTTTGGATAAATATATTTTTGCATAATTGTTATGATTTTTATTTTATGAACAGTATTCAATAACTTACTTCACTGTATTGTTGCCAAATTCAGTCCACACATCACTGTTATCCTGATGGTTATACTACAACACTTATTTAGCATATATTTGCATAATTTTTATGATTTTTATTTATGACAATTCAATAACTTCACTGTTACGCACTGCATTGGTGTGTATTATAAATCACTGATGGACAGTAACTTTCATATTTGTTGGAGACAAAGGTCAAGTAACTGCCTCAAACTGAATGTAACAATGCGTTACAGTGAAGTTATTGAATTTTTTTCATAGCCTAATAAAAATTTTTTTAAATTATGCACACAAAAAAACTTTTATAACAAGATAAGTGCAGGACAGCAGAGGTGTCGTGTGAATTGAATAGTAAAGTTGACTGTTGTAGTAACGCTTTTCAGGTTTTGCACTTTGTAGACGGTCCCTTCGGGTCTGTCCCTCATCCTGCGCATATGGATCCATGTATAGCTACGAAAAGCTAAGTTCGAGGAAAATTCGGTTGTATAGCTGATTGTCTACGTTGCTAGATACTACTAGGTACGATTACAAATAGGTGTTATTTGTGTAGTAATAACTTTTACACGAGTTATTAATCCGGGAATTTCAAATCTGTGAATTTATTTACAATTTTGACTCATCCGGATAAATTGGTTGCGAAATACAAGTGTTTTCCACATAAGTTACCGTTCAGATGAGATCATAAAAGAACTTGAAGATAGAAAGCACTTGAGGGCGAAACATCTTTTAGGTAAGTGCCTAACATTAACTTATTACCAACACAATCTAATCTGAAATTAATTAATACATCATCAGGCACAACAGTTATATAAATATAGGTTATATGTTTGGTCACGTGATTTTTGTAAATTCGAAAAAAAAAGAAGTCCCACCCCCTTTTTACTTTTTAACAAATTACTCTTCTGTAGACCGATGCAGGGGAAGAGGAAGAGGCAGAAAAAGAAAAGGCAGGGTTTTTTTTGTAGCTCCGACTGTATATAACATAAGTGTTCTTATAACAAAAATTATGTGAATTTTCTGCTTTGCAGAAGCGCCTTGAAGTTCTTGAAGGTAGGGATACCACAGAGAGTTAATATTTTTATCCGTTACAGTTATGAAGCATGTTATTCTTTGCACAACATAAGGTTATACAGCATTGGAAAAAACATGACAAGAATCATTCTCTCCAGTGAAAATATTCTCTCCAATGTGAATTCTCTTGTGGCTTTTACGCATCCTTGTTGCGTGAAACTGCGTGAGCTTTCCACACTGAAAGCTGATGAAAGGCTTTTTCCCATGTGAATTCTCATGTGATGCTCAACATTTCCTTGTTGCGTGAAACTCTTTCTGTACTGAGAGCAGATGAGCTTCTCTCCAGTGTGAATTCTCAAGTGACTCTGAAGGCTTCGTTTCACAGTGAAACAGTTTTCACACTGAGTGAATTCTCATGTGATGTTTAAGATTTTCTTTCACTCTAAAACTCTATTCGCATTGAGGACAGCTGAAATGTTTCTGAAGGTCTTCCTGGGCGAAGCAACGCCGACGGCGGTGGAACATGACGAGGTGGAGACCCAAGCTAAACTGTGAGGACGTCATTTTAGGCCTGGAGAGCCAAGGTGACATAGCCGGCTCAAGTAACCTGGTGAAGGCGGGGGCTTGGCAGAATGGGGCGACATCGGATGTTGGAAAGACCAAAGCAGAACTGGAGGGAAGGAGGAACCCGGTGGAGTTGAAAGGGTGGAGGCTAAAGCACAGCCAGAGGTCTGGAAGTCCATGGCGAAACCAGGATAATGAGAGACAAAGGTGGAGCCAGAGGGACAAGGGAGCCTGGTGGAGCCTGAGTGAGGGTGGATCACGGCGAACCTGAGGGAGCATAGACCCAAGGTGGAGCCGAAGGGCAGACCAGTCGAGGTGGAGAAATGAGCCTGGAGGACTGAGGTGTAGCCAGGGGATCCGCTTCATAGAGCCCTGCTGGTGGTGAAGGCGCTGCGAGACGGAGTCAAAGAGCTTGCAGGATTCATCAGCGAGGGCGGAGACAAGGAGCAGCGAGGCACCTGCAAGACAGCCCAAGTCCAGGGGACTGAACGGAGCCAGCATAGATTCCGGGAATAACGGGGTGGGCTTGGTCCAGGGGTGCGTTTCCCGATAGCATCGTTAGCCAACTATGGTCGCAAGTTGGTCGCAATTTCCATTGAACTCTATTGGAAAACGTCGGAACTTGCGACCATAGTTGGCTAACGATGCTTTCAAGAAATGCACCCCTGGGCGGGAGTGGGTCATCCAGAATCATAGCTAGCTTAACCAGGAGGAGAGAGTTCAAGGGTGGGTGAGAGAGTGGGAGTTTGCTCCTCTGTAAAATTATTGAACTGTTCGAACGGCACTGTGTCCGTGATGGACCTGGCGATATGCACTAACCTAGGGACGGATATGGCTCCAGGACAAACTCTGGCTGGCTCTGACTCCGTGGTTGGAGGGGGCTCAGGCTCCGGTTCTGTGGCGACCTCGGGCGTTATCATCAGGTCTGTGGGGGAGGTTTTCTCTTGCTGTCCTGGACTCTCCCTGCTGGGATGACAAGCCCTATCTGGAGTGGAATAGGAGATGGCTGAAAGATGTTGAAAGTCCCGGGGAATTGATGGCGTTGTCCTCGACAACTTCTATGGTGAGGGGGGATCCGCAAACCCATAAGCCAAACTCCACGAACTGTGCAAAATGACAGTGCTCCTCCCTCATCAGCAGCATCTGTCCAAGAATGTTGTCCATTCTGTTCAATCATCCCAGCGCGCGCCTCATTGTAGATATCCAGAAACTCCACATTGTATTCCTCCAGCGTGCTATCTATCTAAAATTAAAAAATATCTATTATTTATTATTATTATTTCTGTGCATTAGGACTTATGCATTGAATAGCTTGGCCTAGCTTTTTGTCATCCTGCCTCTCCCCATCTCTTGTAATTCATCTTGAGATCTAGAGGAGATTAAATCTTTGAGTAGTTCTTTAATGTAAGATGCTGACAGCTTATATTTTACAGAAGCTACTTCAGCTCTTAGCAGTGAGCAGAGCAGACGCACAAAGACTGGATTGTTTTGGAGTGCTATTATTATATACAGGGATTTGGAATAAGAAACACACACACACACACACACACACACACTATTGTCCATCAGCTATTGTGATCATAAACTTTTGTGATACAGTATATAAGCCTGTAATTATAACTTATAAGGCATCTTTGCATTTCCTATAAGACGTTTCGTGTGTGTGCTTTGTAAAAAATATTTTCAAGATTTGTTGTCACAACATATTTTCTTTTGTCAAATCAACTTTATAATAGTTTATTTAGTTGAGATAACTTATTATTTTGAGTTTCTGATGGTTAAATTGATCTACTTCACTGTATTAACTCACTTTTTCCAGTTCAATCAACTTAAAATTTTAAGGCAACCCAGGTTACTTACTTTTTTAAGTTAAACCAACAATATTTTTTTTACAGTGTAGTAATCACAACATTTTTTCTTTTGTCAAATCAACTTAAATAATTTATTTAGTTCAGATAACATATAATTTTGAGTTTCTGATGGTTAAATTTATCTCCTTCATTGTATTAACTCACTTTTTCCAGTTCAATGAACTTAAAATTTTAAGGCAACCAGGTTACTTACTTTTTTAAGTTAAACCATCAATATTTTTTTTACAGTAAAATACCCTGGCAATATTGTATTAGTAGGCTATTATAGTAAAGCTAATAAAGCTATTTGAATTAAATTGTGATAACTGTTTTTAAGTTAATTTTGCCAAGGGCTGCACAGATTTATGCTAATATATTGTGCTTCATGTCGGCTAAATGTGAGTGCTCTGGTAGAGTCTATGGGTAGAGCAGGCGAGAGTGATTTCCCGGAAATGAACGACGGCATCCGAACAAAGCCGAGCTTAAATTGCTTCTAAAACGAAATCAGCCGAAGTCTTCCAGATAACGCCGATTTGTTAAAACAGAAGTGTCTTTCTTTGGCAGATTGGGGGCGATAAAGAAGGGTTGGGAAATAGGAGGACGAATACCATCCTTTTAAACCATATTTTGTTCATATAGCGTTGTCTACCAATCATTTTACCGATTTGGATTTCCTACAAAGGTAATTACACCACTTCTTTATCATATTTAAGAATGATGCTTTCACATAAGGCAAAAGAAATAATAGGGTTAAATGATGCCGTTTTATTCGTTTACTGCTTTATAACTTTATTAGTAGATGCAGTGGTGAGAACAAATGATTTAGGGCGTTTCTATTGATACTATCAAACAACAAACGGTTCGCATCGGGACATTTTCTACATTTTAAAAGCCTCGTTATAATAGGCTAAATGCAGATGTGGACACGAAACCCTTTGCCATAATTATTATAATGTTGTAGCCAATTTATGCGCAGTTTTTAGGTTCACAGCGACTGCAGTCATTTATATTGTTCGTTTGCATCAAAATAAATTATTATATAATTTAGCACCTTGGTTGTAGCTTCTGTCAGTTGAAGTGGCCGTATTGGTAACACGAGGAAAATATTGATTCATAGTTCATTTGAGATAGCTTCCTCTTGAATGGGACATCAAATACTGTCTTTGACTACTGCTCTGAAAGGCTGGTCACGAAAGCTAGTGACTTTATTATCGCCACGCCGCTGAGCGTTACTGTATACATTTTTTTCGCGACGCACCAGTTCTTTTATATTAGAACCGACAGGCATTACAGTAGCCCAGTCTGTTCATCATCTCGCTAAATAAAACAACAGCATGCAGTGCTCGTCATGTTTCAACGTGCGTGTTCTCATTTCTGTACATATCCTCCTTTGTCCAAGCTTAGGCTGTATGCATAAGAAAACGAACATATTTCTTGTTTAATGGGGTCCTCATCCTTTTGATGGGACAGGTCCAGCAGAAGACTGTGACACACCCTTGTCGCATCAGCGGGCCCGTGTGGTTATGAACGGGGAAAAAAGGCGTCTAAAGCACAATGTTCCCTCACGGCTGAAAACCACAGATATAAGCTGTGTAGCCATTTCAAAGCGACAGCGAATTTCGTGTTTATACAGAAGGAGTCCTGTATGTAAGATAATTATTGGTCGTTTAATTAGTAGCTACAGTCAAAATCATCTAATCTCACGGAGTCAGCGGTTTAAAAGGCACGCGCTGAAACCTGTCAGTCAGCGTCTCCTCACTCTATTCATAATAATTAAAGGCCCAATCAACATTATATCCTACGCTGTTAAGAACTAGAAATGCACTTAAATGTACTAAAGTGCACTTAAAAACCAAACAGATTTATTCTAAATATGTGGTGTTCTGAAATCGATTGTTAATCAAGTGCAAGTGGAGCAGATGCAGTTCGTTTTCCCGCTGAGGCGCTCAGTTCTGATCCAATAACATGAGGCCAAAGAGTAGGCTACTTTGGCAAAGGACTAGAACAAAGAAGAAGATTGTATTTTCTCTTTCGCTCTCACAATTTTGAACCATTTTGTCACAATAAATGTATTTAATTTATATGAGAGGGGGAACAATATAGCCTATTTCTAGTGTAGGAAACTAGTGAAGACTATACTGAAAATAATTAGGCTAAATAGGCTCAACCTATTAGTTAGAGGAGTAGTTCACATAATTTACTCACCCCCATGTCATCCAAGACGTCCACGTCATTCAACTTCAGTCGAAAAGAAATTAAGGCTTTTGATGAAAACATTCCAGGATTTTTCTCCATATAATGGACTTCAATGGGAACCAAACGGTTCAAGGTCCAAAAGACAGTTTCAGTGCAAACTGCAAACTGTTCAAAGGGCTTTAAATTTAGATTCCAGACGATGAATAAGGGTCTTATCAAGCGAAACGATCGCTCATTTAAAAAAACAAAACAAAAAAAACTAAGCTTAAGTTTTATAAGCTCAAAAGTCACCTTGCTCTATTCTGTTATGCACGTTCGTGACTCTCCTGTTCAAACTCGTCTATCAAAATGAACGAATCTTTTTTTCTGTCATTTATTTCATTCAACGAACGAAATGAACGAGTTGACTCGGGAAAAGATTCGTTCATTTTGATGAACGAGTTCAAATAGGAGTCACGAACGCGCATCACAGAACAGAGCAAGGTGACCATTTGAGCTTATAAAACTTAAATTATTATTTTTTTTTTAAATGAGCGATCGTTTCGCTTGATAAGACCTTTATTCATCGTCTGAAATCGTTTAAAGCCCTTTGAACAGTTTACAGTTTGCACTGAAACTGTCTTTTGGACTTGAACCGTTTGGTTCCCATTGAAGTCCATTATATGGAGAAAAATCCTGGAATGTTTTCATCAAAAACCTTAATTTCTTTTCGACTGAAGAAAGAATGACATGGATATCTTGGATGACATGGGGGTGAGTAACTCCTTTAAGAATAATTGTTTAGGGCTAGGCTATAAAAGGCTTATAACAGGGAGAGATAGAGACAGATTTTGAACTGATTTGGGCTTTTGGAAGATGCGGCACTGTCAGCTGTCTTCAGTCTGGACAAGTACAGTATACTGTCAGAAACTGGATGTCATCCATTACTAAGATACTGTTTGAGAGACAGCCAACAAATCTCCTCCCTTAATCAGATCTACAATCAGCCTTAAAGAGACACTGATCAAACTGTCACACTACTGTAGAGTTTGACCTAAATGCAATATAGTCTCTTTTGACGTGCAAGACGAATTCAGTTTAGCATGAATGATTCAGGCCTTTAGTTAGATAAGTGCTATTAGACTACCACAATAATCTCTTTAATGTCATCTTGTAACATCATGAATTTATGAAATCCTTTTTTGAAAATAATTGAAAATTCGGTTTCATTTTAAATGCAATGCTCGAGACACCATCTTCTAATTCAGTGAACAACATATTTTTTTCTTTATGTTTTATATGCCATATTAGGTATCATTAATTGCTATTTCTAAAATCTTGCTTGGAAAGTTTTGCTTGTTTATGTTGATTCCCAGTTGCATTTTTTTTACACAGATTTCCAGCCAAAATGATCATCACGTGTGTGGCAGTCATTTACACCCTCCTGAGCTCAGGTAACTGATTGAAAACCTCTATAGTACACATTTCTGAAGGAAGTATAAAAAATAAATGTTGCTACAACAAATACTAGGCTTAGCTTTTAATCTGCAACGGCTTTATTTTACAAGGGCAACATTTGCAGAATCATTTATCATAAGATGCTGGACTGAAAGTGCACAGTTGGCGGTTTGACACGGCAGCATTCCTAATAGTGCTTTCATATTGTTCGTGCTGCAGAGAAGTTAAACTCTTTTCTCAGATAGGTGTATTTTTATCGTCAGCAAAAAGGCATATATTTTTAGAGCATGTATATTCAGGCCATTGGCTTTTAAAAGCATGAAATACTTGAATACTAGGCTCATTTAACAACTCCCCCAGAGTTAAACAGTTGAGTTCTACTGTTTTCAAATCAATTCAGCCGATTTTCTGATATTTAGAAGAATGAGTGAGTTTCTGGTCTCATTGACTTCCATATAGTATATATTTTTTTCCTACTATGGAAGTCAATGAGACCAGAAACGGTCTGGTTACAGATATTCTTCTAAATATCAGAAAATCGACTGAATGGATTCGAAAACGGTAGAACTCAACTGTTTAACTCTGAGGGAGTTGTAAAAAGTGGAGTATCCCTTTAAGATTTTGTTAATATTTAATATTTACATACATTTACATTAGGAGAGAGAGACTTTGTCTCCTTGTTATTATCCTTCATAACTGCTGATTTCAGTTCAAAGTGATTTTGATTTTGTTGAGGGCATAAGGGCAAATTCATTGCTATTTTGCAGTAGTTATACTGTAGATAAGCTAAATTTGATCTAATAGAAATTTGATCTGTCACCTGAGCAAATATATACTCTCATTTTACCAGTGGCATTCTGAACCGTTTAGTTTACCTCTATTTGCAGCTGAATATAAGCAATTATTAAACACCTGCATTCATTAAAATTAAAACGGAGTGAAAAAGATGTTAAAATTATAATTTTATATTTTGAATACCTTCAATACAACAGTGACTCTGTAGTGACTCAATAAAATGTATTGTATAAATGAAGACAACGCTTAGATATTTGGAATAGAAATGGCTTGTCTGCCTTGATTATACTTACCTTTTTTCTCTCTCTTTTTTCAGCTTGCTCATCAACCATTAAAGGTAATGATTCTGAGATTATTATAGGTCTAATAAGCAATTTACTAAGGGCCGATCCTCTATCTCCTATATATAAATTTGGTTTTTAATATATGTTTCTCAATTTTCTGTAGTTGAGTGTCTGACTTTCTGTCTTTATTGTCACTATGCAGCTAAAGATGAACACCACACAGCTTTCTTTGGAGAGGATGTTCATATTCCCGTGACGGCTTTAGACACATCAGAGGTGGTGTTCAAGCCGAGGGTGGAGCCGTTGTTGGAGCGGGTTCTCCTGCGGAACGGGACAATTCTGGATAACAGAGCCAAACTGAACATTCACATCAGCCATTTGATCCTGGAGGATGTGGGCGAGGAGGATGAGGGCACGTACGTGGTGAAGAATTCTGCGGCCCCAGCTGATGTCAGACGAATCATTCTCGTTGTTAGAGGTAAAACTTATAAAACCACTTAAATAAGTTCTTCCTCTGTTGGTTATTTGATAGATGACAGGAAAAGATTCAATAAGCAAAATGCCTTTTTAAATGATGAAAAGCTATGGTCACTACGTAAAAAAACCCCAGCAAATCCCCATATTAGAATGATTTCTGAAGGATCATGTGACACTGATGACTGGTGTTAATGATGCTGAAAATTCAGCTTTGATCACACAAATAAATTGCATTTTCTATGTATAAAATGTAATCTATAAAACTGTATATATCTAAATATACACTCACCTAAAAGATTATTATGAACACCATACTAATACTGTGTTTGACCCCCTTTCGCCTTCAGAACTGCCTTAATTCTACGTGGCATTGATTCAACAAGGTGCTGAAAGCATTCTTTACAAATGTTGGTCCATATTGATAGGATAGCATCTTGATGGAGATTTGTGGGATGCACATCCAGGGCACGACGCTCCCGTTCCACAACATCCCAAAGATGCTCTATTGGGTTGAGATCTGGTGACTGTGGGGGCCATTTTAGTACAGTGAACTCAAATGATTCAAGTTTTATGACATGGTGCACTATCATGCTGGAAGTAGCCATCAGAGGATGGGTACATGGTGGCCATAAAGGGATGGACATGGTCAGAAACAATGCTCAGGTTGGCCGTGGCATTTAAATGATGCCCAATTGGCACTAAGGGTCCTAAAGTGTGCCAAGAAACATCCCCCACACCATTACACCACCACCACCAGCCTGCACAGTGGTAACAAGGCATGATGGATCCATGTTCTCATTCTGTTTACGCCAAAATCTGACTCTACCATCTGAATGTCTCAACAGAAATCGAGACTCATCAGACCTGGAAACATTTTTCCAGTCTTAAACTGTCCAATTTTGGTGAGCTCTTGCAAATTGTAGCCTCTTTTTCCTATTTGTAGTGGAGATGAGTGGTACCCTTCTGCTGTTGTAGCCCATCCGCCTCAAGGTTGTGCGTGTTGTGGCTTCACAAATGCTTTGCTGCATACCTCGGTTGTAACGAGTGGTTGTTTCAGTCAAAGTTGCTCTTCTATCAGCTTAGATCTGTCGGCCCATTCTCCTCTGACCTCTAGCGTCAACAAGGCATTTTCGCCCACAGGACTGCCACATATTGGATGTTTTTCCCTTTTCACACCATTCTTTGTTAACCCTAGAAATGGTTGTGCGTGAAAATCCCAGTAACTGAGCAGATTGTGAAATACTCAGACCGGCCCGTCTGGCACCAACAACCATTCCACACTCAAAATTGCGTAAATCACCTTTCTTTCCCATTCTGACATTCAGTTTGGAGTTCAGGAGATTGTATTGACCAGGACCACACCCCTAAATGCATTGAAGCAACTGCCATGTGATTGGTTGATTAGATAATTGCATTAATGAGAAATTGAACAGTTGTTCCTAATCCATTAGGTGAGTGTACTTACCTTTTTTCAGTGTGTACTCAAAAAGAATGTCCTCATAGGTGTGTTGATGTATTTCAGTTCTGTTGTTCTTCTAGACTGTGCACTTGAGACTGTGGTGAAATATGGAGACACGTATCATATCCCGATCAACCCTGCGATCGGTCCGTACACTCTGGAGTTCAGGCCTGGAGCTCTGACTCCAGTTAACCAGACCACTGAGGAACTACCTGTGATTCTCCTCAACCAGACCAGCTTCCCCACGGAAATGTACGAGAACCGCCTCACTGTGGGCGAGAAGAGGGTCAACCTCCATCTGGTTACAGGGGCCGATGAGGGCAGCTACACCATCGTGGACAGGGATGAAAAAGTCCGACTGAGGGCCTGTCTCAACGTGAAAGGTGCAAAATCAATGTTTGTGTGAGCATTATATGAGTAGACAGTTTCAGCGCTTGATAAAAGAGAAAGCCTTACATGTGTCAAAGCCTTAAAATAGTGTAAAAGTACAAAGAGAGATGTGTAAGAGGAAGATAAGGAAGGAGAGAATAAAGGAGCACATGTAAGCACAATAGACTCTAGACTATCAGTAATCATTTTGGTGCACATTGCAGCTTATTCTTAAAACAGTTTTTGGCAGGATGAATCCAAAGTCATCTCTAAAAACAAAGCTGGATGGACAGAAATGCCATACTAGCACAAAGATGGTTATATTAGTTCTGACATGCTATTTTTGCTCTAATCTAAATATAACTTGAGTCTTACAAATGAAAGTAAAACATCATTTAACCCTCAGGTGATCTTCGTTTCGGAGTCACACTTGTTATCTTCCCGGTCAAAAGTGACCGGACACCTAAAAATGAAACTTTCTCCATCCCAGTAAAACCAATGCAATTTATTTTTGTTCTATAATATTTATTCTTTTTAATTTAGTATTTTGAGACAATTTAATTGAATTTATTAATATTTATGCAATATTTATGGTTTATTTTTGCCATGGAAAAATATATATATTTTTCTATATATATATTATTTTTTTCAAAAAAATATTAATGCAGTATTTTAGTTTAATATAGAGTCTAGGCCTTCAGAAAAAAATATATTTTTTGAAGAAAATTAGCACCATCTGGTTACAGAATAGAGAAAAAGCATAGAATCATGGTGTAACCACTAGAAGGCATGTACAGCTCTCTATGGAGAGCCATGTGAATTCCCCAGCTGTTTATGAACACATTTTTTTTTTTTTGGATTTGTGGATTTGTATATATAGTTGAAACAATCTCAAAAACTATTTCTTATTTTAAAAAAAATGACAAAAAACAAATATTCACTTTTTTTTTTTTTTTTTTTTTTTTTTTTACAATTTCCCATTCATTTCCTATTGGGTCATTTTTGACCAAAGACCACAAGTGTGACTATTTTTTTTAAGACCACTTAGCATGCTCAGATCATGACCTCAATTTTTTGATGTGTTCACATACATAATGCCATAAAAGTCACCAAGTTTCGTAACATTCCGATGAAGCTGTGATTTTTAAAAATTCAAAACAGAAAATTTTTCGGTCAGAAATGACCGAAGAGCACCTGAGGGTTAATTTAGTCATAGAAGGAATAAAATATTTTGCCACTTTGCATTACTATTACTTTTATCATTTTTAACATAGATAATGGTTGTTCTTTGGCATGAGATGATAAAGGACATAAAAAAAACTTTATCTACAATATTTAATCGAAAATATTGATTTACTTATACTTTTATTTATTTACTTTAATTACATGTATCATTACCAACACTATTTTTAATAATGCTATTATTTTTATTAATCAAAAAAGTCTGATTATATTCTGAGATCTTTTCAGGTACATAGAAATTTGTTTCTAATCAGTATTTTGAATCTGAGCTATCATTTCACAGATCATCAGATCTTTGACCACTTGAACTATGGTGAAACCTTGAAGATCAAGCTTCACGTGGACCACACCAAAGTCAAAATGGTCTACATCCCGGACTCTGACCACAAACAACGACTCATCATGGACCAGGGAGAGCTGATGGTGTCTGTTGAGTCTATTTTTGATGGTCGAGCGTCTGTGGAAGGATCCGTGTTCTACTTGAAGAAGGTCAAAGCCAGTGACATGGGTGTCTTTCGAGTGATGGACTCCTCAGGCTTCCGTATAGCTGACGTCTACCTTAACGTGGAGCGTGAGTAGAGAATTTGAGAACGTACTGTTAACTGACAAATTGAGGTCTATTTTGTGTACCCATGATCCTCTCCTCTCCCATAACAGCCTATAAGCTGCCACCACTCTATGTGGCGATCATCTCGTTGGTGTCTCTGCTGGCGTTCCTGCTGTTGGTGTGTCTGCTGTCCTGTCTGATCAATGTTCACCGCCGGGCAGAAAGAGCACGTAAGCTCTCCCTAATCGCTCAGCAGGCGGGCAAGGGGGACGGTGATGCTTTCAGACAGGTAAAACCAAACAATTTCAGACACCCCAGACGTATAATAATATTTCCTTTAAACACAATTCAATAAAAACACATATATTTTGGATGCTACTCCTCTAGATTTGGACAGTATATTAAAGGTTGCAAAATACTCTGTTGTTCAATCGCTTGAGGGCAGTAAAAAATGTTTAAAAATATATATCAAGAGTGAGAGTAAAGACTTTGTTACAAAAATCCATATCAAAGTTATTTTTATTCATCAGAGAATCCTGAAAAAAAACAGTTTCCACGAAGCACATTGATAATAATATCAGATAATATACTGTATATATACTTTTATGCTTCCGCTCCTCCGTGAGAGATACATGACGGCGCGTCATCCTGCTCGCCACACAGTTATCTTAAATGGTAGTAATATTTCAAATACAGTTTTTACTGTATTTTACTGTAAATGCAGCATTGGTAAGCATTGGTAAGCAAAAACATTAAAAAGTCTTCCCGACATCCAAAAGTTTTTAACGTAACTGTACGTTGGATTATTCAACATAAAATGATAATTAAATCAGTTTCAACAAATGTGATTGAACAAAAATAAAAGTCTCTATTGTCTTTTGTCTACCCCTTTTAACTATTTATTATTTGTATATGATTATATTGACTATTACTAGTAGTAGTAATAGTCAAAATAATCATATTTGCAATTAATTTGTGAGTAATTTGCAGTTTGCTTTTACCCTGTTTTTACCGTATGAGACAAAACCTCCTGTAGCATGTCGCTGTAGCTTTAAGAAAACATCTCCTGTTGTTTCAAGCCCATAAAAAAACCTTGCAAACTCATCTCTTTTCCAACAACAAAACAATCCAATCTTGGCAGTCTAATCTATTATCACCCATCAGTCAATACAAATATAATCTGTCTGTTTGTCTGTGGAGTGTAAAGTGAGATTGAATGTGTGTATTTCTCCCAAACACATTTATTTGAAAGCGGTTTTGTGGTGGTTAGCTTAACACTCCATTTCTCCCCCCTAAAGGATCATCTGACGGAGTCCCTGCTGGGTGAGAGAGCTTTGCGTTTGGTGTCGTATTTTCTTATATTGCTAAATTGATGAATCTGTATTGGTGTTGTGGTAGCACAATAGGAGTCCCAAAAGCCTTTCTGTCACTCTTAGTGACTGTGTACCTGTCCATTATTCCATTATTCAGATCTCCTGAGATGAGTAACTTCAGGTGTATTGCACTGATCTTAATTTGAACTCTTAATATAAATAGGTATAAAGGTAAATACACCTGTGTGTTAAAGCTTCTGCCGTGCTTAAACACACATGCACATATGCAATATATATGGAGAGGTAAATATGAATCTATGTGTATGTGTGTATATGTGTGCTGACTTCTGTTTATATGCTGCTGTGTGAGTGTGTAATTATGGTTGGCAGTGATTAATGGAGTCACTTAACATTTTAATTATGTCCTGTTCATATTGAATTACTCTGGACATTGTTGCAGATTTTGTAGTTGTTAACCATTTTTCCTCTCACATTTGATATTTTTAGCTTTGCAAATTAGATGCAGAACAGAAATAAGGCTATGCTCAGAATAGAATACCAGCATACTGTATACTACACAGTATATACTTTTTACATTTTATTTTACATTTAAACTCCATATTTACGTGACACGTAAAACAATGTAGCGTTCTACTGGAAAATAAAAACATTTACTTTGCACTTATTTTTTAGTCAAATTTGGTTTAAAGTCATCCTGTAGTCAATACTTTTATCCCTTTTTTAATGTTTTTTTTTCCGTGAAAAAAATTTCTTCATGCCAAAAAATAGCTTAAAGGGATAGTTCACTTTGAAATTAATTTTTGGTATATTTTATCTTACCTCAAGGGCATCCAAGAAGTAGGTGTCTTTCTTTCCAGTCGTTTCAATTTTGATATTTTTAGGTCAAACCGTTGTTGTCTATCAGTCATATAATGGAGATCTATGGTCACCACCATAGATCATGCAGAGCATGCACAGAGAAGTCCAAATTAAACATGATTTAATGACTTGCAAATGTAAGTACACATTGATGGCCTAAGACACGAAACGAGCGGTTTGTGTGAGAAAACGAACAGTGTTTATATCGTTTTTACCTCTTGTAACCACAGCCACGTCCAAGTGATCTGAGGGTGCGGACGCTTCAGTCTGCGCAAGCGCCGGAAATCACCGGAAGTTATCTAAATATGGTTGTGAAAAAAAAATCAACGATGTCTGTTGATGTATCGAAATCGTCCTCCATTGCGATTTCATGTATATCTAAACATGTTTAGATCTTCACAGTGAAAGGTAACACTTCTGAAATCTCTGTGTAAATAATGAGTACACTTGCGAGAGACCGAAGGGCGCAGACCGAAGCGCCCTCAGATCACTTGGACGTGGCTGTGGTTACAAGAGGTAAAAACGATATAAATACTGTTGGTTTTCTCACACAAATCGCTCGTTTCGTGTCTTAGGCCATCAATGTGTACTTACATTTACGAGTCATTAAATCATGTTTAATTTGGACTTCTCTGTGCATGCTCTTTGAGGTGGTGACCATAGACCTGCATTATATGACTGACATGAACAGTTTGACCTAAGAATATCAAAATTGAAACTACTGCGGAAACAAAGACACCTACATCTTGGATGCCCTTGAGGTAATCTAAAACATCAAAAAATCATTTTTAAAGTGAACTATCCCTTTAAATGTAACTCTACACCCAATGACAAGCGTATAAACAACATTAAAAACTAGATTTTCACCACAGAGGGACTTTAAAAACGCTAGACCAATCAAATTATTATTATTTGAAGTGAAATTTTGCATACTTCACACTAGATTTGCTACAATAACCTAATTTTCACAAACGCATTTAAACGTGCCGTATATCCACAGTTATAAAATGTGGGAAAATATTTGTTGCGCAATAACGCACAATGCTTGATTTCAAACTACATATTATTTGTTTATTTTTAACTGAAAGTTCAATCAGGTTAAAATTGTGTGTTGTTCACCAAACCCCATCCGATTCACGTGTTCAGTCATTCTCATAATGGTCTTTGTCAACGATTCCTTTGCAGTGTTCGGTTTACTGTATTAATATTTTACACACTTAATTAAGTATGTATGTTGTGTAACCAGATAAGCTACAGACTTTTGTTCTGGCCTTCGAACAACAGTTCCTGTCAAGGTAACGTATGCTGTAATTTTGATACGTCTGTAAAAAACATTTGGCTGTCAATGCGTTCATTTAATTTACTATTAGTAGCAAACTCTCCATTAGGCGACTATAAGGCTATTCTTTTCGTTAGGCTGTTGCTATTGAAACATTTTCCTCTTTTACTTGGTATCAAATTTCACACTGGTATCGCCCCTTACCATGGCAAGCATTCTGCACACAATATACAAAATCCTGCATACTACTGAAAAAGCAATAGTATGCTAGTATGCTATTCTGAATATAGTCACTAGACTCCAGCAATTAATCATTTGCCAGCCTAGTGAAATTCATATTGTCTATGTGTTTGTCTGTGACATCATTGTGTTCACCCTCAAATTATGGGTTATTGTGCCTCAGGGTTTTTACAATATGATCATACTGTATATATTTTGTGACTCTGTGAAGGGCCAAATACAGAAGAGTTGCTTTAAACAGAAATTATTTAGATATATTTGCCCTTCGCTTCATCCAGTTTTCACAATGTTACAGTATACAGTATATTCTATTTCCAACAACCCTAATGTGTGTGCAGAATATTTATTCTGGATCTGCTGATTTCTCAGGCTGTTTTCACACTTGGTGTGATTTGGTTGTTCTGAACCTGAATTCATTTCCACCCCCTTGCCTTCACATAACATTTCAACATTTCATTATTTTGCTCCAAACTGTGATACGTTTTCATCACCAGCTCAATGTGATTACCAACAGCAGCTGTCTGCCACTCTAGCCAGATAACAGCTCAGGAAGAGCCAAAATAGAAAGCTAAATTCAATATTTATTGTTGTATTCATATTTTAGTCCCTTTGATTTTCACTAGCAGATTTTAATGTCACTTGGGCCTGTCATGGCAAGAGAAGCAAAGAATGCAAGATACTTGCCAGAGGCAATTCCTACAGGCAAACAGGAATGACTGATTCATTATAAGATGCAGGTAAATTGGGCCACTTTTTGGATTGTCAAAAAGTGACAATTCACTTCACTATATCAATAGCAGTTCACTTCTAGAAACATATCTTCCATACCGTCCATCATACTCCCATTTTCAAGTAGATTTGTGAAGGAACAAGTTTTCACACCCAACAAACCAAACTTGCCTTTAATGGACTCTGGTTCGAACCACAAGCTCTAGTGTGAAAAAGCCCTTGCTATGATGTGATATTTTTTGTGGGAGCACCAACAGCACAGTGTGATTATTTTTGACATGAGTATATATGTTTTTTAGGTGGTTCATGAAGTTTATACTAGATTCACAGAGGAGTCCACTGCGCAGTCCACATGGGAGAACGCCACTGAGAGCACAGAAGTTGAGATCAAAGTAGGTGATATATATATATATATATATATGATGATGAGCCAACATGATCTTAAAGGGATAGTTCACCTAAAAATTAAAATTCTGTCATCATTTGCTCACCCTCATGTTGTCCCAAATCAGGATTATTATTGTTAACTAAAATGTATCTTAAACTATAAAAAAATGTTTAAGTAAAATATAAATATTAGAAGAACTTAAACTAAATGAAAATTAGAATTACTAATTTCTCTACTAATTAACTACTGTCTGTAAATGAATAAAACTAAAACTGAAATAAAAACAAATGAAACCTGACTCTGAATAATATTTAGAACAAAATCGAATAACAATTACAAAAGCACATAACAAAATTACTGAAAATATAAAAATATATATAGTTCAGAACATTAATAAAACTATAGTAGGCAAGGCAAGTTTATTTATATAGCAGCACATTTCATAGTATAAAAATAATATAAAAATATTACTATAATGACAATCTTTCCATGGTAGTATTTGAAATATTTAAAGAATTATTATGCAGCTTGTACAACAACTTGCTCATAGTTTAGACCTAAACAATTTTGTAGCCCTCAAACCGTATTCACTTTATAGCCCTTAATCCTGTAATTGTGGACAAATGTGGGCACAGAGGACTCAGATGTGATCCTTATTTTTATTTATTATACATTTTATATTACTGGCTTCGATAAAGTTTTGTCTATCCATTTATGGTGGGGTTTTTTTATTTTGGGGGTATTTTTGAAATTATTTACTTCAAAAAGTAGGCTACCATATTTTCTATGTACAGTAAATTATGCTTATATTTATGTTTTATTTTTATTATTTTTTTTTAAACTACATTAAAATATCATTCCAATAAGTTCTTAGAGCTAAAACCTAAAGATAAAGTGACTTTGCTGTCACCTGGTCTCTTATTTTGGCTGATTTTAGAATGCTCTAAATTACAGTTTTTCCCATTCATTTCTATGGGTGCCCATTTTTGATCCAAATACAAGATTAAGGAGGTTTTTTTTCACCCATTAAACATTGTAGAATTGAGTCAAAAAAAAAAAAATGTGTGTGTCTGTGTTCAGGAGGCAAACTTAGGAAAAGTAGCCAAGTCTTGTACCGCTCAGATCAAGGGAAGTATTTTTTAAAAATAAATCCAAACTATTTTGCCCACATTTGTCCAGAATACGGTTTTAGGGTTAAAGGGGAACTTTGACAACTATTTCCACAATAAAACCGTTTAGAAATCATTTGAATGGTTCAATAACCTGTTCTGGAGAGAATGGTGGCTTTCCCAACTCCCCCCAGCGTTCCCAGGCGGAAAACCAACATGAGGACTAACGTCCCGGTAATTTGTAAATAGAAGTCTCGAGAGAAGCGAGAATGAGCGAGGAACACGAACTGCTTTATGGCAATTCGAAATAATTCTATGATACTTCATATGATGTATTACCCACATGGTAGACACAGCTCCACACGATAGAGTTGGCCGGCTCCGATAATAACAAAAGCACATGAGCAGCGGTAGAAAGCGGGAGGAAGGCGCCGCAAGTGTGTGTTTTTATGTCAGTGTTGTGAAATATATGCCGCACAGCTGTAGGGGGCGCTGATGAGAATACATGCCACAACAAAAGTGGAAATCCACGAAAAAGTGACTAAAGTGCCCCTTTAAATTAACAGCTACAAAAAAAGACAGAATTTTCATTTTAGAAGAACTTTTTCTTGTTTTTTTTCTTCTACGACTACCGTATTTGAATAGTATATTCATCTCACAGTTCTGGGTTTCTTGTTTACCTTCACTTTTAGGGTCTTGAGGTATCAAAACCAGGTCAGTACCACGCCCTCCAATCTGACAAGAACTTCTTGGATATGAACGACTCAGGCGTGGAGTTCACCTCGTCTGCGCTTCCTCTGGACAGTGACACAGACGTCCCCGACAATCTCACCTCTCACAAGCTCTTGCTTGAGCCTGACACTCTCGCTGGCGTCCCCCCGACCATTTCTGAGGGCGACCATAGTGCCACTCGCACCCCTGATTCCATTCTGAGCGCCAGCCCTGTTGTCCCGCCCAAATCTGGGGCTCAGATAGATGGCGACTTGATCGGCACAACCACGCCTGAGGAAATGGCGAATGAGTTGGGTGCAAAGACGAGCAAAGATGCTTCGCCACATTCTGAGAAAGCCACTACATTGGATCCAACTAATGGAACCACAACCTGAGCAGTGTAAATGAAGTTACACCAACCAACATCTATTACACAAGTGCAACCAATTTTCGTTCACAACATCTCAACATCTTACACCTTGCTTGGACTCATCTGATTCTTAACAAATGGTTTGTCGAAGAAGCAAAAATAGAAGAATAAATCAAGAGAAGACAGCACTTGCAAAAAAAAACAAAAAAAGAAAAAACGTTGAAGAACGGAAACAGTCCTGCACTATGCATGCATTTGAATTACTGAGGAGTTCTTAACTAGTTCAAAGCCAAGTGCTAGATTAGAGTGGCCATGTAGTGCATGTGAAGAAGAAAAAAACACATCACCTGTGAGTCTTGACCATACTTTTCTGTAACTTTATTTAGCCATGCCACTATCAAGAACCTTTACGAGAGTGTCAAACTTCCTGAAACTCCAAGGACGCTTCAAGCTACACCTGAAGTGGATTGTGAATGGGGATTTTACTCGCATATTTTTCAAGCGGTTCATCTACAAAATGCCAAACGAATATTTTTTGAGTCACTCATCAAGTTCATTTCAAGACCAACCTGAATGCATCTCACCGGTGAACACACTTTCCCAGAGAATCTCCTGGTGTGAATGCTCTCTTTCTGACCGTCTGCATTCACCTCCAGCTTTGAAGTGCTGTGCTGATAGTCCCTGCCAATGGTAAACTAAACACCTTGATGAATCAGGTCCGCGTGGATGACAGGTATCTTATACGGGGGCTTAACGCTGTAAATAGGATCAGCTGTGGTGGAGGGTTTTGGCCCTGGTTCAGAGGAACTCCGCTGAAGAAACGGCTTGTCTCAGCAGTTTGAGGTGCTGACTCCGCTGGGGTTTTCTCCACAACTGGGCCTTTCCGGTGATCTCTTTTCTTGGGCTTCTCATGTGATCCTTTATTCTCTCTCATTTGAATATATTTTAGTCGCGCTGAGCTTTGTAAGACTTGCAGAAATTTGCTTTAGAATCACATACATTGACATTTATGCATGAAGAATGATTCGCAATGAACTTAGTGAGATGACTGAGTGTAGGGGGAACTGAGAACAGGAAAATGTATATTCAATATGGTTTAATAATGTAGGTTTGAATCATTTCTTTTTGAAGCATTTCTGTCAGTACACTTGAATTGGCATATAAAGCCACGTTTCCTCCGCAATTACTAGGAACTATTTGTCCCAGGAACTTTTTTCGTAGGAACTTCTGCGTTTACACCGTGGACTGAAGTACCTGTCCGGGGCGGGAAGATGTAGTGACGTTGAACTGCGTGCGACTGCTCCTCCCAGTCTGTGCGTTTGTTTTGAGTTTTGTATGGAGGAGATTCAAGCTGTGTTGCTTTTGTGTTCGATTGGTTTACTAACGAGGTCATTAACAAAATGGCAGAAAAGAGACGAGCACCCAAAGCAAAAGCGTATTCAGAAAGCTCGTAATGCTAGATATAAAAGTAGACGTTTGTTATCAGCGGAGATTGACCGTGAGATGGTTGGGATGAACGAGCGCCATTGGGCAGAAACAAAAAGTGGTAAGAACCAATCAGCATTTTTTGCGCACAAGTCCGACCCCGAAAGTTCCCGAAATCTGAAAAAGTACCACCTCGCCAGCAGGGACTTTTAAGGGGGGAAATTTTTACCCGGAACTTCATTTAGACCCTGGTTCCTGCGGTGTAAACACACCGAGTACCACCCCAAATTTCCTACCCAGCAAACAAATTTAGGTTCTGGGAACGTTAGTTTTTGGTTCCCAGAACGTTCCTAGAACTTTCCCTTAAGGTTAAGGGAACGTTCCCGGAACATTCTCCTTGCATAATAAAAATGGAACCCCAAAATAACCTACATGGAACGTTTCTATAACGTTCTTGTTTGGTTCCCAAAAAAATAACCTCATGGGATCATTCGGGAACGTTAGGGGAACGTTCTGTGGTAGTTCCTGGGGAAAGTTCCTGCCGTGGAAATGCGGCTTAACACATCTAGATGTAACATGTCAGTAAAACATTACTATTTCGCGTCGTATTATGGCCTTTTACAAAGTCTTGGATTTTTTTCTAGTAGAAGAGTCTACTAAAAAATGTTTTCATGTTTAAATATCATATTTGACTTATATCTCTTCCCAGTTTGTCAGTAATGCTCTGTTTAGTCAGGCCCCGTTTACACGCAGATATTTCCCTGCGGATTGGCCTCTCGTTTACACCAAAACTTATTTAAAACTTATTTCTAAAAACTCCGGCCAAAGTGGAGATTCCTGAAAACGCCGGTTATATGTTGTCGTGTGAACTGGGAGAAACGGCGTTTTAGGTTCTCTCTTGTCAATTCTGAGGATTCTGATTGGCTTGCATGGCTTTATCCTTCTCCCTACACTACCGCCAATAGGTTTGGCATGGTTATGATGGCGCTCGACGGCGTATTTATTTATGCGGGTGTGTGAACGATGTTATTTTTGAAAACGCCGAGGGGGAAAACATTCGTTTCGCTAAATACCCGGCTTTGTGTAAACGTGGCCTCACTCTCTCTATGAAGCCCTTCTGAAAAGCGCAGTGTGCTCTGATTGGTCGGCTGGACCAGTGTGTTGTGATTGGACAACTGCTTTGAGTGCGTTTCGAAAATGTTGCAACCATTACCATAACTGCGAGTTTCAACACACTACAATTGCAACCCAATTTTTTAAAATTATTTAAATGAGAAACATTGTAACGTTTGCTCCCAGAAGAGAACTCAAGACTACACTCGAGGCGTTTCAGGAAGTTCAGAAACAGTGGATCTTACCGATACAGAGTCTGACTTTGTGCTTTGTAACTTGCAGACATTTCTCATGCACAAACAGCAACATGCTAAAAAAAAATGTAAAAAAAACACCATTATCACAAACTTCTATCACACACACATGCTATCTGAACCTTCTTCATACCATACACTCTTATCCTTATTGGCTTCGATGTGTCCATGCAGAACTATTTACTGAAAGGTTCTTGGGAAACCTAAATTGGCGGTTGCTGCGAAAATCGCCTTTTGGAAACTTTAAAAGTTTATTGTTATTATTCTCTTTCATTATTCTTCTCACAGCACTTGATTTTTAGGTTACCACTACTTGATTTTACTGGATAAATGTGTTTATACAGGTAAATGATAATGCAATATTAAAATGAGCTGTAGCTGGTGGGTGGAGTCTTACATCATGGGGCGTGGCTTAGTCTGTTGGTAAGATTGCTACCTCATGTTTTGATGTCATGACACACAGGGAAACTGGCAAAAAAAAGAGACACAGGGTGTCAAAAAAGCACAATTAAGACTAAATCCTTGCAAAGATGCGAATTAAATTTGAACTTGTGTAAATACAGTGGTTTGCAAAAAAAAAAAATGGTCAAATTAAATGTAAATATCCCTTTTTGCTTTGATTAAGGAACTGCATTCAGAACAGTTATAGATTGTAATTTTAAAGCAGTGTATGAAAGGTAAAAAAAGAGTTTTATATATTGCATTGATACTTATTAGATATATTTCATGATCAAGCAAGCCTTCTTTTAAATCCTCTTTGCTTCACTCCAGAACTTGTATTGTTACAGTTTGTTCTTATGTCACATGACTGAATGTGCAGTTATTGGGCCTTATGAAGCAATATTAGTGTGAAAGCATCGGGCCTCATTTATGAAACATGAGCAGAGCAGATTTATTCGTAAATTGTCCATTTTTGCAATAACGCTTATACTCAATTCAGTGGAACATTTTATGTAAGAATGTATTTATTATTGATTTACACACGCTCATGTTTCCTGAATGAGACCACACACACATAGACTTCTGTACATACATATATTGCATGTCAATGATCAATACTCTTTGAATCCAATGATTGCTGGATTCTCATGCATTTCCCTTAAAATAAGACCTTTTCAAGGACAAAAAACAAGAAACCTTAAGCACTTTCATGCTTTACTGAATCCGAAACAAAATGCTTTGACTGCTTTTTATCTTTACACTTGAGAATGATTTTAATGCAAAACTCAAGATATATTTCACTATTGCAATTTATGAATTATACTCTCTTTATATATGCGCTGATGTCATAGATATAGTCTATATACCCAATTAAAAGCATCACAGAAGCATGCTAAACTAGAATTTGCTTGCTAGAATGGAGACTTCATTGCATTACTTTGCCCCTGATGAGAAGTATTCTTAATGTCAATGTTATTTTAGCCACTAATAGGAAATTGTTTTCAATGTTAGCAAATAATGGATGCCAAATTAAGGATTATGCAATCCAAAACAGTTTTTGAGTGGTGCACTCATTTCCAATCCTCAGGCATAACTGAACACAACAGAATCAAAACTCATTAGCTGGCCAATCATGGTACTACTTTTTCTGTTTCTTACTACAGATACCATTTTTCGGAATAAACAGGTGTATAAACAGTTTAGACGTGATTTTACTTGAACAAATACATTCACCTCTCGAAGTTCAGTTGCAAAGGTCATTGCTTTTAAATATGTTGAAATTTGCATTTGCGTTTGGTGAATTGAACTTTTACCCTGAGTAGTTTGAGCTGGATAAATCAAATTAAGAGTTCGCACGTATCGCAGTGGTAAAAAGACTTGTCAGTATTTTGGGGTATAGGAACAATAGCAATACAAGTCCATCCTGTAGGTCTGCTCAGGTTTGATCAGCGGTTTACACAGATGCTGGCATCACATTATCAAACGAGCTCAGGAGTGTGTGCTTTCTTCATCGACTTATGCTGATTTCATTGGTAAATTGATCTTATGTCGGCTTACATGAAGAGTTCTCAGGACAGGAGACGGTTTTTCAAAGTGCTTTATTCATCTGCAGCTGTCTTGGAAATGTTGTGATTGTGAAACATAGCATTTTTCCTCTTTCGGGTGAGCATTGAAACTCAGTTAACAGGCATATAATAGAACCTAGAACCATGAATATTAACAATACTTCACAGTTGTGTACAAAGTATGATGCAGAAGATATTATTTTTGGCTGCTTTGTTCATTTAGTATTACATGTGGCTTCATAGTTTAACTTCAAGCACAACTTTAGTTCAACTTTGTTTTTTCCCTTGTGAATGAAAGATGAAAATAATAAATAAAAAAATTTAAAAATCTCATGGTTGATGTTCTTGTCTGTTTTTTTTTCTATAATGCATAATTACTACTATTTTGAAATTCAATAAACACTATAAACTGCTTGAATCCTTTAGCATTAATATACAGAGGCATGCAGTTATTCAGTAATTCTCATTGGCATTTTTTTAAGTATTTATATAAATATAATTAATATATTTACCTAATTATTTTTTATAATTATAAAATATTTATTATTTATTTAAATTATTTAATAATCATGGCATAATGAGTATATCCATCAGAGTGTGTCAGTTATTACATAAAATAATCTCAATGATTATGTTATCAATAACAAAAAAATGTCACCTATGGTTAAAAACTTTTTTCTTTTTTTATTAATCATTTATTTACATAATACAAAAGTAAAAAGCTTTAAATCACAAACAAGAGCCAGAGGTTCAAGGATTGAAACATATTACATCACATAGGAATTCAAAGAGAAAGACAAATAATAAAAATAATAATAACTTAAACAGAAAATCAAAAAAGAGGAAGTAAAAACAATACTCCCCACAAAAATAAATAAATAAATAAATAAGAACTACAAATAAAATAAATAGAAATATAAATTATATATAGATATAATTATATATTTTTTATAATTACACACCAAAAGTATTCTCATGTTGCTTCTCAAAAATGAAAAACCCAAACAGAATATCCTTGAAGTACCTATGGAAAAAAACAACAGCATTGTTGACATCAGTCTCCCTCACATCATCGACGGAAGTGGCGTTGATTTTCGCGCAAGGAAACGAGTCCTGGTCCTGGCGCGCCAAATTTCAAAGCACTTCCTGGGGAGAGGAGGCGATAAGATTTACCACGGAGCACAAATAAAAGACACATGTAGCGTTTTACTAAACATATACCTTCATAAATTAGGTATGTCATGCTTTTGTAAGTGTTTTGTTATCTTTATGTTCGACGAAATGATATGGTTGTATTTATAAAACCGCTGTTTTCAACTCGCTTTGTGTGACCGTGCTTCATGCGCGAGCCATCCACTGCTCAGCCTTCACAACCACTAACCTTTCTTTTTGTGAAGGTGCTATAGCGAAAAACAAACGTCTGTGCTTTGTAATTACACCGCATGTTTTGTAAACTACTGCTTTGCCACGTTCTTGAGCAATTGTATATGATTTATAGTTTCGTAAGGAAATCAATAGGCTACAATGCATGGTGTAAATCAGAGAATCAGACGGTGATACTGTATAGACGACGCACAACTAACTTTGACATTTGGTCAAGCTATAAATGATCAGTTTATAGAAATATATGTATTATTCGGGGCAATGCTATGGTCCACGTTGACTAGCAATTGTTTTTTTTTTGTAAAAGTATTTAATATAATGAAAAAAGTATTTCTTACGTTCTTTCTTTATTACTGGGTATAAAGATCAATACATCATCTCTAAATATTGTGATGCATAATATAGTTATTAAAATAAACTATATATGAAGAGTTCAGATGCAAAAGCCTCTAAGTGCCATTTGAAATTTTCTTCTAGAATGATCATTTTTATCAAGCTTGTATATTTAAGTTCAGTGATTTCACTTAAATGGCAATGATAATTACCTATTAATTGTTATTTAAGTGAAATTACTGAACTTAAACATACAAGTTTGATAAAAATCATCATTAAAGAAGAAAATTTCAAATGGCATTTAGAGGCTTTTGCATCTGAACTTTTCATATACTAAAATGTAAATATTTTAACGCACACAACTATGCATGATACATGTGTGTGTGTGTGTGTGTGTAAATAAATAAATAAATATATATATATGTGTGTGTGTGTGTGTGTGATATCATGTTAATTTTTATTAGAACTTTGATTTTTGAATGTTCACTGTAGAAATGTTAAAAAAAGAATTTGATATGAATAAAATAACATGCAATAAAGAATTTAATATTGGTAATGTGATGTCACTAAAGCGCTGTATTGTTCTGTTTTCCAGAATGAAGAGGAGCATGTGACGGCATCTGACCCGGCACTGCATATCCACTTTTAATACTTCACATAGCTAGAGATTTTGTGCAGAACTCTATCTATCTGTGCTGCTACTTTTTAGTTGTCCTCCAAATATTTTGATAATATCTAGTGTGTCAGATGTTATGTACTTGGCATAATCATTTATTTATAAGGGTCGTACTCAAAAGAGTCTTTCTGAGTATGAGTCTTTGATGGAGGACGTTTAGCCCAGTGTTATGTGATTGGCCCAGCTGTTGCCGGCTGTGTTGCAGATCTTCTCCCCATTTATTTGTGGGATGTCAAAATGTCGTCAGGAGTCCAGCCGTGTTTTCAACTGTTGAGGATTGGATTGTCTCATACAAACAGTAGTAACGCCCATGGAAATGAGTCATCTGACTCTGCGCGTGACCTGTACACTTTCCGGCCCGCTCTGGCCCAGTGTGTGTTTAGGCTGGGACGGGCCACAGAGCTCTGTGACGTCACTCTGGAGTCAATAATCGTGTCCCGTATCCATGCTGAGCTCCATGTGGAAAGAGAAACCGATGCGTCTGGAGAAGAGGGCTGGAAAGTTCAAGTGAAGGACCGCAGCAGCTATGGTGGGTATTATGCTATTTAAAAAAAAATTAATTATATACATGCATATACAATATTTATATATATAATCTATACATGCGTTTGTATATATGTATGTATAATATATTATATATATATACACATACATACACACGCATGTATAGATTATACATATAAATATTTTGTGTGTGTATATATATATATATATATATAATTACAGACTTTTATGTTAGGTACGATTAATTATGATTATTCTATTTGACAGCAATACTTTGTAACTCTTTACCCGCCAGCGTTTTATTTTTTTTTTTAAGTTGCCAGCGACAACTAGCCTTTTTGTTCATTTTCACAAAATTTTCATGGCCACCAGGATATTTTGTTGTATAAATATCTGAACATACAGAATATCAAAAGAAAGAACGGAGCCTCTGCTTTTAAACTCAATCTGGAAATTTCAACATTAGGCATATGGTTTTGATGCATATGCTGTTTAATGTTAATATTTTACATATGCATCTGCTATCGCTTGTTTCTGCATTTCATAGCCCCCCTTAAACTGTATAACAGTGAAAATTCCAACAGCGGAGAAGCGTTGTCATAAATGATGAAAAATTCTGACAATGGTGGGGAAAGAGTTATATTATTGATTATTTCAATATATAAAATATTACAAATGCTATATTTATTGTTTGTTTCTTAAAGGTGCTCTAAGCGATGTCACACGTTTTTATTCCAAAACATTTTTTGTAACATACAGCAAATATCTCCTCACTATCCGCTAGCTTCCTGTCCCCTAAACACACTGTAAAAAAAACGCGGTCTATGCAGACAACCCAGGCTCCACAAATGGCAACAAAGACAAACTGCGGCGACCCGTCCACGAAATATAACAAACTGTTTCCAGCCAATAACTGACAAGAAGACCCTGGGGGTGGGGTTTGGGGGGTCAGTGCAGATGAGGAGGAGGGAGGGTCTATCTAGCCTCCGTTTTGATTGAAAATACTTTAAACGTCAAGAAGTCACGTCACCCGACATCGCTTAGAGAACCTTTAATATTTTGCTGTAAATGTATACCCTAATTGTATTTTTATGTGAACATGACCTACACAATTGCATTCTGAGACAAGTGTATATTATTTTATTACAAGCTCTGATGTAAAATATCTTCTAAAAAGTTTCTCTCTGTTCCACAGGCACATGGGTAAATGACATACGCCTTCAACAAGGAGTGTTTAAGGAAATCTTTGATGGCGACACACTCACCATCGGTGGCCAATCAGGACGGGCCAGCCCAGAATTCTACTTCCTCTTCCAGAAAGTACGGGTTCGCCCACTGGACTTTGACGCCATCACTGTGCCCAAAGCGGGTTCCTTCTCATCTGACATTAAGAACCGCATCAGAACGTCCTCGGACCGTAAACCGGACCCCGCCTTGGACATTTCAAAGCTGTCCATCAACAGAGCCACGGTCATCCTCAACTCCATCGGCAGCCTGAGCAAGATGAACGGCAGCTGCTGGACTTTTAAGAAAAGCGAAAAAACGACCAACTTGAACTCTCCGCCATTCAATGCGTTGGCCCCGCCCACAACCCCGCCTCCTTTCCAGGCTGTTGGCGAGATTTCATCCAAGTCTGTCCCGCCGTCTTCAAAAAGCCGACGCAAGTCAGCCCACACGGTTCTGCTGGAAGACGACAGTTCAGACGATCCCGCGGAGGACGGGAGGAGAGTACAAGCAAAGAAAAGACGACGACTTTACAAGTCAGAGTCAGAGGTGTTTCAACCCCCTCTACCCAAACTGGAGCAAAGTTGCCGCTCACAGCTTGATGTGTCGAAACACACCGGCAGCGTTTTCAATGCGGCACCGAACAGGCAGTTCAATCATGTTGTGAACATGAGTCACACCACAGGCAACAGCATCAATTTGACTCCCCACCGCCAGCAGAAACCCTGCTTGTCTGGTCCTGGACGGAGACCAAGGGCAAACAGCTCTCCGATTTACTCTTCCCTGCGGATGGGAAGTGAGAATTACAACCTGACCTCCCCATCAGCCAGGATGAGTAAGACGGACAAGGCGAGGGGGGTGATTTCTCGCTTTCAGGCCTCAACCGGGTGAGTGATACTGGATAGTCACATACAGGAGCCTCACGATCATCAAAAACATGAAAAAATCTGGAATTTATATTGGAATTTATAATTTATTTGTATAGGAATTTATATACAGTGTATATATATATGTAATATATATATATATATATACATACACACACTGTATATAAATTCCTATACAAATAGTTCATAAATTCCTGATATTCTTAGTGTGTATATATATACTGAGTGTATATATGTATATATACACTCAGTATATCTATACTCAGAATATACTTCATTTCTAGAAATGATCTCAATCTTTATTCTTGTCTGTCTTTATATATATATATATATATATATATATATATATATAAATAATATTTCTAAGAGTGAGTATTTTTTTTCTAATTTATTATTGTATCATTAATATAAAATATCAGGGAATATTCAAGGCCTATATATATATATATATATATATATATATATATAAAATATTTTAGAATAAAATAATAGAATAAAATTGAATTATTTTTTTATTGTAATATAGTGGCTATATATAGATATTAAAGTCATTAATATTTCTTAATGTCAGTAGTATATTTCTCTAATTAATTGCATTTCTTAATGTTAAATAGCAGGAAATTTGTGATTAAATTCCAAGCCTGAGAAATTTATGGAAATTAATAAAATCTTTATTATAAAATAAGGTTTAAAATATAGAAAGTATATTACAATTGAAATTTCTTTTTATGAAAATGAAGCCATTAAATATTTTAACAATACTATATTTTCTGAATTGATTGCATTCATAAATATATATTTTTACTGATTTTCTTTTTCTGCAGGCGACGACGCGGAAGGCCTAGAAAACACCCGCTGCCGCCACGGCCTTCCCTGCCATCTCCCTCATCATCATCTTCCTCCAGCTCCTCTTCCTCATCCTCCTCCTCTTCTTCCTCTTCTGAAGACGAGGATGATGTTGACATGGGGGTCGCTCAGGGCGTGGAACCGTGCGCAGCGACACACTGTCGTCTCCCGCAGCAGGACACAGTGCAGTGGATCCAGTGTGACGACTGCGACGCCTGGTATCACCTCGACTGCCTGCCACACAAACACAACCGAGACTCGCTGCTGTTCGACCCCAGCGCAGACTTCCACTGCGGATGCCACTCGCCCTCCTCTTCATTCAAGGCTCTGTGATAAACCAAGCTCTCAGACATTGTTGTTATTTCCATCAAATTCATGGCGACTGGCAGATATGTTGCGTCTTGGCATTCACCGTGCGAATGTTGGCGAGTAAATGTTTTCTGCAGTGGTGCTAATTGCTTTGAATGGTGATTTAATCTGATTTGGATCAAATGAGGGTGTTGGATTTGCACACCAGCTTCATGCGCACTGCATCCCATTAGAACTCAGCACTGGATGCTTTCTAACATTTTATGATACATGTATTCCACATACACACGGATGTAATCTAAAAGCTAAAAATCCAAAATATGTATGAATATATTTGTCTTTTTTTGTGGGATTTTATATTTTCAGAAGTATGGATTGATGAATTAAAGAGACTGAGTCTTTGGATTCAAATATCGAGGATGACTTGTATAGGCTTTAACTAGATACTTTACCAACATAATAGCTGGTATGTAATATGTTGTCATTAAATACTGTATGAGAGGTTTTAAATTGGCGATGAGAATATATACGCGTGCAGTTATGAAGATGTGCTGTCTTATTCAATGGTTTCATAAGCATTAATTTCAGAACGGCTAAACCTGAAGTCACTCCAGAAGCGTTTGATTGAATGCGTAAGTGAAGTGCAAACATTTCTATGTACATTTTAACCTTGAAATTTCATCGCACACACGATTGTCAGTGGGTTTTTTTGTATGGGGCCTGTTATTAACTCAAGTTTTGATTCTGGTTTGGATTAACCCTGTGTAGATGTATGCCTGTTTATAAAAATAGAATTGCTGTGGTATGAATGTTAAAAGATACTTTCACTGTCTTCACTTTAACTCAACATTCTAAAAACGACAAATGACTTCTGTCACAATGTTTGTCTTGTTGGGAATCAAGGGCTGAATAAAGAATTCTATATTTAAAATATTATTTGTCAGTGTGTGTAGGGTGCTGTGAGGAGCTGTTAGTAACCAGGACAGTGTTTTTTATATAAAAAGAAAACTTAGCTGTCAGTATAAATGTACTATAAGATAAAATAATATTACATGCATTTCTCTATTTTGCAGTCTTGCATGATCTGATTTGAACAAATGTATGAAGATGGGTTAACTTTTCAGCTTTAACTTCAGTCGTTTAGTCGACTAATCGGTCGATGCAATAATGATGTAGACTGACATTCTCATTGGTCGACCGGACCAGTAGCTTTTTTATTTTTGTTTTGTTTTAGAAAGTAATTATCATTGATTTACTTCTTGATATTTATTCTTTTATAAGCAATTATATATTACTGTACTCTAAATATAATTATTAGCTTATGTTTTATCCACAACGTTAAATGCTTTAATTTAGGCTATTTTAACTGCGCCACAGAGTTTAGCGCACAAAGTAGATCACTCGTGAACCGCACCCGTGGCTGCCTGCGCTGCTGCTTCGCGCTCAGTAAAAAATATAATTGGTTTTGCTGCATTGAATAGAACTCTATTTGTTTTGGCTTTATTTGACAAAATGTCCCTCAAATCTAAATCTTTTGTCTGGCTGCATTTTACAAAAAAAAAAAAAAAAAAAAAAGACGACAAGACTGTGGAGTGCAAGCTATGCGGCCTAAAGCTAACGTACCACAGCTGCTCAACGACCAATATGGCCGATCACCTAAAAGCGGTAAACGAGATATTACACGTGTCAGACAGCTTGCTATGTCTAATGTCTAAAAGTTTATTTATATATTTTATTGGTTAATATTATATACTAGGTGCATCCCCAGGCCATGCCACATGCGTCAGGAAGCACCTGGAGCACCACGCAACTGGTGTTGGTCCATCTTTTGTCGGCGAAGAGAAAGGAGGACATCACTAAGAGGATTGTGCATTTCATCGCCCAAGATATGAGGTATATTAAGTATATATTTTTTATTATTTTAAATATAAATGTCACTTATAGAGATGAAAATCGGAGAAACACCCTCCGAGCCCTGCTTATATCACTTATAAATGTCATGAATGCAGCACTGTTTTTTTTTTTCTTCTCATTGCTGGTCCTGCTAAAAACAGAAAAGGTTTTCCTTTGCGTTATGAAAGTAAATCAGAATGATCCCTTTTACATGGAATTGTGGAAATGAATATAAAGGCTGTATTATGGCAGGCCACTATTGGTGATGATGTCACTTTGTAAAGAAATTACACACCTTATGTAGCCCCGCCCCTTTTCAGCGTTGCGCTCGTTGTCTTTTGACTTCCGGTCTGTATTTCCACAGCGATCTTACCTAGGTATGAATGAACTGCTCGTAAAAAAGTTCCCATTCGACATTTGTTAAGACATCTGCTTTACAATGCTTATGAAAAACATTACAATGGTTATGATAACTTTTGTTAACTCTACAATAAGTAAATCCACTTCACCAGCTAATTACGCCTCGACAGCGATGCCATAGAAATATACAGAACCGGAAGTTCAAAGACAATATTCTTAAGATGACGGCGCCCACGTTTCTCTGGTGCATAAGGTCTATAGACTGAACACACAATGCACACGATGTCACAGTTTTCACAAATTCGCATTTTGGTAGTTTATACAGAGACGACAGCGGAATCGTTTTCAAAAACTTGCACTTTTAATTTTGTTTTCAAAAGTTTGTGTTTTCAGACCCCCAAAACAAACCCAGTTGTAATGCATGGTACAATTAAGTAGCATGAGAAGTAGCTAGTTCAAAAAAGAAAAAAACGAAAAGCTTGACGCGCGAGAACTAATGATGTTTGAGCTTCAGCAAGAACCAATGAGGTTCATTCTCGTGTTACGCAGCACGTTTGAGCTTCCGCAAGGACCAATGAGGTTCATTCTCGTGTTGCGCAGCACGTTTGAGCTTCGCAAGGACCAATGCTGTCCATTCACGTGTTACAATGCTGTCGTGTCGCTGGACTGTTTGTCAGGTGGAACCCAGTACAATTCCTCTGACCTTTATGAAGTCTGTGACCTAAATATCTGAATCACCTACTGTCACATCACATCCTGTCCCAATTGTCCATTCCGTGAACATCTCTGTTGTTCTGGGAGGCATTTGTAACAGCTTGTGGGTTTGAGGTCACCGGAGACTCATACCTGTGCATTACAGAGGCTGTCTCTCTGATGGATGGCTTATATTAACTGTTCTCTGCTCAGATAAAGTGAAGCGTGTCTAGTCTTGTGAAATTTCAATAACGCTTTGCACGTCTGGAGGCGGGTATCTGGAGGACTGAGGGTGTTTGATTTGCTATCGTCATTATGTTAAACTCCATATTAAATATATATTTAACTCGAGTCTAAATAATGCAATGAGTATATATTTAAATGTATTATTACACTTTTTTGTTCAATATATGTTTTATGTAATGTGTGTGTGTATATGTATATATATATATGTGTGTGTGTCATATTTAATATACTGTATATACAAAATTAATATAGAATGTAGAATAACAATTAAATATATTAATTTCATATATGAATTACTGTGTATAATTGTTTTGTATATATGAATACACTCACATGCATGTATATTTAAGAAAAATGTGTTATTTATATATAAAATATTTATATATAATATAAATGATGTATATATATACTGATTATACATGCACATTTTTCATAAATATATACATGCGTAAATGTGTATTTATATATACAAAATAATAATACACAGTACACACACACACACATATATAATTTATGTGTGTTTACTGTGTATAATTAGATATACAAAATAATTATACACAGTACACACACATAAATTATCTAAACACAAACTTTTTGTTTGGATGCAATTAATTGTTAATTGTTGCCCAGCACTCATATAATATAAAACAATAATAATATATATAATAATTATATATATATATCTATATATATCTATATATATATATATATATATTAGTTCTGTCAAATTGATTAATCACATCTAACATACATTTTGTAAATATTATATATATATATATATATATGTGTGTGTGTGTGTGTAATATACAGTATACACACACACACACACACACATATATATTTCATGTTACCTTTTTTTGAATTTCTTAATCTGAGCATAATTAACATTAATATTTCTTTTTTTCTAATTAATATTAATATTTCTTTGAAGGGAATTATGATCATTTTTTAACAACATTTAATATTTAATGAATTTTATTAATGTAAATGATAATGATATTCATCAATTAATAATGAACTAATTTAAAAATAACCTCCATAATACATTTGCACTGCCGAATGATCTATTATTAATGTTATTTATGTGTCCAGCTCTGAGCACAGGGAATTCTTTTATTATATATATAAGTACATCCTCCAGTGACTAGATTCCTGAACGTAAATTCACCCGTCGTCTACACCTGTCCTTATATGTACAGGGCCGTTGGGTTGCCATGTCAACCTGACATCTGTGTAGTGTGTACGTTATCAAGGAGAGATAAAACAGAGGTGTGAAATCTTTTCAGGTTCTTCCTAATGAGGGCAATGGATTGCAGTCTGTCCGTGTTGCCATGGCGATGCTTTTTGCAGTCAATGGAAGTGTGTGGCAGGCAGGACCTATAAGACAGAGACAAATGTTAAAAGAAAAAAAACAAACTGATGCGAAGACAAAGATGAATACTGCTGTGCTAGTTAAGAGTCTGATTAAGCTAGTAGGGATGAAGCGAAATATAACGGCTTAAAGAGGAAGATTAATGCACATGCCAGCTTCCTTTCGCCACCAGAGGGCAGTCTTGTCACATTAGCCTGAGCCTTAATATAATTTATATCCCTGGTGTTCAAATGTGGCATGTACCTCGTCTCACACTGTTTGTGCAACAGACATGAATGAGACTATAATTATAAAGGTACGTTACTACTTTACTAATCAATCTAACACGCTCAAACAAAAACAGATGAAACATTCCCACAGAGCTAGCGTGAATGAAATCAAAATGAACAATTCTTATTTTTTATGCACCACTGCATTATTTATTGTAAATGATTAATCCGCACACATCATCATTGTGCCCTCATAATCTTTAATCAAAATAGCTTCCTCTTCATAATCTCTTCTCTTAATCATCTCTTCTCTGATGATGTGTTTACTGGCGCGAGGGTGGGGCAACATGTCACTCACATGAGATCAGGTGTGTTGGACTTCACGCAGCTCTGCGCAGAGCGATCTGACTTGAAACAATGCATGGCATTTAGAAATTTTCTCCGACTTGATGCAGCGCCGACAGCACATGAGTGTGACATATGCCATCAAAGTACCGCGAGAGCGTTTCGAGAGTAGCCGGAGGACTCAAGAGCATCTGCACAAGCTCTGATGACGTCACAGCTGTTCCACGATTCGCTGGTTCTCTTACAAGAGGCTCTCTCGTATTGCGTAAGTTAATACGGGAAATATTGGTAACGCTTCCTTTTACAGTCCAGTTACCCTTGTAAATACTATGTACTTATTTTAGTAACTACAATTACTGGGTAATAACTAGTACTAACCCTGAACCTACTCCTAAACCTACCCCTGTTCCATGTACTTACCTTATATTAGCCAGTACTTTCTAGGTAAGTACACTGTAAGTACTGTACTGTAAAAGGAAGAGTTACCGAAAGATTAATCTTTTCAAGATATCGAAGGCCAAAAATATCCTTAATTTTGTATTCATTGTCAACGCAGTGCAGCAGCTTGCAGACCTAGAGTAGGCTGTCTAGCGTGCTCATAGGCTGCCCTGCGGGAACTGCAGCAGCCTACTACTGAGCCCGACGTGACATCACATCCAATGAAGGGCGCTCGCGCCTTCACAGCGTCATAGCCCGCCAGAATGGGCGTGGCTTAGCATATATAAGCAGGGCTCGGAGGCTGTTTCTCCGATTTTCATCTCTTCAGCGAAGCTCTACACATCGCTGGATCTAGAGAGAAGCCGCCGCCGTTGAGAAAACGTCAAGACAGCTTAGGACGGCGCCCGAAGAAGCCGGCCGTCTTCGCCACCTTCAGCCATCTGTGCAAGCTACGCTTCCTGTCTAAAAGAGCAGCGATCATCTTTTTCAAGATGCCTCGCACTTCCTGCGGCTCGTTCAGAGCCCCGCTCAGCGACGGAGACTCTCTGCCTGGGCTAGGAACACGCAGCTCTCGCCCTCTCAAGGGTTTGTGAGCTCTGCGACACACTTCCGATGTCGACCCTGCGGGCTCAGCTCGAAGTGTTTAACCCCCAAGCTGTCACTCCGCCCTTTGCAGGACAGCCCAAATGAAGCGCCATTCTCAAAGGCTGCCGGAGCCTGTGGCCACCGCGATCGCTGGACTTTCTCCCTTCAGCTTCGCTCTCGCCTTTTCCGCCTCCCCTCACAGACGTGGAGCTGCCGCACTGCTGTCGTTTCTGAATGGAGACGCGCCTCTGAAAGCTGTTCTAATCACGCATGTGCCAGGCCACCTGAACGACGGCCCAGACAAATTAGCCAGGGACAACGTTCCCCCAACGTTCCCAGCTCCCTCTACCAGATGCGTCTAAATGGTCTGTGTTCACCAAATGTGGGGTCATGTGGGGTCTTGTGGCTGCTCAGTTTTCCTACAAGAGCTGTTGGATAAGGGAAGGTCCCCATCCAGGCTTAAAGTCTACGTGGCAGCCGTTGCAGCGTTCGCAGAGTCGATGCGCGGCCGGTCACTAGGGAAAAACGAGCTTGTCATCCGCTTCCTTAGAGGAGCCAGAAGGATGAACCTTCCGCGCCCCCCGTTGGTTCCTATGTGGGATCTTTCGTTGGTCCTCGAGGCCCTGAAAGCTTTTACCTTTGAACCACTAGATTCCATGGAGTTAAAGTACCTGTCACTCAAAACCGTTTTTATGACAGGTCTGTCATCAGTTAAACGCGTCCCCCTGTCCGTTAGCGCTGCGTGTCTTGAGTTCGGGCCAAATGACTCGAAAGTCATCCTCAAAACTAGACTTGTTCCTAAAGTGATTGGCACTCCTTTCAGAGTGCAGATCATTCCTCTATCGGCTCTGCCATCATCCGATAGCGAGAGCAATGTCAATCTCCTCTCCCCAGTCAGGGCGCTTAGGGTATACACTGCACGCCCCGCCCCTTTCAGGCGCTTGGAGCAGCTTTTCGTTTCGTTTGGTGGGAGCACCAAGGGTCTCGACGCCTCGAAACAAAGCCTGCCCAGATGGATTGTGGACGCTATAGCTGCCGCTTACGTGTCGAAGGTCGAAACACACCTATCGACTAATAGCAAACCACAACCATCCGATAATGTCCCCAGTGGACAAAATCAAGTCCTACCATTCACATTTTCTTGTTCAAAAATCTGTTTCACTCAGATATACAGCTTTATCACAACTTCAGTTTCTTCCCTACTGTTTATCAAGGATCAAAGCCATAGAGAATTGAGGGAGATGTATTTTGACAACCAGAACGTGTTAATGAGGGAATGACCTCCTTGCCTCTGATAATGGTGTCCTCAGTCTTCTGATTCTTTTAGCTTTTTAACATTCTGTATTCCTATCTAGTCTAACTGTTATCAGTATTACGGGAATTGTCCTTCAAGCTCATATCTCTCAGACAGGCAACAATTCATTATACACACAAATCTCGTTATGTCAGACAGTGGAGTCCCTCAAGGTTCTGTTCTTGGTCCACTTCTATTTTTAATCTACATGCTTCTGGATCAGATCATCCACCGTCAGGGTCTTAATTTACACAGTTATGCTGATGATACACAAATCTATCTTTCTGCTTAGCCTAATTCTGTTTTTTCTCTCCCTCCCATTACATCCTATATGATCTCAAAGCATGGATGGCTCAAAACTTCTTAAAACTGAATACTGAAAAAAAAAAACAGTAATCTTGTTAATAGGCTCTAAATCTCTTTTCTCTTGCCAACATGAATTCTTCTCTATTCATATTGCCAGTTTTAGTTTGTCCTTACTACATCGGTTACCACTACAAATAGGAAATAGGAAAAAGAGGCTACAATTCGCAAGAGCTCACCAAAATTGGACAGTTAAAGACTGGAAAAATGTTGCCTCGTCTGATGAGTCTCGATTTCTGTTGAAACATTCAGATGGTAGAGTCAGAATTTGGCCTAAACAGAATGAGAACATGGATCCATCATGTCTTGTTACCACTGTGCAGGCTGGTGGTGGTGGTGTAATGGTGTGGGGGATGTTTTCTTGGCACACTTTAGGCCCCTTAGTGCCAATTGGACATTCTTCAAATGCCACAGCCTTCCTGAGCATTGTTTCTGACCATGTCCATCCCTTTATGGCCACCATGTACCCATCCTCTGATGGCTACTTCCAGCAGGATAATGCACCATGTCATAAAGCTTGAATCATTTCAAACTGGTTTCTTGAACATGACAATGAGTTCACTGTACTAAAATGGCCCTCACAGTCACCAGATCTCAACCCAATAGAGCATCATTGGGATGTGGTGGAACGGGAGCTTCGTGCCCTGGATGTGCATCCCACAAATCTCCATCAACTGCAAGATGCTATCCTATCAGTATGGGCCAACATTTCTAAAGAATGCTTTCAGCACCTTGTTGAATCAATGCCACGTACAATTAAGGCAGTTCTGAAGGCGAAAGGGGGAGTATGGTGTTCCTAATAAGGTGAGTGTGTATATATACATTGTCTTCAGAAAAGGCAAAAATCTAGTTTTGATCCCTTGTTAACCTCATTATAAAACACATTTGAAAAATGTGTGTGAAAACTAAAAGTATTTGAAAACTCACTTCTCAGTTTATTATTTAAGTAGCCTTAATGCTATTTTGCAGAATTGAATTATATTCATTCATATGGACGATATAATATCGAGCCTATCATGCAGCAGCATAAAAATGCAATATAATGTTTAATTTAAACTGAAAAGCAGGTATTAACAACCTGACAGCTAAAGCGCGATGGACCGCAGGCAGACTGAGGTTATCAGAACATGCTCTGTTTCAGATCATCTGGGTGACTGACAGGGATCTAATGGGATAGCAGTGCATGGAGACACTTGGAAATTCATCCATTTTGTGCTGACTAGGTGAGCAGGTAAGCGGGTTGGCTGCCAGCACGGAAAACTCTCTGGAAAACAACATCGCTCAGCAACCTCAGGACGAAAGCGCTCAGGGCAACTTTCTGCGGCACAGACTATCTGAACCAGTCAGGCCCTGAATCAAACATTACTGTGGATAGGAGTTTGTTTTACAAATGATCATGCAGGTGAACAGTTCAGTTCTCACACAACAGCGCTGCCAACCCGATCTCACGAGAATTCGTACGAATTTTACGAATTGGCCAATTCGTATGAATTCGTACGAATGACCCCGCCCCTAAACCTACCCATCACGTGGGTTTGGACAAATCGTACGAATACGTACGAGTGTGGTCGTATGAATTAGTACGAATTAGCCACTTTTTAATCACTCGTACGAATTGGTCGTGAGATAGCGTAGGCACCGCAGTAAACTAGCAACCACCGCTGTGAGTTTAGCATGGTATAAAGCGCCACTCAGATTCACTTCTGTTACCCAACAAGGGAATGCAATTGAAGTAATTCATCAATTAGACTTTTTGCACAGTACATATTTGGGAAAACAGATCAATAAATTCAGGGAACTTGATAGAATACATTTTGCGTTATTGATTTTGTTATTGATATGGTTCTGCAGGCCTTACGGTGCAGTCAGACTCAAACATTGAGTGGTGATTTGAGATATGTGTGTGTGTAACAGGACACAGGTGTCCTCGCCTCATGCCTCTGCAAATATCTCTTCTCCTCCAGTCATCGCTGGGCTGGTGCGAGCGGATGGATGGATGATGGCAGCTCCGTGAAGATGGACGAGTGGCTTCGATACCTGCCACATTACTCTTACTCAGATCAGTGAGCAGAAATTACAGGTGGAATCTAAAGGTTGTATGTCCATTGCACTCTTTTACACAGAACAAATTCACAATGAGTTCTCTTAATGCATAATAACTGTATGCGGTTCATTTTTTATTTGAACAGGATTTTTTTCTTGCTTTTCTTACACTTTTCATGCCTTTATTAGTGCTTACTTTCCAATAATATAATTTCTTGTTTTACTTTTGTCTATTTTAAAACTTCATAATGAAAATCTATTATAAAATGAATTATAACATTATTAAAGCAATGGTGATTTTAACACAAATATGAACCATTTCAATATTTATTGTTATGAAGTTGGTGAATCTGCATTCATTAGAATCCATTAAGAGCTTCGGATGAAATGATCTGAAACACAAAGAGATATCAAGGTTAATATCCTTTTTTACTGCCCATTATTACCAATTAAGCTGCAATTTTAGAGTGTATATAAGTGTTCACACTCACTAAAACAAATACGCACTACAGGACATATTAAAGAGTGTGTGAACGTACTTATTATTATAGCTTATTATCTGTCATCATGAGCCATATGTGATGAAACACCTGTGTTTTTCTCCTTTAAAGAACCTTTTGTGCAATGAAAAGGTCACAATGTTCTCAATGGAAACATCAGTACCGAGAGTGTAAGGAAAAGACCATAATTTCACATGTCTCCTCTGCAGTTTCAGAGCTGAGATCTCAATATAAACTCAAATATTTATCAAAAAAAGCTATGCTATATCTATGTCAACTGTTGTTTGATTTGTATTTCTCCTGGGGAATTATCTGAGAACGATCCCTATATAAGCAATAAAACTGTCCTTTGTGTTATTTCTAACTATATGAACCGTTGTGACGCATATAGAGAGTGAACTTCAGCAGAAGAACTCTTTCAGTGTTGTATTGGATGGTGTTCACACTAAATTAAAGCTCTCTGCTGTTGCTCTCTGCTGTTGCTCCTGATCAATGCTAAATTTGGCTCATTGCAGCTCATCAAAGATATAATAGCCTCCCGTTTGCCAGTCTGTAACTCTTACATGGATCGTTTATCCAGAAATGAAAATTGTCATCATTTACTCACCATAATGTCGTTCTAAACCTATGATTTCCTATCTCTAGTGGAAATAAGAGATATGCATGAACGTTTGAGCTGTTGTTTTGCACAGTAATGGGAACTGAGCCTCTCATGCTTTGGTTCTCAAATCTCACAACCGAATTCAATTCTAAACACAAAAAGGATCACAAGACTTGAAAAAAACACAATGTATAGCATATACTTTTAGAAATATGATATTAATATTTAGCTTTTGAAATTCTACACATTATATATAGGCTACTTTCCCTAAAGCGAATTGATACACTGTAAAAAATATTGTTGGTTTAACTTAAAAAATGAAGTAACCTGGTTGCCTTAAAAGGTTAAGTTCGTTGAACTGGAAAAATTGAGTTAATACAATGAAGGAGATTGATTTAAGCATCAGAAACTCGAAATATTATGTTATCTGAACTACATAAATTAAGTTGATTTGACAAAAGAAAAAATGTTATGATTACAATCATGAAAATATTTTTTTACAGTATAGGCCTATATATAATTACATTATACCCTTAATGGTGACACTTTACTTGACTGACATGACACCTTCATAACCATGACATGACATATGTAGGGTTTATGCATGTTTATTCACTCAATAATGACATTTTGAATGCAAATATGACATTGTTTAAGATGTCTTTGTCATAAACCAATACATCATAACCTGTCAGTGTCTTTGTCATGACAACCTAACATAAAATGAAGTTAAACTGTCATGTGGTTGGCTTTGACATTGGCTGTGAGGCCATAACTGTGTCATGAATATTTTTCGTGACCTCAACTACAGTGGTACAAATTGAATTTGTCATTAAAAAGTTATAATGCCTCATGACAGCCAATGTCAAAACCAACCACCTGACAGTTTAGTGTAATGTTAACCAATAAAGCTAGCTGGTTTCTTAAAGGGATAGTTAACTTTGAAATTATTTTTTTGTATGTCTTAGCTTACCTCAAGAGCATTCAATTTTGATATTTTTAGGTCAAACCGTTTGTGTCTGTCAGTCATATAATGAAGGTCTATGGGGTCCACCTCAAAGAGCATACTCGTAAATGCAAGTACACATTGATGGCCTAAGACACGAAACAAGCGGTTTGTGTGAGAAAACGAACAGTATTTATATAGATTTTACCTCTTGTAACCACAAAAACCGCTCGTTTCGTGTCTTAGGCCATCAATGTGTACTTACATTTACGAGTCATTGAATCATGTTGAATTTGGACTTCTCTGTGTATGCTCTTTAAGGTGGACCCCATAGACCTCCATTATATGACTGACAGACAAGAACGGTTTGACTTAAAAATATCAAAATTGAAACTACTGCTGAAACAAAGACATCTTGGATGCACTTAAGGTAAGCTAAAACATATAAAAAATTAATTTCAAAGTGAACTATCCCTTTAAGTTTGATAATTAATCTGCTATGTCATGTTTATGACAGTTTGTGTTGTCTTAGTAATGTCAAGTTGTCTCATGTATTGGTTATGTCAAGGTGTCATGACCAAGACATCTCAAAAAATGTCATATTTGCATTAAAAATGGCATAACTGAGCGACAGTTGTCACAAACATGCATAAACCCTACTTCATATTCAAGACATATGTCATGATTATGTATAAATTAAATATATATAAAAAAAATTAATTCTAAAAAATACTATAAATACTATAAAAATGTATTTTAAAATATGTGTTATTATTATTGTATATTTATATTTTAAAATTTAATATACATTTAAACTGTAAATAAATAATTAAATAAATAATTGTAAAATAATAGAATATAACAATGTAACAATGTTTGGGACCGTACTGGAAAACGGAATGTTCCTTTCATTTCCCAGAATGCTATTTACTCCCAAACTCTTCAAAATGGAATCAAAAAACATCAAACGTCCATTACCAGATGGAAACACTAAACAGCTTAATTATTACATAATGTCTTGAGTTATTGTTTTCTTTGCAGGGTGATTCAGTCACATCTGCTTCCTCGTTCCTTTCGCAATAGCAGTTTCACGTCCTCTAGTTATAGCCGATTCAAATTTACACTCAAGCACTGAAAGAGGAAATTCGGAGTCTGTTCCTCACACAAAGCTATTGTATAAATTCAGAACATTAGGAATATAATGCGTAAGTCATACAGACTTCTTTCATGGTCTTTTGTATTCAAAGTCTGATTTCATGTCCGCATTCCTTCAACGAAACCAAGCATTGCTTCAATAAATCATGCGCGGGATGACTGTGAGACCATCACTGACAAAAATGACATGACCTCTGCTTCCTCTCCATCACACACACACCAGTAGAACCGAGTGCATCTGTGTGTGTGTGTGTTTGTGTGCACTCAAGACCATTCTAAGCAGATCATGGCTGACAAGTAAACGTCCCACAGCTCTGTGATGACAAAATCCCTCCATCTCATTCCCATTCTCATCTGCGTCAAAGTGTGCCTGCACTCCGCAGATAAAGACTGCAGGGCTGTAATCAAACCGGTCCTTCCCTTCGGCTGTACACGGCGCTTTATGTTATTTACCAACAACTACGTGCAGCTCAGACTGCAGAAACACATCAGGACGCGACACACAATGTATGTGGACGTGAGAAATGAGCTACACGCCAGACAAAGACGGCTGATATGTTGAGATATTTGTTTTTGTGTGTGCATGCATAAGACAAATTGCTATTTGGCTCTATGGCAAACAAAACGGAAATTAAATAAAAAGCTAAAAAAGTATGCAGAAGAGTGATACGTTCTATAGGCCCTCAGGAAACGTCTCACTTTGCCGCATTAGGAGTGTTTCGGAATAATTCCAATTGATTTTTTTTTCCCGTCGTCTCATTCTGACTTGTGAAAGGCGTTTTTTGAATATTTTAAATTTAAAACCGAAATCTCATTACATTAGCATTCAGAACTGTGCAGGGCAGCAGTGATTACTTCTTCAAGTCCTTTTGGCTCGGTTTCTGAATAATCTTTCAATTTGTGAAACTCCTCCTGTTTATCCATGCACGCCTTCTTGAGCTTTGTCAGATATTATGGATGTGAATCTGTAAATGCAATCTTCCCAATAGAACTTTGTTGCAATCTGACACCAGTCGTTGGTTGTTGTGATGCTTACAGTATTTTTCCATCTTTTCTCAGGTTGTCTGCACTCCAGGGTTTATTGTCTTCTGTATAAGCTGCATTTGACTTGCTCTCAATGCTCAAGTGGCTTTTGTATATCTCTACTCTTGCATACAGAGCTGACGGATAGAGATGGTTGCCTCTTGACAGGTTCGTCCATCTCTTTATTGTTAGAATTCACTCACTAAAAAATGGTTTCTAATTAGATCTGAGATTAGTTTTATAATCTGATGCAATAGAGGAGAAACTTGAACATTTTATTCTCATGATCTTTCAAAAACAATCTATTCATTCTTAGAAGAAAGGGTTATATAACCTTAAAGGCTTCAAACATAGAACCTTTAAAGTTTTCCCAAGGGATTATTATATGGATTTAGTTTTAATGAATGCATTCTAATTTTAATTAACTTTTATGATCAGATCGTAAACATGTTTTATCACTGGAAAAATGAAGGTATTTTGCAATCATTTCACACATTTCTCTTTCTCTTCAGACCTTTTTGGCATAATGGGTTCTTTAAAATTGAGTCAAAAACCCTATAGGGTGTAATATAAAACCCCATTGAACTTATTTTTTTTCTAAGGGTCCGTTAACACAGAAAAACACGAGACACGGCCAGTGGAATGAGGGAAAAATGCAAGTTAGATGCGTTTCTTTTAAAAAGTTGAACTTCTTTTAACTTGAGAGCCGTGTTTTTAGTGATTCATAAGCGAGCCACAGAGATCAAACACATCAGTCTAGCGCGTTTACATAGAAAATCAATGAAAAAATAGCACAAAGGAATTGAAAAACACATTTTTGCAGGTAAAAACACGAGGTGCAGGTCAGTGCACCGAGAGAGAGAGACCGCAAGGTCTCGAAATGCTTATTATAAATGCCCTATTATGCTTTTTCAAAAATTACCTTTCATTCAGTGTGTGATATAGCTTAAAACGTTTGCAAAGTGTCAGTCGTCAGCAATTCCAGTCGCACTTTCTGTTGCATAACAATCTAAGAGATTTGCATGGCCTTCGTTGGCTGCTTGTGAATAACGTCTACTTTGACCCACCCTTAAAGTTGTAGACAAGACTGGAAAAGTTTTGGAAAAGATTTGAGAAAGCAAATGCACTTCAAAAGAACTCATGTTGGAATTGATAAGGAAAAACGATCGTGTCGTTACTGTTCGCTGAAGAAGATCTGGAGCTGAAATTCAATCTGGTAATAAGTGTTTTGTTTCTGAAGCGCTGTAAGCGGTAGACCAACAGACAGACTGGGCCATCTGACCAATCAGAGCAGAGTAGGCTTGCAGAAAGGAGGGGTTTAGAGAGCCTGAATCTTCAAACGAACCGTTTTCAGACTCTTTTATTAATTAGGGGATGTGCAATGTACATTATAAATAAATTAAAGTTTTTAAACTTTGATGCATGTACATAACCTTCAAAACAAAATAAGTTAGAATTTAATTTCCAAAAATGCGAATAACTTTTGAATAAATAAACACATCACCTCACTCTTACCACAACACATCGATCAGACCTTCAAAACAAAATTAGGAATCTTTAAAACAGCATAGTTGAGCACTCTTAAAGCTGAACCTCACTTGAAAAAAATAACTCTTTGAATGAACATAAAAAAATCATGCAAAGGATTTCCACATGATTAACTTGCTTTATTTCAGCATTATGCAATTCGGTTATTCCAATTTAACGTACTTGAGTTGGGTCAACTTAATTTATTAAGGTTGATTCGACTTATTTACAATGGTTGGGGTTAATTTAATAGTGTCAGCCCAACTAGTTTGCAATGTTTTAGACCAACTGATATGATTCAGGTATTCTAATTCATTTATCCATTCATCCAATGCAATATAGCTTATTTTAGTGTCACACTAATCAATTTTTAGACTATTGTAGCACTTTTAGGCCGGATTCACATATAGCGGCTAAAAACGCATAGAAAACGTTGGGCGCGCCGCATTCTCCATTTTCCAAAGCGCCAGGGCGGTTGCGCTTCAGTTGGTTCTTGTCACATGACCTATTGTGTGCGTATGGTGCGCTTGCGGTATTCTGAAAAGTTGAGATGTTTTTATCTCGATGCGGCGCGGACGCGCATGAAAAAAACGTGCGCGTCGCACCGCGACCGCATCGCTTCCATTATGAGCGCGCATACCGCGCGCCTACATTTGAAATAACGAACTTGAGCGCGCAAAAGACGCGATATGTGAACCGGCCCTTAACCCTTGTGCTGCATTAGATTTTTAACACCGTTGAGTGCATTAAGGACCAAAAATGGCCACATATTAAACATTGCCTAAAATATTATATAATATTATTATTTTCCACTTTTACCAAGTTAAATCTTTTAACCAGCATCAGTCCTCATCATAACTACCAAAAATGTATTCAATTTCAGGATTTTAACCCTTTAATTACCAGTTTTGTTTGCGAAACCATCGATTTGTATAAGAGGAAAAAACACAAAAATTCAATTATTTTCAATAAACTAAATGCAAAGAGAAAACTTTAGATTTGGATTATCACAGTCCCACTTTGCAAAAAATCCCACTTAGCGCGTTAGAGACCAAAAATGGCCACCTATTAAACATTGCCTATTGCCTAAAATAAGGTGCATTTCCACCCATAGGGAATAAATATGTAGTGACGTCATCTGGTGGAATACACTATATAATGCAAATATAATGCTTTTGCTTCAAAATGAAAGGATGTTTGTGCAAAAAATCATGTTTCATGTATTACTGACAGCCTCAGATTTAAACAACGTTTTAATGGGTTTCAATGGGCCATTTTTGGTCTTTATGGTGCTGAGTGTTACTATTTGATCTACACAGTGTGTGTTATACATATTTTGCAAAATGGGATCACATTTTTTACATGTATCCAAAAAGTCACAATTTTGCCTAATTTCATACCACTTGCATTAAAACAGCCAAAATGGTCAAAGAAATTAAACTGCAAAAGACCAAAAATGTCCCTAATGCAGCATAAGGGTTAAGCATCTTAAATGATACGATTTACATGCAAGTAAACTTAAAATGACATATATTTAAGCAGATTGAACACAATCCAATTAATTTTGGACAAAATGGATAGCAATTGTGTTGCTTAAGCTCATTTTAATTAAGCTTTTTTCAGGGTTGTTTTAACTTGAGAGCCCCATTTTTAGAAAGCCTCGACATGCACTAGATGCTGGAAAATATGCAAGACGCGAGCGAGCGGTCAGACACGTCAGTCTAGTGCGTGTTTGAAGGTACAATGTTATTTTACACTCTTTAAAACATAACTTTCTCAAGAACAGACGAAATTTTATTCAATTCAATTACATAATGTATAACAGTGTGTATAAATGTATAAAATGAGAGGGAACAGTCCCAGTGGAAGTGAAAAACAACATACCAACTTTCCTGCTTCACACATTCGACTCCAGCTATTTTTTCTCACTCTATCGCTCTTTTAATCCTTTTTTCCCAAATGTTGTTTGTGTCCCCCAGGCGGAAGATTTTCTATATATGGAGGGGTGTTGAGAGGATGAGAGGATGTGAGCCGATCACAGTGAGCCAGTCATTGTGTGCGTGTCTGAGTATATTGTGGCTTGAGAAGAAGGCCACACAATTCAACACACAAGAACAGAGAATGCATCGTGAAAAGATGTGAATGGGCAGAATTCATTGAAATGTGTGAGAAGCACATATGCGACACCTTCTTTTTTTTCTATTTTCACACCGTAAGCAGATCCTTTGATATCTTGAGCTAAATTGAGATATTATTAGTATTATAGACAAGATTTCTGCATGCCTGTCTTGCTATTTTTTCCACGCTTCCTTCTCCTACACACACGTAGCTTAAAACGCACATTTTAAACAAATCCGCAGTGAAGCATAAAAGATCTAATGAAAAGAACCAAAAACCGGCAGCGAAACAAAGTGCCTGATATCACAGTAATCAAGAGGTGAATAAGCATAAATGGAGAGAAAGAGCACTAAAAAGGATTGTAATGAAAGAAGTCTTAAAGGAATAGTTCACCCGGAATTGGGTCATTTACTTGTCATTCCAAACCTGTATTAGTTTCTTTGGGGGACTGAAGGTTTGGACACAAAAAGCAATAAAAATCATATTAGATGTGGCATAGTGCACTATCCCACTTTATTCAATGTATTTGAGAGAAATAGACTGAAATTTATGTCGAGACTGGATCAATGAGTCAGCGAATTGAACTCAAGAACTAAATCAGTGCAATTTGTGACTGAATCAATCACGATAGGGTTTTGAGAAATGAATGAACAGTTTTGACTCAAATGAACGATTCGTTCACGAATCATACATCTCTTTTTCTCTCATGAAGATTTTCAGTGACTGACACGACTCATGAACCACTTCTAAGAACCTGCTTACACCTGGTATTAAGATGCGCTTTGCTCGGTCAGATCATAAGTGGACGACGCAAAATACCAATGCATTCTCATCCCAAGACGTCCCATATGACGCTTTTGCCAATGCGTAGACATCCAACGCACATGGCTCCCTTTAGCGTCAATATAACACGCACAGAGTATGGGTAGGTTTAGGTCTGGGGTAGGGTTATGGTTAGACCACTAGGAGGCGCCTAACGCTCCATATATATCTGAGTCTCATATTGACACTAAAGGGTGCCATGTGCGTTGGATGTTGAGAACGGGGATGAGAACGGTCTAAAAATACAGGTGTAAACGGGGTCTAAAACGCAGTGGTGTAACTTTGCTTTAAAAAGTGGGTGGGACAGGTGTGGTGTGTGTGTGTGTGGGGGGGTCATAAATCATAAATCAGATGTAACCATGTACAATAACATACCGATTTAAATAGCATATTGTGTTTAATTTGTCGTTTAATGAAATCTAATATGTGTTGGTGTCGAGAATCCAACAACAATACACATGTTGTTCGATGGTCCAGTGGTATAACTTTTGCCGAGTGTGTCAGAAGTTCTGGGTTCTAATCCGCAGTCGTATAGTTTTTTTTTCTTCCTCATTAAAACCAATTATGTTTATCAGTGGTTGTATAGCAGCAGGGACACGTTTGTGTGCATTTTACTTCGTTACTGATTTCACCA